TTACATTCATTTCTTTATATCTTATAAATTCATTTATTTTCTTTTATTATTCATAATTTTTATATATTCTACTTTTGTCTCACCTAATCAGGTGGTACTCGCCAGTGTAGACTGGTATAGTTTATTTTTACTTGATTGATTTTAAATTAGTGTTTTAATTTGGACGGTTCTCATCCCATAAGGTGCCCGAGTTTGTCCCAAGTTTTCCAGTCAAAGATCACACACTTAAAAAAATTTTTATTGCATGTTTTAGCGACTAGTACTGATGTTTTTAAAACCTTAAATCTAAAAGTTGATTTTTTTGGAAACCGCTAAAGTAGAAGCATTTTTTTAAAACTCTAATACATCAGTTATCAACCACTCGGATAATTAGCTATCTGCCAAGGTAAAGTCTGTTTTCGGAAAATTAGCTATTAGCCAAAGTAAAGTATGTATTCGGATAATTAGCTATCAGCCAAAGTAAAGTATGTATTCAGATAATTAGCTTTCGGCCACAGTAACGTATGTATTCGGATAATTAGCTATCGGCCAAAGTAAAGTATGTATTCGGATAATTAGCTATCAGCCAAAGTAAAGTATGTATTCGGATAATTAGCTATCGGCCAAAGTAAAGTATGTTTTCGGATTATTAGCTTTCGGCCAAAGTAAAGTATGTATTCGGATAATTAGCTATCGGCCAAAGTAAAGTATGTTTTCGGATAATTAGCTATCGGCCATAGTAAAGTATGTTTTCGGATAATTAGCTATCAGCCAAAGTAAAGTATTTATTCGGATAATTAGCTATCGGCCAAAGTAAAGTATGTATTCGGATAATTAGCTATCGGCCAAAGTAAAGTATGTATTCGGATAATGAGCTATCGGCCAAAGTAAAGTATGTTTTCGGATAATTAGCTATCGGCCAAAGTAAAGTATGTATTCGGATAATTAGCTATCGGCCAAAGTAAAGTATGTTTTCGGATAATTAGCTATCGGCCAAAGTAAAGTATGTATTCGGATAATGAGCTACTTCCTTTTGTTGGAAAACCGAGCAGTCACAACCTGAACGATCTCTAAGATTAAAAGTACCTCGTGTGAATCCTTTTCTCTCCTCGACAAAAAAAAACGTGCTAGACACGTTCTATGAACAGAAATCCAATAGAGAATGAGATACTAACTCCAATGACTAGTGGCGGCATTTTAATTCCCCCTCCCCACCCCCCCCCCCCCACCCCCCAGTCTGGCTGACCGTTGGGGGACCACAAGTGTCCAGTTGCCTCCGTTACCCCCATCCCCCCTACCCCCAATCCTCCTCCCATCCCCGCTCAGTCCACTTTTCGTAGTTGTCTTTTCTTCTTGTTTGTTCTTGATGGTAATATTGAAGGGGATATCAACCTACATAAAGTTTTAAGTGTGTCAACATGTTTTGCGTCATAGGACCCGTTGACTCCGACTTCAGCCTGCTTTTCTTTCTGGGTATGCTTCCATGACCTTTGTCCAACCAAGAACAATCTGCAAGATAAGGCTTGTATGATTTTAAAGATTTATGTCAATGTGAGCAGTTGTCACCAGTCCAAAGGTGAGCAGTTGTCACCAGTCTGAAGGTGAGCAGTTGTCACCAGTCCAAAGGTGAGCATTTATCACCAGTCTGAAGGTGAGCAGTTGTCACCAGTCCAAAGGTGAGCAGTTGTCACCAGTACAAAGGTGAGCAGTTGTCACCAGTCAGAAGGTGAGCAGTTTTCACCAGTCAGAAGGTGAGCATTTATCACCAGTCTGAAGGTGAGCAGTTGTCACCATTCCAAAGGTGAGCAGTTGTCACCAGTACAAAGGTGAGCAGTTGTCACCAGTCAGAAGGTGAGCAGTTGTCACCAGTCAGAAGGTGAGCAGTTGTCACCAGTCTAAAGGTGAGCAGTTGTCACCAGTCAGAAGGTGAGCAGTTGTCACCATTCCAAAGGTGAGCAGTTGTCACCAGTACAAAGGTGAGCAGTTGTCACCAGTCAGAAGGTGAGCAGTTGTCACCAGTCAGAAGGTGAGCAGTTGTCACCAGTCTAAAGGTGAGCAGTTGTCACCAGTCAGAAGGTGAGCAGTTGTCACCCGTCTGAAGGTGAGCAGTTGTCACCAGTCCAAAGGTGAGCAGTTGTCACCAGTCTGAAGGTGAGCAGTTGTCACCAGTACAAAGGTGAACAGTTGTCACCAGTCTGGAGGTGAGCAGTTGTCACCAGTCCAAAGGTGAGCCGTTGTCACCAGTCCAAAGGTGAGCAGTTGTCACCAGTCCAAAGGTGAGCAGTTGTCACCAGTCCGAAGAGCCTCATCTACATAGGTGTCCGAACAATGTACGTTTCGAGTAGCCAATAATCCGCTCCTCCACCCGACCATGCCATCCCCATTGTGTTGATCAATCTTTGTATACTTGACATTATTGTTGTCTTTTTTAACACATAAGAAAATACTACCGGTATTTATTACTGTAGCATTGAACTCACGAAATGCTACACGAAATATTCCCCCATAAGAGTTATCTAATGCGTTTCTTCTGTCTGATCTCTCAAAACTCAGCTGAAATATTAAGGGAGAGAACCTTACTGCTTATTAAATGTAGATTATCTCCCTTTAATGTTTTTTTTGCGGCTTCTAAGCTTGAAGGCTCCAGAAGTGCATGATGGGTGAAGCTCGAGTAATAACGATGCCAGTTGATTAAAGGTGGTCAGACATGCAAGAATCAATAGCTTACCTTTCATCTCCATCCGTTTTGAGATCAATATATTTTTATAAGATGAACTCAATCAGCCTCGATACGGATTTTAGAGTTTAAAGCTCATAGGCCAAAGTCTAAATTTGGAGTGCAAAAATAAAATAAAAAATTAAATACGCATACGCTATGGACCACATGTTTTCTAGCTAAGTCTGAACACCCAGAAGATGACAGAGATAAGCTTTCTGTGGGTCTCCAAAATATACAAAACTAAGAAAGAAAAGACTCAGCATGATACATTTTTATTTTCTATTACGTATAGTAGTTGAAGTTTCTTCTTCTTCTTTGTTCTTAATTGTAATGTTGGAAGGAATTTCCTTCAACACAATAAAGTATTTCTTGTCAGTTTGTTATACACCTTATAGGCTATTGACTTAGATTTCACTCAGATTTTATTTATAGAATCTCTTCCATAGCCTTTGTCAAACTACAAGGCAACAGATGTTGATATTGGAGTTTTCTCCCCTAGATGCAGTGTTTCTTCCAGACTTTTTTCTCCGGGGGGGGGGGGGGCACTTGAAATTTTCGGGAGGGCGGTAGACTTTCTTCGGGGGGGCGGACACTGTTAAAAGTATATATTTTCTATATAAATTATATAAATTTCATTTCGTTCGGGGGGGGGGGGGCGGTAAAATATTTTTGGGGAAGAAACTCTGCCTAGATGGGTACTTGTGTTCTGCTACCGAGCCTCATCTGCCCGGGGTTCGAACTGCGGATTTTTTCGGTTTAGCAACCAAGAGTTTTACCGACCCACTTCGCTTAAGCCCTGAAGTTTAAGTAATTTCATATAACTGTTTTGTCAAGTGTATTGTTTTTCTGTCTCAATTGGCTGAACTCTAAATTAAATATTTGAAGCTAGAGGGATTCATCGAATCAAACGACCTTACTAATATGCTTTTATTGCGTGTTTTTTGGCTCAAAAGATGAGTCAACATAAAACCCTTGAGAATCTGACCAAATCAGAAAACAGTGTTGGTCGTGGTTGCTGAAAAACTTAGTGAAACTATTGGCAATTGTTACAGAAAGTTCACACAATTTTGATTCGGGCGTTTCCAATCTATAACTTTAGGTATTTGGACACTTTTTAATGTTGCTGGTTAAAGTGAGAAGTGCTAAACTGAATAACTAAAGCAGCGGTTCTTAATCAGGGTTCGATCAAACCCCAAGGGTTTGGTGAGTCAAGGGTTCGACTGCAGTCAAGACACACCCGACTCATACGATTCGTATTCTGTCAGTGCGGACGATAGTCAATTAAAAAGGGTTCGGTGAATGCGCATTTGAAACTTGTGGGGTTCGGTACCTTCAAAAAGGTTAGAACCACTGAACGTAAACCAACCACTCCCACCTAGCTTTTATGCCATGTATTGGAACAGTGTAAGAGGTCTGGGGTCTGCCAATGACGCTGAGTTATTTGAGCTTTTGGTTTCAACCTGCAACGCTGCAACCGTATGTTCTACTTGCAATACTTCAGTTGTATGTTCTTCCTGCAATACATCAGCTGTATGTTCTACTTGCAATACTTCAGTTGTATGTTCTTCCTGCAATACATCAGCTGTATGTTCTACTTGCAATACTTCAGTTGTATGTTCTTCCTGCAATACATCAGCTGTATGTTCTACTTGCAATACTTCAGTTGTATGTTCTTCCTGCAATACATCAGCTGTATGTTCTACCTGCAATACTTCAGCTGTATGTACTATGTGCAATTCTTCAGATGTATGTTCTACGTGCAATGATGCAACTGTATGGTCTACCTGCAATACATCAGCTGTATGTTCTACATGCAATACATCAGCTGTATGTTCTACGTGCAAGGCTTCAGCTGTATGTACTATGTGCAATGCTTCAGCTGTATGTTATACGTGCAATGCTTCTAATATTATTCTCACGGTTGCTGTGTTAACATACGCTCAGCTCGCTTATTGTGTACATGCTTTTCTTATGCATTATACATTCTACGTCACATGTCTTTTCTGAATATAAATATTCTTTTTATTTTGTAGTATATTATAAAATATATTTTCTTATTCTTTTTATATTTTTTTTCATTACAAATTTCTAAGTGTTTAATTTCCTTAATTGCATTTTAAATTAAGAATAATTTCTTTATAATTAATTTTGTAGGATGTAAGATATGTGTGTGTTAGATTGGAATCAGACTATGATTCACGAAACATTTTGCATGATAGAATTACGTGATGTTACATAGAAGAAGGATGGTGCTTGGAGCTTATCATCTGATAACTAAAGTTTTTATTTTTGTGTGTTTCAGGGCGCCAAACAGTTGACCCCAGAAGACATCAGTCGTGTCTTTAATCTCTATGACAGGGTAAGTTTCATGTCAGATGGTCAAGTCGGTGCCAAGTCAGGTGGTCACGGCAGATGGTCACGTTAGTGCCACGTCATATTGTCACGTCATATTGTCATGTCATATTGTCACGTCATATTGTCACGTCATATTGTCACGTCATATTGTCAAGTCAGATGGTCACGTTAGTGCCACGTCATTTTGTCACGTCATATTGTCACTTCATATTGTCACGTAATTAAAAAAAGGGTGATTAAAGACAATTATTTTCATCTATAGTGGTATATATACATAAAAGATGGGAGGCTTACGGATTTTAAAATCAAGACGTTCACGTGATTTTAGCCAGAAGATAGCGGATTTGAAAAGTATTAATATAAAAGGGAGTTAAGTCTGTCAAGAGTAAAATCAGCCGCTGCCATTAAAGACGTTTTGGACGTCAAAACGTAATTGACGTCATTGGAGGCTCTCCGGGAGGCTTCAGCGTGACCCTGGGTCATTGATTTCCATTGGTCGAATCAACATTACCCAGAGTTCCACAGTGGTTCCAGCTGTCGAGAGTTGCTCTCAAGTTTCCGTCGTCCTCTGAAGTAGCGCAAACAAAAACAAAGCGATCGATTGGATAGGTGAGGCCGAGACTAGCTGGTTTATCCCATTCTATAGGGATAGGTTTGATGACGCCGAGACTAGCTATCCCATTCTATAGGGATAGGTTTGATGACGCCAAGACTAGCTGGTTTATCCCATTCTATAGGGATAGGTTTGATGACGCCGAGACTAGCTATCCCATTCTATAGGGATAGGTTTGATGACGCCAAGACTAGCTGGTTTATCCCATTCTATAGGGATAGGTTTGATGACGCCGAGACTAGCTATCCCATTCTATAGGGATAGGTTTGATGACGCCTAGGTACTAGCTGGTTTATCCCATTCTATAGGGATAGGTTTGATGACGCCGAGACTAGCTGGTTTATCCCATTCTATAGGGATAGGTTTGATGACGCCGAGACTAGCTATCCCATTCTATAGGGATAGGTTTGATGACGCCTGGGTACTAGCTGGTTTATCCCATTCTATAGGGATAGGTTTGATGACGCCGAGACTAGCTGGTTTATCCCATTCTATAGGGATATGTTTGATGACGCCTGGGTACTAGCTAGTTTATCCCATTCTATAGGTATAGGTTTGATGACGCCGAGACTAGCTAGTTTATCCCATTCTATAGGTATAGGTTTGATGACGCCGAGACTAGCTAGTTTATCCCATTCTATAGGGATAGGTTTGATGACGCCAAAACTAGCTGGTTTATCCCATTCTATACGGATACGTTTGATGACGCCAAAACTAGCTGGTTTATCCCATTCTATAGGGATAGGTTTGATGACGCCGAGACTAGCTGGTTTATCCCATTCTATACGGATAGATTTGATGACGCCGATACTAGCTGGTTTATCCCATTCTATACGGATAGATTTGATGACGCCGATACTAGCTGGTTTATCCCATTCTATAGGGATAGGTTTGATGACGCCAAAACTAGCTGGTTTATCCCATTCTATAGGGATAGGTTTGATGACGCCAAAACTAGCTGGTTTATCCCATTCTATAGGGATAGGTTTGATGACGCCGAGACTAGCTTGTTTATCCCATTCTATAGGGATAGCTTTGATGACGCCGAGACTAGCTGGTTTATCCCATTCACTTATACACGTTTTGTGTTATACTGGATCTCTGATATCTGATACAGATAGACCTATTATCTGGGTATAGATCAATGAAGCTAGTTTGTTTAAAAGTCATAGTGCATCAATACAGTACATTATTTCAGGTATAGTTTTTATTTGAGTAGTTATTAAAGACGTAACAGCGTTAACAGTAAAATGTAATTCTACTTTACTCAACAAGTCATCTAGGATTTCGGCACTGGTTGTATTGAATTATTGGTAGCTTATATACTGATAGTAGGTTAACTTATACTTCTAACGTTAATGATAATTATATGCATTATTTCTAATATAACACGACTCTCACTAGTAATTTTTTTTAATTTTCTTAGTTTTCGGCCCAAGACTAAACGATAGGGGGGGGGGGAACTTAAAAATAATTGAAATAGGGGAAAGTAGATAAAACACGATAAATAACTGTTGAAGGGAAATAACCGTAGCAGGGGAAGTAACTGATGTTGTTTAACTTGCAGGATGGCAACAAAAGCATCGAGGACGAAGAACTGCATGGTTTTCTCAAAGACCTGATGGAGCTGGTTCAAGAGGTAGGGCTATGTCTTGGTCCGTGATCACGTGATCACGTCAGGGCTATATCTTGGTCCGTGATCACGTCAGGGCTATATCTTGGTCCGTGATGACGTCAGGGTTATGTCTTGGTCCGTGATCACGTCAGGGCTATGTCTTGGTCCGTGATCACGTCAGGGCTATATCTTGGTCCGTGATGACGTCAGGGTTATGTCTTGGTCCGTGATCACGTCAGGGCTATGTCGTGGTCCGTGATCACGTTAGGGCTATGTCTTGGTCCGTGATCACGTCAGGGCTATGTCTTGGTCCGTGATCACGTCAGGGCTATGTCTTGGTCCGTGATCACGTGATCCTGTCAGGGGTGTGTCTTGGTCCGTGATCACGTCAGGGCTATGTCTTGGTCCGTGATCACGTCAGGGCTATGTCTTGGTCCGTGATCACGTCAGGGCTATGTCTTGGTCCGTGATCATGTGATCCTGTCAGGGGTGTGTCTTGGTCCGTGATCAGGTCAGGGCTATGTCATGGTCCGTGATCACGTCAGGGCTATGTCTTGGTCCGTGATCACGTCAGGGCTATGTCTTGGTCCGTGATCACGTCAGGGCTATGTCTTGGTCCGTGATCACGTCAGGGCTATGTCTTAGTCAGTGATCACGTGATCCTGTCAGGGGTGTGTCTTGGTCCGTGATCACGTCAGGGCTATGTCTTGGTCCGTGATCACGTCAGGGCTATGTCTTGGTCAGTGATCACGTCAGGGCTATGTCTTTGTCCGTGATCACGTCAGGGCTATGTCTTGGTCAGTGATCACGTCAAGGCTATGTCTTGGTGATCACGTCAGGGCTGTATCTTTGTCCGTGATCACGTCAGGGCTATGTCTTGGTCCGTGATCACGTGATCACGTCAGGGTTATGTCTTGGTCCGTGATTACGTGATCACGTCAGGGCTATGTCTTGGTCCGTGATCACGTCAGGGCGATGTCTTGGTGTGTGATCACGTCAGTGTTATGTCTTGGTCCGTGATCACGTGATCACGTCAGGGCTATGTCTTGGTCCGTGATCACGTCAGGGTGATGTCTTGGTCTGTGATCACGTCAGTGTTATGTCTTGGTCCGTGATCACGTGATCACGTCAGGGTTATGTCTTGGTCCGTGATCACGTCAGGGTTATGTCTTGGTCCGTGATTACGTGATTACGTGATCACGTCAGCTTCACAATGTGTGTCTTGTGAATATGTCAAGTACCTTATACAGACGGTAAATATAAAGCATTTTTTTATAAAGATTAAAAAACTCTGTTCTGCTGTTATTTGACTTGAATAGTCTTCAGCGTCTGAGCATGTGAAATTCCTACTTCCTTGAAGTGGCGACTACAAGTTTTGTTTTCACACAATGTCAGGTCACATGGCCCACTTTATGGACATTGGTATCAGGCACATTGACTGAACACTGCACTCTGGGATCACTTACATTGTACACTCGACGACATTAGTTTATTATGTAGTTTATGAGCTAAAACAAACGTCATTTTCATTTTAAATGTCATTAACCACGTTTAATTTGGTTATATGTACAGAATGTCATTAGTAATTGTCATAATTTTAAAAATCTAAATTTATAGTTCGTGTCATTGGCTTAACTTTACCATCTGTGTCTGTAGGACTACGACGTGTCACTGGCTTAACTTTACCATCTGTGTCTGTAGGACTACGACGTGTCATTGGTTTAACTTTACCATCTGTGTCTGTAGGACTACGACGTGTCATTGGTTTAACTTTACCATCTGTGTCTGTAGGACTACGACGTGTCATTGGCTTAACTTTACCATCTGTGTCTGTAGGACTACGACGTGTCATTGGTTTACTTTACTATCTGTGTCTGTAGGACTACGACGTGTCATTGGCTTAACCTTACTTTATGTGTCTGTAGGACTACGACGCAGACGACATTGAAGAGTTCAAGGACATCCTGCTGAGAGAGTGTGACCTCAACCACGACGGTCGCATCGACAAGGACGAACTCTCCATGGTGCTTGTCTCCTTCGCCAAGGCATCCCAGGGTCCGGGGGACGAGCCCGAGGGTGGGGAATCGGGAGAAGGGGCGGGGCCCAACAACGGTGGAGCATCAAAAGAGTAGACGACCTATCATCAACAACCGGAGCTGTTATTCTCGACGTTGTCGTTATCGTAACGATGAGTTGGCTTTGTGGCTTCGCTTTGGTTGGTGATGTGGACAAGTGTACCGTGTGAAGATTTCATAACCGCGGTGTATCGTTAAGATAACCGCATTTAAACTTTTTCATTTTTACACTTGTAAGATTTATACAAAATCTCATGTCAAAAATTGCATTATTTCTAATTATTTTCAATTTTCAATTAGGTTTTTTTAAAGAAACGAATTATAAATGATACATTTTATCTCCATCTGTGGCAATTTTTTTTCCAAATGTAATATTTGTGTAAGCACTGCATGTGTAAGTGTGATGTACAAAATGAATGTAAAAGAAATTTGATGTCCAATTGCTTCTCTTTCACTGCAGATGTGTAACTCCGCGACATGACCATCTTTTTTCCCTACCACCTCTGTCAAGTAATGCATCATGACCATCTTTTTTTCTTTTTTTTCCCTACCATCTCTGTCAAGGAATGTAACATAACCATCTTTTTTTTTTCTTTTCTACTATTTCTATCAAGTAATGAAACATTTTTTTTTTAAATTTCTCTACCATCTCTGTCAAGTAATGTGACATGATCATCATTTTTTAATTTCTCTACCATCTGTCAAGTAACGTATTGTGTACAACTTTTCTTTCTCCCATCTTGTCGGCCCCTCCCCATCCTGTGACGTATGAGTATACGAGTTTGTACCACGTGATCGCGAGATCTAGGCGCCATTTTGATGTGCAATATTAGTAGTTCGTAAGGACATTTGCTGGTAGTGTTTCTTTTGATATCCCTTCACCGGTAGTTCGTAAGGACATTTGCTGTTAGTGTTTCTTTTGATATCCCTTCACCGGTAGTTCGTAAGGACATTTGCTGGTAGTGTTTCTTTTGATATCCCTTCACCGGGTAATAAGTAACTTTTTAAAAATAATCACAGCAGACGATAATGTAGTACTTTTTGATTTAGCAATCCCACATAAAGCAGACTTACAAATCTTCACTATTGAGTTCATCCACTCCTAAAAGCGTGGTACGCTCAGCTATTTTTAGAAGACATTTTTTTTCGAAGTCAATTGGGCAGATCAGCGGAATTCCAAAAACTTTTTAAAAGGAATTCGATAGAAATACGTAAATGATTGGCATTATGAAGATACAACAGTAAGAACAATCCCGGTAAATTTTACGTAACTATTTTTATTTTTGTTCTGCTTTGAAGGTTGGTGTGATTGTTATTCACTCTGGCCACACAAACAATACTCGATATTGCTTTATAAAAATCTTTCTACTATTTTTATAATGGCTGTGTTATTTGTTTGTTTGTTTGTTTGTTTGTTGTCTTATGTTTCCTTTCAGGATGTAACCAAAGAGATTTAGTTTCATTTGTCATTCGCATGTTAACTCGCCGTTTCTGTTATATGCTTAAAATAGTTGTATTGATCTTAAATAGTACGATTCTCAATAAGTGTTAGTTTAAACCCAACTCCAAATTAAAAGAATTAGAAAATTTTTTGGCAGGATTAGAATAAAATAATTAATTAAAGACCTAATAACCACAGATGTAGCCTTCATGTCAAAAAAATAATCCGCAGTGAAATGTTGTTGTCCTGAATCCTCAGGTCGCGTCTATTAGTCGTTGTTATGGTATATAGCCGTCAATGTTATAGCAGTTATAGTTAGTCAGTGTTGTAGTTAGTCAGTCGTATCTAGTCAGTCCAGCAACTAGTGCCTGTCACAACTAGTCACTGGAACAGCTAGTCACTGTTTTAGCTAGTCACGCCCACAATTAGTCGTCGTTAGTCACTGCTAGAGCTAGCCTTCTTTACAGTTCGATATCACTACATTTATCCATATCACTACATTTATCCATATCACTACATTTATCCATATCACTACATTGATCCGTATCACTACATTTATCCATATCACTACATTTATCCATATCACTACATTTATCCATATCACTACATTTATCCATATCACTACATTTATCCATATCACTACATTTATCCATATCACTACATTGATCCGTATCACTACATTTATCCATATCACTACATTTATCCATATCACTACATTTATCCATATCACTACATTTATCCACGGCTACAATTAGTCAGGGCTACAGCTAGTGCTACAATCCGTCACACTGTTTGATTAGCTGTAAATTACAACCTACCGACTACCGCAACATTTACCCTTTACCACCAACACCTACCGACCACCACAACATTTACCCTTTACCACCAACACCTACCGACAACCACGAGATTTACCCTTTAACACCAACACCATGTAACACCACAGCATTTACCCTTTACCACCACCACCTACCGACCACCACAAGATTTACCCTTTAACACCAACACCATTTAACACCACAACATTTACCCTTTACCACCAACACCATGTAACACCACAGCATTTACCCTTTACCACCACCACCTACCGACCACCACAAGATTTACCCTTTAACACCAACACCATTTAACACCACAACATTTACCCTTTACCACCAACACCTACCGACCACCACAAGATTTACCCTTTAACATCACCACCATGTGACACCACACTTACCCACTACCACAAAACCTCATTGCACGCTGTCCTTTTATTAATTTTAAGAAACTGTAGTTACAATGTAGACCTTTATTTCCTCCCAATTTTTCAACATAGTCTAACATGCATACTCATTTTGACTTTCTAGTTTCTACTTTAAATATAAAATGATTACTTGTTTGTGATCTTTTTTTTTTATTACGGTGACAGATTTCTGAATGGATTGGAGACATATTACATTTTGATATCATATACCTGAGTACAATTGATAACTTGTACAACCCCGTGAAGATATACTTAAATTTTGGCTTTACAGCCTATCATTACTTTCAGATCTAAGTCAACCACCACCCTCCATATCCGGCTAAATCACACACTTCCTCAGTAATCTATTCGACAACTGAACTAACTCATTCGTCTAAGGCTAGTTATCTGTTTGTCGTTTGTCGCGTATTGTTGCAACCGTTTATTGACCTAAAATCACGCACGCTCCGTCATCAAAACTCCGCTGGGTACACGCACTTGAGTTTCCTGTAACTAACATTTTTACATGTAGCACACTTTTTTTATATGTAACATTCTATTTTACATGTGAAACTCATTTTACCTGGAAATTTATATTTGTTCTCGTGTTTTTTAAGCTTTTGCTGCTATTTTTTAAAGTTCACCACAAGACCACGGGTGTTTTCATATTTCTTTTCATTTTCATCATTATATAACAGCTTCATTTAATTTAACATATAAATAGATTCTTTTTTTCACATGAAAATAACGCTTTAAAGCATTTTTTTCTCTAAACTCTAATTGATCTATATGCAACAGGCATATTAAAATTATACATATAACTACTTGGTTTTGTTTTTTAATGCTTATTTAATATAATTGTTAAATTGTGTTAATTCGTCTATTCGATTATAATTCAAAGTAACCTTCTTAAGCCTACTCTACATGTATTGTGTATATAAATTGTATGCATTGAATTCTCTGCGCTGAGCATCTTTCTAACCGCGCTCTATTCGTTGTTGTTTCCATTTATTTTCTCTATTTCTTCAACCGTCTGTCGGTTGATCGGATATTATTGTATCTTTCTTCTTTTTTATCGTCTATTTCATTTTAAGAAGTTTTATCATTGAAAATAAAATTATAAAAAAAAGTTTTTCGAGTTTTGGAAAAATGTATGCGCCGTATGCTGTTTGTATATTGATGGTTATGTGACGTGTACCAATGGTTTTGTGTGCGGTGTGTGTGTGATCACGCACACTATATAAGACTGTTGGGTATTTAGGAGAAAAAAAAAGCCTTAGGACGATTATAAGTCTAGGCAAGCAAGGGCTTGTAGGACGAAAAAAGATTAGACAAGCTGATGTTCGTAGTAGGAATATAAGACTTGGCATGGCCTCTTTCAAAATACTGAACTGCATTAAAGGGTAACTATAATGTACGCAATTTTAGAAACATAATTTAACAGTACACTCCCCTATGAAATTGAAGTAAAATAAATTTGTTTTCACAGTTTTTACAAACTTTACTTAGGTAAGATAAAATGTGTTATTGTATTCAAATTTTGTAACTCGTTTTGACCAAAGGGGCTTTGGCCACAGGGGGGGGGGAGGAGGGTGAACCTCATTTAGTTCTTAAAATAGTAATAACAGTCTGTTATTTAATCTTAATTTATGAAACAATTGATAAAATTGTATACAACACGTATCCTTTAAGTAGTTGAGTTTTTCCGACTCAGGAATTGTTAAACGTAGAGATTTTTACAAGCTTTTATTTAAGTATTATTTCATTAATATTTAAAATATTCATAAAGAAAAGCGTTAATATCTTCTTAAATTTTAGTACACGTGTTCAATACATAACATAATATATTTTATGAAAATCGTTTATTTATTTTGTTATAATTATTATTGTTATGCTTGATATTAAAACGTTTGTTGTTTGAGTTGGTTTTTTTTTTCAAAATTTCGATTTTTTAGCACGATTACAATAATAAGTCTATAGGCCTTCACCGTATATCCGAAAGGAAATATTAGTGACTATATTGCAATGAACAAAACTAGATTTATAGCGCATTACAAACGCATTTTGTGCGTTCAATGGTGCAAATATTTCTTTGCATCGATCTGAACTAGCACTGATCGCATTGCAGCGATGTGAGAGAAATTGAAATGGCAAAATTGCAATCAATGAAGACCAGATTTACTGTAATGTGTTTGGCTCTTAGACTCTTACAACATATCAGTATCACTGAAGCAGGTTTGTTATGCTTCTATTATCCAAATCATGTGTAACAACTTTAGTTACATCTTCTAGTGTCTGGTCTAGATTTAGATTTTAGTAGCAAGGATTAGGACATTAAACATTCTAATGGTTCAAAGTAAACCTATTGGACTATATTATGTCTAGATCTAACCTAGAAATCTTGATTTAGAATGTAGTCTTTCTTGGTCTATTACTTTATTGGTATTTTAAGCAACTCTAAACAATATTTTTAAAAAAGGAAGTTTATCAAAAACGTTTACAGTTTATAATGATAATATCTTATGTACAACTCTTCAACTAAATTTTATTATTATTAAGACTCGATTTTTAACTATTGTTTATTTTATGAAAATTATTTGTAAAAATTATTTAAACATCTAATTATGTTAAATTTTAAAAAAAAATGTTTATCTAACAGTGCAATGCCATAGGGTCTTGACCTACGTATCCAGTTTATTATTAGTAAAATATAAATAGAATTCATCTAACACTTTGTTTTTTAATTGGTTCGAATAATATAAAAAAATAATTCAAATATATCATGACAAATTTATTTTTGTGTATTTTATCCCAAAACTAAATGAGCTAGTTAGTTAGACAAGACTACATGCTTTCCACTCTTACATAATTTATAATTCATATATATATATATATATATATATATATATATACATATATATATATATATATATATATATATATATATATATATATATATATATATATATATATATATATATATATATATATATATATATATATATATTATATATATATATATATATATATATATATATATATATATATATATATTTATATAATAGTTGTATTAGGAGAAGAAATATTTTTTTATATTCTAAAAAATGTCGTTATGAACTCGATAAAAAAATTAATAGGGAATAGCAAGTGAAAAATGCATGGATTATTTTGGAAAAAAGTATCGTATTTTAAGAAAAATTCAACTGCAATTTTGAAGAGGGGGGGGGGGGTAGGCTCAGGTGTCACGTCATTTTAGTGGGGGGGTCTGGCTTTTTGTGACGATGTGTGACGGAGAGGAGGTAAAAATCGTCAAAAAAGCGATTATGGATAACCCCATAGGAAAACAAGATGACTGACATGAAAATGTTTGTCGAAGTCTTTAAAAACTCATTAAAAAATCGGTGCGGACAAGAACTACAAGGATTAATATAAGTATTAAAAATATAATAAGTTAGGACCTAGAGGTTTAACTATAAAATAAACTGAATCTAAAGCATGTATTGGTTACAAATTAATTTTTTATAAGGAAAAATTTAAAGCAAAATGAAAAGTTTCGGAAAATGGTAAACACATTTTATATTTATTTTCAGTTAGTAGAATATATAGTTAATATTGGAATTTAAAAAATCACTAATGAAATTCTAGGGATATTTTATAGACGGTTATCTTCACTCTGCGCCATTGGTCTACATTGCATAGCCATCACGTCTTGACCCAAGTACAAGTTTGATTTTAATTCTGAAATAGCAATTATCTTAGCCATTTTTAAAAACAAGTGGATTAGTGTAGTCTGGGATTTGTTTTTTTTTCAATCTTTTGTTTTGTAAGATTCCCAGATGTCTAGGTCAAGTCATAAGGATAAAATTTAGTTCAAATTAGGGCCTTATCGATTCGGATTTAATTTCTTTATTTGTATCCTGGCTATAATATTACTCTAAAAAGTAGGCCCTAAATTAACATATTTAAAAAAAAAATCAATAAAAAACAAAATATATTCAATTAATAAAAACTTGAGTAGCAAACAAAAATTGTATTCAGGATTCTAATAAGTTGGCTTAAATTTATTATTTATTTAATCGGTTTGATGAGATAAATAAATAAAAGATCCATAGGATGAAAGTAAAGTTCCCTTTTTAAACCTGACGGTCTATGGGGCAAGTGAAGTAGAGTTCACTTGTTTCTGTGACCTCGGCATATGAAGAGATAGTGTGGCCAGCACTATGCCCAGCCGCCTTTACTTTCCCTAACGCTAGTTTGGTACCCAATATTTGGTAGGCTATATTCTTATTTTATAATAATTACTTTTATACAAATTCTTTTGAAAACTGTTCTTTATTGATTTGTATAATTTTCTTTATTTCTGAAAAATAAAACTTTGTTTGGGAATCCTTTTTTTGTTTCTGTACAAATTAATAAACATAAATACCTACCAGGCTTAATATCCAGCAACATTAAACAATTAAGTAGGGCCTATTGTTAGTAATGGTAAATTTTATACTAATTAATGTGATTTCAACTCTATCAATGTTGCTACCAACTCCAATAATTAAAACTGAAGCCATTTACTATGAAGTAAAACTTGGGTGTAATCCAAATCCACCCAGTTGCCGGGGGCAAGGTACCAAACATGATGTCCAGTAGGGGTTAAGAAAGTATCATTATTAAATCACTATTAAACCCCTCCTCGCCTACGCCATTGCTTGTATGCATATGGACGTTATCGGAATTTACTGTATTGCTTATAAGTCGAAAATGCGAAAAAGACACGTTTAACATTACTAGTTTGAAGAATAACATTCATGTTAGCCGAAACAGGTGTATTATAAAGTTGTTTAAATTCATTTTATTGTTCATTACGATTATGATGTCGTAAAATATAGGCCTATTTAAAAAAAGCATAACTAAAAAGTGTTTAAACGCATTTTCTTCTTAGAAAAGCCGCACATGCATGATATCATTAACATTACGGCAAATCAAACCCTTGAAGAAGCCCCATCAACCATTCAATTATTACGATGGGCAACAAATAAAACGCCCGCATCAAGGTACAGTCCTTATGCTATCGACATTAGCTCAACCCCGGCAACTAACGTGTCCCAAAACCAAGAATTGAAATCTTGACCCATTATTCTGATTAATTAGTGGTTAAACATCTTTAGACATCTGAAAACGTTAGTTTTTAATCTAGTGTACTCAAAAAGGAACAACATAAAGCTTTATGCCGCCTTAAAAACCCAATCCCATGTTACGCAAGGCGTCGATAGAGAAAGAATAAGGCTTTGAGTCAAAACAGGCAAGGGCTTAGATAACTGCCAAAATACCTAATCTGTAGACCTCACAAGTCTAGACGATATATTTGTGCCTCTGTTTTTAGACTTTCAGAACAAATGCATGTGATGTGGTCAGTAGGCACATAAAAGAGAAAAGTAGTTTTAATCTAGAGACTTCAAACATTTCTGAAGGACCGAATTTGAACTTGTAGGCCGTGGTGTCGATGCCAAAGTTTATCGTCGTCCGCAAAGATAAGCTATCGTTATATCATCTCTATGCCCATATTGTGACAGATATTTACAAATGTGTCTAATATAGGACAGAATACATAGCTACTCAACAGAGATAAGCGCAATCACTTGTCCACGACTTAAGAAACCACTGTACTGCAAAACCCACCTAAATGGAAAATGTCTTAGATGTGTGTTTTAATACAAATGTGTACCTCGTCGCGAGTTAGGACCTGTAGGTAGTCTGTTACTACTCTATATCTAAAAACAATAAAAAAGATAACGTGAATTTTATTTGTTCAATTTCTTGGTTAACTGTATTTGTTGCATCTTGTTCAATTTTGTTAATATTGATTAACCTAAAGGGTTCAAATGTAACAAAGAAAATTGTGACTAAGTTTCCGGGTGCGGGTATGCGGACACTAGTTAAAGTAGGCCCTATATATCTATTTATATTTATAGAAATGAAAGTATGTTTATCTGTTTGTCCTATATGAATTACTACATCTTTTTCATCGGATCGCCATAAAACTATGTGAACAGAGGTTTTTCCAGGAATCTATTCGGAGGGGGGGGGGGGGGGGGGGGAAGCAGAGCCCCCACCCCCCCACCCCCCCCCCCCGAAGAAAGTCTATCGACCCCCCACCCCCGAACGAAACGGAATTTATATAGAAAAAATTACTTTTAACAGTGTCCGCACGCCCCCCCCCCCCCGGAAAGATTTCGCCAGGGCGGCACCCTAGCAGGAAGCAGAAGCGTAGCAACCTATTCCGGCGCCCGGGGCGAACTATCAATTATGTGCCAACCCTATTCAAACGCTGGCAAAAAGGCGCCCATCCCTACATACACTCCCCTATATAAAATAATTGAGGATATCAGCCATGTATAAATCTGTTTTCTTGAATTTTACTGAAGAATGAGGATTTTTTTAAAAATTGTCTACCCCTTTTGGCGCCCCATTCGATCTGGGGTCTCTGACAGGAAGCAATGCAATTTTTCTCCATAAAAATAAAAGCCAGATGCAATTTGACACTGTTCGTACGAGAGTCATAAAATTTTGGGTAGTTGGTGAAAAGGGTTTCGAGAAAGAAAAAAAATTCTTAAGTGTGGCACCCTGGGAGGGTTCGATTTTTCTAATTATACGATTATGAGCCCAGAATCCAGAGGGGAATCCAGAGGGGCTATCTCATCAATTGCGGTCATAGGTAATACTAGATTCAGCAGAGGCGCAGTGAGGTGGGGGGGGGTACATATGTCCCCGGGAGCCAACCCTAGGGGCGCCAAAATGGTTGGAAAAATTTAAAAGCTCATTTTAGCTATAGTTTTGCATTATAAATATTTAAAAAATACGGGGGGGGGCGCCAAATTGAAAGTTTGTCTCCGGCGGGAGGGGGGGCGCCAAATTGAAAATTTGTCCCCAGGCGCCAGGAATGGTGCTACGCCTCTGAGATTCAGTGATAAAACTACACCAGGTTCATCCGCCAGCTCCCCGGCGGTTGAGTGGCCCAGAGCGGCCAAGACCCATCTCGGGCGACCCTACGGTTTAGATGGGCTACTATAAATGTTCACTAAGTAGAATAATGAGCGCCCGCCGGCGCCCTGGCAGTTGGCGACAGCGAGCGCCCCGGGCTCTACAGAGAGTGCCTCCTTAAAGAGCACCCTACAATAGGGACACGGTGGCACACGACATTTTATAATTAAACCGAATTAGGGGCGCCCCTGCGGAAATATAACCAGTGGCTCCCTGGAGCGCCAAGGGACGCGTCTCTAACACATGGGCGGTCGCCAATGTGTGTTCTACCTCACTATTACAGAGGTTAATTAACGTACACTCAAGGCTTTCATACAGTGAGCCTTGGTGCGTCTAGACGGCAGTGTGGACAAACCCGCGCCCCAAAAACGAATATGTGGGTTTGTTTGTTTAAGCATTATCAAAGATTTCATTCGTTTGTCATTCAAATTTGAGAAGTTAATGCTAATACCCCTGTGGTGGTTTCTACGAAAAAAATTCGATTTGGTGGCGCCCTGGCAGGGTCCCATTTAGCTCCCCGGGTTTTCCCGTGAGTACTATGGTACCTTTGTTCGTTTTAATAATTGCGAAACGCTATGAATATGATGGGCTACTATAATCGCTCACTATACCGAGTGAGGCGCCTTCCTACCTACGCCCACCTACCTACATACCTAACTCCCTGCCTACGTACCTACCTATCTACTAACCTGCCTGCGCTGCTGTCTGCCTACCTACTTTCCTACCTACCGTTATTCCTGCCAAACTGCTTTCCTTCCACCCCGCCTGTCTACACACCTCACATCCTACTTACACACACACATATCTTCGTATGTATATATGTATGTGTTAGTGTGCTCTAGGACTATGTATTTTTACATTTTTGTTGTTACGTAGAACTATTCAGTATAAAGGAGTTTCCTTTTTTTTGACGTTGTAACTGCCGCTAAAATATTCTTTTTTGTATGTGTGCATAAAATAGTGTAGGTTTATTAACAAAAGTAAATTTTAGTATGTATTTAAGTGTATATAATCATTTTCGTCAAGCCAATGTGTTCATAATCTTAAGTTTAAAAACCCATGAAACTCGATAGCCAAAGATTTAGAATGAGAATAATTGCTATTTAACCAGTAACACCTATTCTAATTATTGTAATAATATTTTTTTTAAATAAATATACACAGAGATAGATTGTTTTCTTATATAATTTATTTAAAAAGTCAACTGTATTTCATAACGAAAATTAACACAAAATACATTCGAATAGAAACTGTCAAGGGAGACTACTCTAATATTTGTAGGAATAATAGTTTTTATTTAGAGTTTTTTTTATTATTAGAAGAAAAGTTAATCATGTAGGTTCTATAAAAGATTACCTTGCATTTAAAAAAAAGATATTCGATAGGTTTAGAATGAGAAATAGTCAAAATTATTTATTATATTCATTAGTTGTTTTTTTTAATAATATAGTACAAAGACCTGTTTTAATTATTTTTTAAAAATCTTATTTTAATTAATAAATTATAAATGAAGATCGAGGATCTATATTTAAAAAAATAGTTTAACTGTCCCTAAACAATTGTATCAATCGCTGAGAAATTAAGAATTAATAATTACGTTTAACGCTTTATTAATTAATCGAGTTGAATTATTTCCGTTTTGATAAACTCTCTCTCTCTCTTTATAACTACTAACGCTTTATCATTGAGTTTCTTAAGAGAAAAATACAGGAGAGCGGTAGTTATCATTGACTCTGTCATTGAAAATTTCATTGAGTCTTTCATAGAAAATAGTATTTGATCGGCTGATACGGAAACCGGCTCAGAAGTTTGACTCCCATTAGCCAGACAGGCCTCAGTGTAGCAAACTCCGACACATGGTGGTAGTAGCAAGTCGTTTAGTGTCGGTTAGATCGCTACACGTAGGTCGCTTCTCCGTCGGCTCTCATCGGGCTTTCCTTCCCCTACCCACCAGACGCCAGACGTCGTCCTACCGTCTGGTACCCAGCTTGATCGTGGGGGGCGTTCAGCCAGATCAAAAACCTCTAGCTGCTGTTAGCTACCACTAGCCATTCCGCACCCATTAGGGGGGTCATGAACTTGGCCCGACTAATGGCACTCTTCCGAAGCCGCGTGAAGGCCGCAGCTTAAAGTCAAAGTATCTGGTTAGGGTCGAGAGCAGACCCCTTTTGGTTCCCGGCAGTCTTGCACCTCACCTCCCCCACGCTATAATGTGGGGGAATGGGGAGTCCGACAAACCAGGCTCTTCGGAATTTTAAAAATTTTAAATCAGCTAAATGAGCTGAGGAGATCTCTTGATTCTTAAATATTAAACATTTTAAGATAACGTGATTTGTGTTAAAATAGAAATATAGTAAAAAATTAGTATTGGTTTAGTTATAAGATGGCTTATGGCAGTGGCGTAGCGAGGTCGGGTGTCACCCGGTGCGGCACTTAATGGTGTCACCCTCTCCCCCCCCCTCACCAGAGGCGTAGCGACCCTTCCCGGGGACAAAATTTCGATTTGCACCCCCCCTCAAACTTTCGATTTGCACTCCCACCCCCCCTCAGGTTTTCGATTTGCACCCCCCCTCAAGTTTTTCTCTATATATTTTGCTATTTTTTTGCCTTGGTTGTCACCCCCCTAAATGGTGTCACCCGGTGTGGTCCGCACCCCCGCCCCCCCCTCGCTACGCCTTTGGCTTATGGAGAGATTGAATGAAATTTTTTTTTCGAAAAACTTAAGCTTTGTAAGAAATAAGAGAAAGTTTAATGGATATTACTCCTTGTTTATTTATTTTTTAAATCTAAATAAAATATACCTATTTATTTATTCAGTTGTTCTTTACTATTCAGAACGTATGTATGCTTTTCTACCGATTTATAACGAGGCCTATCTGGCAATATATCACAGTGGCGTAGCCAGGATCGTCTCAAGGGAGGGTTCCAATTTTTACCCGGGGACAAACTTTCGATTTGCACCCCCCCCCCCCCCCCTCAAACTTTCGATTTGCACCCCCCCCCCCTCAAACTTTCGATTTGCACCCCCCCCCCTCAAACTTTCGATTTGCACACCCCCCACCCTTAAACTTCTTCTATATACCGAGGGGTCTATAGGAGGGGTTATGACCCCCCCCCCACCTAACCCCCACCCCCCCCCCCCCCTGCCTACGCCACTGATATATCAATTTGATCAGTTCACTTGAACACTCATAAAATCAAATTTCAGATCGCACTCGGCTTCTCGCTCGTCTGAATGACAAATCCTGGCCGTGGTTTGGCGATTGTTACAAGAATGCATGTCCCGACTCGACCAAAGATCTCACTCGATGTTTCAACTACAGGCAAGTTGCATTCAATACACTTTAGTTAGGCAATAGTTGTTGCTTTGGGAAATTAAGATTACCTCACTTTGTACGGAGCAGTTAAGTTCTTATTTTACTATCATAATTTCATACGGCGGCAACTTAACATCGTCTTTGTATATATATATATATATATATATATATATATATATATATATATATATATATATATATATATATATATATATATATATATATATAATATAATATAATATATTAATTATTTGCTTAGATGTTTAAAAAATACCACCATAAAGACCTTATGCTATAACTTTACATTCTCCCTCACTAAAAAACAATCTTTTTTGATTATACAATTTGGGTTTTTACACAAGCACGTTGCGCAGTAAAAAATGTCAGTGTTTTTTTTTTGTTTAATGAAGCACTTTATTAGTTAATTAATTAAGAGACTCTTTTTACTTCTCCAGACCTCAGGCTGAATCAGTTTTACAGCGAGCAGGAATACCTAGCACCGTTCAACTTTCAGTGGATCTGGATGTTGTGTTTGCTAGTCCAGAAGGTTTTTTTTTTTAAACTTTACCCAATTGTTTTTAAATGTTCTGTTTATTCGTTCTAAAGCTGCGTGTTTTACAACTAAAAGCACATTTAATATAACCACATTATATAAAAATGTATTAAAGAAAGTTCTAAAATGTATGTAAGTTGGTTGCAGATGTGTGATGTAAACTTAGCAACACCATTTTTTGTTGACAGAACCTGTTGATGTATGCGGTAAAGCACAAGTTATGAAAGAAGTCAGGGCATTTAAACTTGATGAAGATGGGCATGCAAGCAAGGCAATGTTAGAGGTGAACGCTTTATAATACGCTGGCTTAAAACATTTGACATCTGACAAACATAAATAATTTAAGACCATCTGATGGGCTTAAAAAACTTGTCACAGAGATCTAAGGATTTTTACTGACCAATAGTGAAAAAGTGACAATACAAACTATTCATAAGCTTGGAGAGCCATTTGCTCTCCATTATTCACGTCTATATTTCTATGTATCTCATAGCCCCAGGAGGGCCGTTGGGACTTTTTAACTTTTTCAGAAAGATTTGCCTTTCTTCCTAGTCCTCCGCTATTAGTAATGCTGCTAAGGGCTGCCTAGTTCAGGGGTCGGCAACCTTTTGATATGGAAAAGCCATGTTACAATTTACCCAGTTTCATTTGGCCTAGTTCATTCCGTTATGTCCTTCATAAAATTCCTCGCATTTTCCACTCTGGTACCAACACCTAATCATAGTCTATATTAGTCATTAGACAATTTGACGGTGTCGCATGTATATCAGGTAAAAACTAAGCATGTCTCATTTCAACGCTTCTAGTATCCAGCGTTAGATTGATTGAGCCAAGGATTTAAAAAGGCAATACAGTCCTTGCTACGAACTTAATATTTTTCTGCATTACAATTACGCAGTAAAATAATTAATTAAAGATTTAATTTAGCTAAAATTTAACAGTAACACATTTTTCAACGCAAACGATTAATTACTTTTCAAACAGATTATCCGTTTTTAAAAGAGATACAGATTGGAAAATATGTGTATTACTACTTTTACTAATATTTTTTAATTTAAAAAAATCTAACTAAATGTGAAGACATTTCATTTTCTAGCGAGGATCTGAAGTCTATCGCAATCCTCCAAAAATAAACTTTGTTCCAAACGAGGGCACTACATACCAGATAATAATCTTTGACGTCGGCCTTTTAATGGTCAGAGGATATTGGTGTGACGTTAAGATTGTCAACGGCATTATTCAGGGCCAGGTAACGACTTTTTGCTTTTTTGTAATCGTTGGAAATAATCCTATTATTACCCCGTCCTTCATCGTGTCGATTCGGGCATTTGTCCCATTCGGGCAAGTGTCCATTCGGGCGTTAGTCACATTCGGGCAAGTGTCCATTCGGGCATTTGTCCCATTCGGGCAAGTGTCCATTCGGGCATTTGTCCCAGTCGGGCAAGTGTCCATTCGGGCATTTGTCCCATTCGGGCATTTGTCCCATTCGGGCATTTGTCCCATTCGGGTATTTGTCCCATTCGGGCAAGTGTCCATTCGGGAAATCGGCCGGCTCCCTTTGTTGTCATCCCTTCTTGTTTCATATAAGAATATTCTAGATCACTCCTGGTTTATTTTAATATACAACACCACGGGTACCGTTTCTGTAAGGTATAAGTATTTTATTGTATAAACAGGTTCCTTTCCATTTTTGAGCCATTTCCAGTCAATAAAAAAGTGGTACTGTTCTCTATTTCCTTGTGGTCACGATACCTAGAAGACTGTTTCTGTATAAAGTGTTATAATGAGTATAAGACTTTTTGACTAATTACCTTTTGACTATTTTATTTAGCGATTTCAAGTAAAGGATATGAATAGTTTACTCTATTTTGCTGTCTATCAAAACCTAGCGAGCTTAATGGTTTAAAATCCTATGTGTTTAAACCAGCCGAATTTTAAATACTTCTCGGCTCTGTTTTCTCGAGATATGAGCGCAGTCTTTCTTGCCATTTGTCTAACACTACTCCAATAGATGCGCTACCCAACCCATACTGTTCGGTCAGGTGCTGAATTGGTAGGTTTGTGGGGGGTAGGGATGGTATGTAGGGGGATGGGTAAGTGGGATAACCTTCTCAGTGTGAACATAGCGTCAGTTTTTAGATGGCTGTAATAATATCTAAACATACATAGATCTATACATATATACTGATTTAGAAAAAGATTTAAGCAAATATCGATAATATTATGACAATAAAACAAAATCAATAGAGGGGTCCATGGGGAGGAGGTGCCATGCCCCCCCATGTATATATATATATATATATACTAGGCATGCTGCCCAGCTTCGCTTAGGCTTTCGAAAACATTGAGAATTTGAATGCTTAATTAATTCGCCCGAGGGTCGGTCTACGACATCAGGAGTTATGAAGAGGTTCCTCCGTGGACATTTTTTTTCGATTTATAGCTCATATAAGGCGCCGGTCAGTCGAGGTCAGTTTTGATCCCATCATCGTAGACTTTTCGGCCAACCGGTCCCCGTGTTCTGTCGCCCCAAGGCAAGATCCTGCCAAATTTGAAGCGTCTGCGGCGCCGGGAAGTGCCCTATCGGGCACCCGACAACTTTGCTTTATATATTATAGAGATTAGCAAATTGCATAGATAAACAAAGATTTCAATAAAGTAATTAAGGCCTGAAATACTTTAGTATAGAAATGTATTATTTGAATAAATGAATCTAGAATATCTAGATCTAGAATCCAAATAAATAAAATAAATTTTATGAGTTTAGGCCGGAAAAATTGTATTGTATACATTTCATAGTGTAGGCCCTACGTAGATCTAAATCAAATTTGAATAAAATAGTTCATTTCTTTTTATACTAAACACGGCAGATGACGTCATTAGTTAATGTATAAGCAATAGTGACGTCACAGTTTTAAGTGTTCTTTTTCACATCTATTAATGCTTTTCCGGTTGCATAAATAATACTGTTTCTCTACATTCGAATACGCCTTTAATTTTTATTTTTCTTCTTTAAATAAAATTGTGGTTTTACATTTAAAACATCTAACATATTATTTTCAACAAAAGTCCGTATAAAGTTCTCCATATATCGCTGCCGTTTCTGACGTGATGTCCGGCGAAAATATTTTGCGGACAGACAGAGAGAGTGAGAGAGAGAGAGAGAGAGAGAGAGAGAGAGAGAGAGAGAGAAGTGCGCACATGGGGAATTATATATTAGGATATTTATAAATCTAAAAATAACTATATTAAATAGTGCTAGCATAATTTCTTTAAAATATTTAACCAAGTTTCAATATTGGCCTATATATAAACAGTCTCGGAAATAAATACGACATTAATTGACAGGCTAAAATGAATTATCGACCACCTGCCAATCCTATTCCTGTGGTCAATCCAATTTTGATCATTTTACTAAGAGATAAAGAGTGCTTCCGTATTGGTGTGTGTAAGAATCGAGGGTCATCACGTGATGAGGCAAACGACTGCAGACAAACGTTAGTCACACGTTTTGGTGACGGAAAAGGTAGGAGATTAAAAGTTTTTTAAAACAGATTTAAAAGTTAGTTTTAATCTTCGACCGACAGCAATTAAATCTTTCGTTGGTGTTGAGTTTCTGTGAGTATCAATAAGTTTGTCTTAATGTGTTCTGAAATCTGCGAAAGATTTTAGGAATCGCAGTAAGTCTATCTGTTTCACTCAGGCGCAGCAAGTCGACCGAAGAGTCTAGTCTGTTCCACAAAATATATCTTGCAGGCAGCCGACACAAGAGTCTAGTCTGTTCCACAAAATATATCTTCCAGGCAGCCAACACAAGAGTCTAGTCAGTTCCACAAAATATATCTTCCAAGCAGCTTGGTACTAAATTAATATCACAAACACTTGTCAGTGTTCATCCAGCATTGCTGCGTCAATCCAAATCTTTCACTTTAACCTTACATCGCCATTGGCCATAGGGCGATGTCATGTATTGCTATGCTGGTCATTGACTTGCTTAGCGCGTAGCCGATACATTGCCACTTGTTTAGATGTCTTCATCAGCTGTTTTGTAATATGGCTGTCACGGTTATGTGTTAATTGTATTCTACTTGGATCTCATGTTGTTGTTTACAGATATAGAAGGACTGCAAGTGTTTTATACCAATGGCGCATCCCTGTTTGAGAAGTACATGGCGTGTACTGAAGGCTACATCTGTGACAGTCTTTGTATTGACAAGTTCAAAGAATGCAAGTCCCTTTTATTTGATAGGATTTTATTCATCATTTCAAGTTGTTTTTTTTTAATTATACATTGTTTATAAATACAGATGAACAGTAAATGCATATAACAATACCACCAACATTTGTAAAAATAATAAAGGGTATAAGAGGTTACATGCTCCATGTATTCCATTAACCGTGTTTATATAAAATTAATCTTGTATACTTGTATTAGATCAGTTTCATTTAAGTTCTGTACCATTATACCAAGATTACACTGCAAATGTTTTTAACTCTGACAAAACCATTACGGCTAAACACTAATACTAGACACTTTCCCTAACCAGGAGCTTGCCCTTCCTCGAAAGAGGGCAGCTAACTGACCGCAAGTGACCAACTCTTTATATAAGCTTATATATATTTTAATATCATCAACAACACCCCATGAAAATGTGGGTGTTCGTAGACTGAGCCTCTGTGGTAACAGGAAAAAGCACGAAACATTTTAACCTAACGCTGCACTTTCACTACACATCTTAACCTAAACCTACACTTTCAATACACATTTTAACCTAACGCTGCACTTTCACTACACATCTTAACCTAAACCTACACTTTGAATACACATCTTAACCTCACCCTACACTTTCACTACACATCTTAACCTAACGCTGCACTTTCACTACACATCTTAACCTAAACCTACACTTTGAATACACATCTTAACCTAACCCTACACTTTCACTACACATCTTAACCTAACGCTACACTTTCACTACACATCTTAACCTAACCCTACACTTTCACTACACATCTTAACCTAAACCTACACTTTGAATACACATCTTAACCTAACCCTACACTTTCACTACACATCTTAACCTAAACCTACACTTTGAATACACATCTTAACCTAACCCTTCACTTTCACTACACATCTTAACCTAAACCTACACTTTGAATACACATCTTAACCTAACCCTACACTTTCACTACACATCTTAACCTAAACCTACACTTTCAATACACATCTTAACCTAACCCTACACATTCACTACACATCTTAACCTAAACCTACACTTTCAATACACATCTTTACCTAACCCTACACATTCACTACACATCTTAACCTAAACCTACACTTTCAATACACATCTCTAACCCTACACTTTTTTAACACGTTTTTAGCGCAATTTCCATTCTGGAGAATTGCGTTTATTAACTCGTCGTTTCTGGGAATGGATGGATGAATGAATGTATGGATGTATGTGTGTCCGAAGCTTTAAGTCGTATCTCCTCCTCAATGAAGCAATATCGAGGACTAGTTCCAAAAGCAATTATGTTAAGCAAGTTACGAGGATGAACATAAGCCAAAAAAATTCCGGGTTTCTTTCATGGATTTCCCGGAAAAGCCAAACAAACCTCGAAAAAATGCAGTTTTTGGCCCATATCTCGGCAACCAGACCACTTAGCGACTTGAAACATGTACCAATCGATTCCTGCCATAATTTAGAACAATATTGCCGAAGAAAGTTTTCAAAAATATCCTTTCGTTCGGTCACAAAAATTTTTTTGAATTAATTAAAATTTGGACCGAATTAGTAGGCATTTTTATCCAACCACACCACACGCGTCATCACGTCCAATAGCTGCGCCATCACGTTCGTTAGCTAGGCGCGCAATGGTTTTTAGTCATGTAACTCTATTGTAAATAAAACATGTAAAATACTGAAAAAAAAATTAATAAAAAACGTTTTAATAACTAACCAATGGTTTTCCTAACCCTGCTCTTGATTTACGCTACGACAGAGCTATTTTTAGATAACATAAGGAAATGGCGCTTAACTTGTCACAAGACTTTTTAATTAACTTGTTTTACAATGTGTCAGCAAAAACTCCAAACTTCTGTTTCTCTGTAGATGCTGTAAATAAAAAGCCAAGCATCACGTTTGCTGATTTGGATTTGAGTCATCTGGACATGTACGTCAACGTGTTCATCGACAGCGAATTTATTAGCGAAATTTCCTACAGTTGTTCTCGATGTGCATTTTCATCCGAAAGACGCTATTCAAAGTAGGCTAGTATAAAGCTAGTTTGTTTTTAATTATCTTAAAAAAAGTATTAATACGTCATGAAACCGTTAATAAAAGTTGTTACTTAGACAAAAACGGTCAAGTGAAAATAATTTTTAATCTTTTAAACAAAGTTAAAGTACCAAATTATAATTTTTCATTTAGTTACTGTCAGTTAGCAAAGAGTGCTTTCATAAGGGAATGTTATGTTTACTTCTAAAATTAACAACGTAAAGCACTCGCATTAAAGGACGCTTCTTAGTTTGTCTTTAGTGTAACATTAAAGGTTGTTTTCTCCCACACAATTAAGAACCCTGAGTTCACATGTGATTTGTCATAAGGCTCAATAAAGTACTATAAGTTCACGTTATTTGTCATATGGCCCGTCGACTCGTTCTGGATTTCCTTCTCTCGCCTTGCTCTAAAACAATATGTGGGGCAGTAGTTGTTTAAATGAGAATTTTTCTCTTCTAGATGGAAGCTATCTGTAGATAGCGCGCCTCATCTGCTTGGGGTTCTAACTTGGGAGTTCGCAAACATGCGCGTCCAACCCGACCAAATCGTCACTCAAAAGAGAACAATGTGTTGTATATTTTCAGGGTTATACTACAAGATAAAAACAAAATCAAATTAAAGAAAAAGCTGTGATATCTAGTGATACATACAACTTAACTCCCAACTTTGGTTTATTTGAATAACCAGATACTATCTATACTAATTTTTCAAATATTGTATTTCATTAAAAAAAGAGGAAACAAAATTTAGCCTGTTATGGGATTCTTATAAAATATAATTTCAGATAGTCTAACTCTCACTAAAAGAGAGTAAAATGTAGATTATATTGATTGCAAGCTAAACTACACCACCTCGCTTATGGTTACAAGACACACATTTGAACTCAACCATTCGTTCAAAGATCCAGAAGAGAAAGAGTAGATATTACACTCAATAAATAATGCGTACAAACAGTTTTAAGTCTACGTTCAGTCACACCCTCCTGTGGTTTACTGTAAACTTTTAAATTTTTAAGAGAATTTTGACGTTCAGTCGTGTGTAATGCCTCGCTTAGTAATCAATTGTTATACAAAGTCAAATTGTCCAATTTTTTTTTTATCTTCACGTCTTATTCTGTCTGACTTGTCGACAACATTTACTTAACAAAGTACTGTTTTCTCTAGATAAGTTGTCATTGTTATGACTTAACGGATCATCTATCCGCCTCTCCTTCCCATCCGCAGAGTTTCTTCCAGGCATCTCTTCTGGTGGGGGGGGGGGGGGGGGGCTTACTAAAAATTTCTACCGCCCCCCTCCCTTCCCCGAACGAAATGAAATTGATATAATTTATTTAGAAAATATATACTTTTAACAGTGTCCGCCCCCACGAAGGAAGTCTACCGGCCCCCCCCCCCTCCCCCCAGAAAATTTCAAGTACCCCCTCTCCCCCTCGGAGAAAAACGTCTGGTAGAAACACTTCCCATCCGGGCCTTACGGCAGGAGCATGCTCTATCTCCAGTCCTATTGGGTTTGAACCTTGTGAAGCTCATGGGTTCCCCCTACGGCAGGAGCATGCTCTATCTCCAGTCCTATTGGGTTTGAACCTTGTGAAGCTCATGGGTTCCCCCTACGGCAGGAGTATGCTCTATCTGCAGTCCTATTGGGTTTGAACCTTGTGAAGCTCATGGGTTCCCCCTACGGCAGGAGCATGCTCTATCTGCAGTCCTATTGGGTTTGAACCTTGTGAAGCTCATGGGTTCCGGTAAAACACGAGTAATTTAAGCACAATAATCATCCTTTCAATTTCTCAATACATTTTATTTCGATAGAACATCTGGATTTCGTGCCAGGCCTGGGGATGATTTAAAAATTAGCAGCCCAGAAAAACTGTGTGGGGACCTATGTCACAACCACAGAAAAATTGAAATATCCAGCACCAAGGAGAACATAATGGGTACAATATTATTTCCCAATATACTTAGATCTCATGTCTTTCAAATACAACTATGCATTTCTATTACAAAATCTCACACTTGTGAATGTGTATGTGTGTATGTGTATAGCACGAACACACGCACACACACACATACAAACATGCATACACATATAAAAAACATACACACATATACACACACACACATGCACACACTTATATATGTGTGTGCATGTGTGTGCGTGTTCGTGTTAGCCAGTTGACAGAATGGACAAAGGAAAGACAAAAAACAAAATCTGTTCACATGCCACAAGACGGAACGTTCAAAAGGTAACGCAAAACAACAGGGCAACCATATTTTGTCAACAAAAGTGAAATACCACACGAGGTTTAACAAAAGGTCAACAAAAGTGAAATACCACATCAGGTTAAACAAAAGGTCAACAAAAGTGAAATACCGCATGAGGTTTGACAAAAGGTCAACAAAAGTGAAATACCACATGAGGTAACACAAAAGGTCAACAAAAGTGAAATACCGCATGAGGTTTAACAAACGGTCAACAGTTTGCATACTCAAAGTGCTAAATGCTAATAAGTCAAAGGAATCAAGTTAAAAATGATTAAAGTTTTTTTTATTTTTGAGAAATCGGAAATGGCATTAAGTGCTACTTCTGTTCACAGGAAATCACTCAAAACTTGAAATAAACCAGAGAATAAGATCATTTACTTTAATATAAAATTTCGTCAACATCACTGATAAAGTACTCAGTGTTTTAAGCATTCGAGAAACCTGAAGTAGATTAAGTGCAGCTTCCGTTTATCAGAAATCGCTAAAAACTTGACAGAAAGCTTCAAATTTGATATAATACTTCTATATTTGAAATTCGGCCAAGCAAGATGAAACAGTTTTCAAGTTATCATGTTTAAAAAAAAAGACAGATATCCAGGCATACAGACATACATGTTAACAGGTTTTTGCGCATGTTTTCGAGTGTAAAGTAATTTATAAATAACTTTCGACATAATTTCACCTTTTCCTAAATTTACATTTCAGGGGACAGCAGCTATTATTCCTTTTATTCTATCGTAACTAGTAAAGAGAGCCAGGTGCAAATTGTATGGAGGAAACCAAATATGAGACTTCCAGGTCGGTAAACAATTGCAAATTAGACATTAATTAAGCTATTTTCTAAATAATTTTTGTTATGTCTATTTATGATTAATTTAAGCATGAATACTTATACATTTTAAAAGTGTAGACAATAAGTATGTTTATGTATATGTTTGCATTTATGTTTATTTTTTTTGTTTATGATTGCGTTTGTTTATATATTTTCTAGAACGTCACTTTTAACATAATTGAAAATTTTTGAACTTACGAATACTGGTAGTAAATGTCTACGGGTTAACAAAAAGAGATTTTACTTTAAAGATAACAAGTAGGGGACCGGACAAAGAAAGAAAATTTATCGTTGAGGCCTTTTGTTCCACGAAGAGTAAAGTGGTTTAAGTCCTAATACTAAAGTGGTTTAAGTCCTAATACTAAAGTGCATTAAGTCCTAATACTAAAGTGGTTTAAGTCCTAATACTAAAGTGGATTAAGTCCTAATACTAAAGTGCATTAAGTCATACTACTAAAGTGGTTTAAGTCCTAATACTAAAGTGCATTAAGTCCTAATACTAAAGTGCATTAAGTCCTACTACTAAAGTGCATTAAGTCCTACTACTAAAGTGGTTTAAGTCCTAATACTAAAGTGCATTAAGTCCTACTACTAAAGTGGTTTAAGTCCTAATACTAAAGTGCATTAAGTCCTACTACTAAAGTGGTTTAAGTCCTAATACTAAAGTGCATTAAGTCCTAATACTAAAGTGCATTAAGTGCTACTACTAAAGTGCATTAAGTCCTACTACTAAAGTGGTTTAAGTCCTAATACTAAAGTGCATTAAGTCCTACTACTAAAGTGGTTTAAGTCCTAATACTAAAGTGCATTAAGTCCTACTACTAAAGTGGTTTAAGTCCTAATACTAAAGTGCATTAAGTCCTAATACGAAAGTACATTAAGTCCTACTACTAAAGTGCATTAAGTCCTACTACTAAATTGCATTAAGTCCTACTACTAAAGTGCATTAAGTCCTACTACTAAAGTGGTTTAAGTCCTAATACTAAAGTGCATTAAGTCCTACTACTAAAGTGGTTTAAGTCCTAATACTAAAGTGCATTAAGTCCTAATACGAAAGTACATTAAGTCCTACTACTAAAGTGCATTAAGTCCTACTACTAAAGTGCATTAAGTCCTACTACTAAAGTGGATTAAGTCCTAATACTAAAGTGGATTAAATCCTACTACTAAAGTGGATTAAGTCCTACTACTAAAGCGGATTAAGTCCTACTTCTAAAATAGCTTAAGTCATCGTACTAAAGCGGATTAAGTCCTGCTACTCTAACCTGTTCATATCCCTTCCCCGATAGTGTCGTACACCAAGTATAGGATTGGTGAATTTGAGAACTATAAAGCAAATGGAAATAGTACCCGGCACATGTTCCTGCTTCTGTTTTCACACACAAATCAATTGAATGGGGATCTATCAGTGAGGTAAGCATCTACATTCCAAACCAAATGATAGAATAATTATTTAATAATTTTTGCTAAGCTATTGTTATTAAAAATAACGTTTGACTTAACTGTGGTGCCTGAAAGACACCAACTTGGGTTAAAGAATGATGAGATAATGACGACGACGACGACGACGATGATGATGGTGATGATGATGATGATGATGATGATGATGATGACGATGATGATGGTGATGATGATAATGATGAAGATGATGGTGATGATGACGATGACGATGATGATGAATCTGTAACCAATCGTAAACCGATAATTATTGTGAGAGCCCATGCCACTAAACGTGACATATGGCATTAAGGAGGCCGACGATGATGATGGTGATGGTGATGATGATGATGATAATGATGAAGATGAAGCTGATGATGATAATGATGATGATGATGATGATGATGATGATGATGATGATAATGATGATGATAATGATTTTGATGACGATGATGATGAATCTGTTACTAATTCTAAACCGATTGTTATTTTGAGAGCCCATGCCACTAAACGTGACATATTGCATTAAGGAGGTAAATGCATTATATATGTGACATATGGCATTAAGCGGGCTCATGTCACATAAAACTAAAGCAATCATAAACTCAAACATAAACATAAACACAAACATAAAGTCACACGCAAACATAGACATAAACGCTAACACAAACACTAACGTAAACGAAAACGGAAACGTAGAGGCAAACATTACATAAACGCAAGCTGAAACATAAACATAAACGTAAATAGAATAAAGTACAACTCCCGATTACCGAAAATTGACCATAAGTTAATAGAAACCTGCAAGTACAATCTAATACTTGTGTGTGAAATATAGCTTTCTTAAATGTTATTGGTATTTAAATACCAAGATACCGGAAATAGAGTACTTACTACTTCCGGTTACAAGAAATCGCTCAAAAGTTAAAAGAAAACTATAAATTTAATATAATACTTCTATCTGAAATTTCGTCAACATAATCAAAATGATAATCAAGTTATTGTGTTTACAGTCAAACTCTCACACACATACAGACATGATTGCAAAACCAAGTTTTTCGTGCAACAGAAAGTCGAAACACGTTGTTATATTTTTTTTCACGACGACAATACATCCCTTACAATTTGTATATAACAAAGTAGGTACACGTAAAGCGGCAAAAACTGTCGAAATTTCATTACCATTTGCGCGCACGATTGCAATATATTCTCGATACTTTGTATAGGAGCAAGGCATTACAACATTTCTGACATACCACCCTCTGTTTAAATATACTAGCAGTTATACTTGGCATCGTATAGGCAGATAGTAGCCTTATACAATGACAGTGGTAATAAACATAATTGTCACTGATACAACAGAGTGATAGCCGTATTGTTCTAATGGGTGAAAACAAAAATCACTAATTTATACGCATCAGTTTCTTAACAGATCGTTAACAAGACAGTCAGACTTACACCAAAAAACAGCAATAGCTGACTTCTAAAAAGTTTTATATTTAAATGTGGTGTTAATGTTTTACTTACACGTTAAACAGCTAAGGTTGCACGGAATACAACTATAACTGTACAAGATTAAACATTGTATTCATTTGACTGCTTTAAAATTATTTTTAAAAACATCAAAGTTTTGACAGTTCCTTCGGTATCGACCTCTAAATTTAAAATTCCCACTTCCAATTTTTACATTATCACCGTACTAATATATATATATATATATATATATATATATATATATATATATATATATATATATATATATATATATATATATATATATATATATATATATATATATATATATATATATATATATATATATATATATATATATATATATATATATATATATATATATATATATATATATATATATATATATATATATATATATATATATATATATATATAAGAAGGTCGCACGTTAAGTAAAAATTAAATTAGATTTCTACACTATTATGTTTCAGTACTTCTGGCCTTGTGGATATCCCTGAAGTTTTCAAACTACGAGCGATCAGTTGGCTGCTTTTTGAGCACCAATACTTTACACCATTTGGTGGGTTGATAATTTACGTTTGGTAGATGACATACTCGACATTAGTTTGTAGGTTATGCTTTGTTCATTTGTGGATTAAAATCTTGACAGTAGTTTATCGATTAAACACTGGCCATACATAAATTAAAAATTTGCATGGGTGATTTAATTTTCCGCTACATCTGTTTTTCGATAACTCAAACGCTTTTATCAGTTGTGGGCCTTGTTCATTATTTTAAAACAAACATTTGGACAGGCGTCAACAATCCATCGCTACCTAGAACATTTAGATCAATATAAAAACAACAACAGTGTATGCCGTTAACAACCACTGAAAACTTTTGTCCCCACAGAATCTGATTGTACCGACCCAAGTCGATCGTGTCCACCCAATGAGCCGTTTCAACGGAATGATCGCACCTACAACTTTACGTTTAGCGAAAGCGCAGTGGAGGCGATTGGTGATACTAAACCGCCAACATATTGTTTTCAAAATGACTTACCAATTCCACCGCCACCACCACCACCTCCACCACCAACACACGCACCACAGCAACCCCACGCACCACAGCCACCGACTAATAAGTCCGTCATGAATTCATGCAGCTTTCGTTGCGTGATTTGGTTGTTGGTGTACCTGATGTGTTGACGCTGTATGCTCTTATAACTGGTGGTTCTCTTTTTGAATACACACGCACACGTTAACATCTTTAAATAAAGAAATACAATAAGAAATACAATATACATACATTAACATAATTTTTTTTCAATTAATTTAAAGTTGTTAATCCAAAAATATTTTTTCTATTACTAATTGAAAGTATGTTACACAAATACAGAAATGTGACAATTCTTGAACGTCAAAACTAATACACACAAGACCACCCAAACAAAACATGATGGTCACAGGAAATAACGCCCTAATGAACTGTTGGAGGATATTGACCAAATGTTCTTTTACGGTGGTCACCTATTTAAATTAAACAGACTATTTAAAATTATTGTTTTTTTAATAGATATTTCAGTGCAACATGTCAATTGAAGCTGTTAAGAAGATTAAAAACTGTGCGAGTTGTGTTTTATTGTTTAATAGCACAGGTTCCCTAACTTTTTCACGTGTCGACTCCTTTTTATGTTTCAACTTAAACGCCCACCTCACTACCCCCCCCCCCTCCCTCTTCAGAATTGAAAGAAAAGCAATTGTAATAAAGTTTAAAAAAAAACAACTAAGAAATAGTGCATTTAGATTTTTTTGTTTTAATTATTGTTAATTGTATAATTTGATTGTTGAACTTGCAATTTGATCGAAATTCGGGGATGTTTTTTATCAAAGGTAACAGCTAATTATTCTTAACTTCTTAACTATTCTTAATTATACTGCATCAACTAGCCGCCGAAAAATCGAATAGTATTTAATAGTGTATATGATGAAAATAAAATTAAATATTGTTTTATACAAAGAGAAAAAGCATTTGCAACAATGTGTGCAAGTAGCACTAACAAATTAAATTGAATATAAATGTTTATTTACAGTGTCAAACCAATAAACGATCACACAATCATCACACTCAAAAGCACGCAAAATTCACACAGAATCACGAAAGAAATATCAATATAATATAAGGATTCACTTCTGATAATTTAACATAGACAAAATTAATTTGCTCAGCTAAACGTTTTTTTTATCAAGAAAATGCAAACAAGAAATGAAAAGGAAAGGAAACAAAACTTTTCTTACACTAAACAAAAGAGCCGTCTGTGAACAATTCTAATACAGGGCATGTAATACTGGAGACTTTTAAAACAAAACATTGTTAAGTTTTCAAACCATCAGATTGCTAATCGAGCTGTTACAGATTTTCAAATTTAAAACTTTGATGTAAAATATCTGCTCAAGTGAGATGCTACAGAGTTCAATATAGATCGTGTGAAATCTGTCTACCATTGTTTAACATTTCAAAAGTTCGTATGAGATGTGTCTACTACAGTTCAACATCTCAACATAGATCTTATGAGATGTGTATAGTTTAACATCTCAACATAGATCTTATGAGATGAGATGTGTATACCACAATTTAACGTCTCAACATAGATCTTATGATATGTGTATACCATAGTTTAACATCTCAACATAGATCTTATGTGATGTGTTTACCATAGTTTAACATCTAAACATAAATCGTGTCAGATGTGTATACCATAGTTTAACATTTCAACATAGATCATATGTGATGTGTTTACCATAGTTTAACATCTAAACATAAATCGTGTCAGATGTGTATACCATAGTTTAACATTTCAACATAAATCTTGTCAGATGTATATAGCATAGGTTAACATTTCAACATATATCGTGTAGGATGTGTATACCATAGTTTAACATTTGAAAATGCAAGAACTCTATAAAGAAAACAATGCTACATCCAGACTATAGATAGATACACATCGTTACTCTTGGTGACTCTTATACACATAAATGTACGCGTAAATTATAGTCTATATAGGCCGACCGATACACACACATACACACATGTTTATATATATATATATATATATATATATATATATATATATATATATATATATATATATATATATATGTGTGTGTGTGTGTGTGTGTGTGCGCGAGCGTGTGTGTGCGCTCATGTTTATTTGTGTGTGTAAATGTGTGCATTTCTGTGCGTTTTCAAAGTGTTTATAAATGGTATATTTTTATGGCATTACACCCCGTGGAAAGATCTTTTCAATTGATTGCAATTCGAATCATTATCCTACTCAAAGTATTTTGTTACAAAATTTAGAATATGCAACTTATTAGCTAAATACAAAAAAAACAAGTCGCATGCAGAAAAGAACTCACACATACCCTTCGTATTTAACCCACATTTTTTCGTCCTTCTCCCCAACACAACTGCACACCAGACCACCACACTCAATCCTGAACATATAACCCACACACCAGACCCCCATTCTCAACACGTACATATAACCCGCAAACCATACCACACCATCAATCCTGAACATATACCCCACACACCATACCCCCACCATCAATCCTGAACAAATAACCCACACACCAGACCCCCACACTCAATGTTGAATATATAACGCACACACCAGACCCCCACTCTCAATCTTGAATATATAACCTACACACCAGACCTCCACTCCCAATCATTAATATATATCCCACACACCAGACCTCCACTCTTAATCTTGAATATATAACCCACACACAAAACCATCACTCCTAATCCTGAACATATAATCCACACACCAGACCCCCACTCTCAATCTTGAACATATAACCCACACACCAGACCCCCGCTCTTTATCTTGAATATATAACCCACACACAAAACCATCACTCTTAATCCTGAACATATAACCCACACACCAGACCCCCACTCTCAATCCTGAACATATAACCCACACACCAGACCTCCACTCCCAATCATTAACATATAACCCACACACCAGACCCCCACTCTCAATCTTGAACATACCAGATCCCCACACTCAATTCTGTACATATAACCCACACACCAGACCCCACAAATAATCCTGAACATATAACCCATACACCAGACCCACACCCTTAATGTTGAATATATAACCAACACACCTAACACCCACCCTCAATCCCAAACATATAACCAAACACCAAAACCCCACCCTCAATATCAAAGATATAACCCACACACCAGACCTCACTCTCAATCCTGAACATATAACCCACACCAGACCCCTTCATACCAAATAGCATTAACTTTACTACTCCCACAACCCTACTATTAATTTACAAACTGGAGTGCAAAAGCTTTAAAGAATTAGATAAACGTATCGCACTATTTTTCGCGCTGAAATCAAAACATGAGTTTGCATCAATTTGAACTATCATTGACCGTAATGCCCTGTGGGAAAATTAAATGGCGGAAATAACAAACAATGAAGAGGAGATGTGTACTAATGGTTTTAACTATTATACTAGTGAATAATGCTAGTAATAATATCACTGCTGCGGGTACGTATAGCGTATGTACACACTTTTGGAAAAAAAATGTATTACAGTGCATGCATTGTCTTTGTATATATCATGAATGACAACAAGATTGCTTCAAAATGGCGGATTAAGCAACGGTCTTGTCTCAGTACTGTTGACAAAACATGGACGCGAACGTGTTTTGTTCATTCCGTTTTATGCCAAGCTTTATGATTTAAAAACATATTAATATTGACAATCTCTTGGAGCGTCTTTTATTATTCTGGAATGGTTTAACAAAGGTGTAAAAATAGAAACTAGAAATCAATGGCACAACATTCCGGAATACACTGGAAGTACTGTAAACCATATTTTTTTTTAATTTTATTTTTCCAGTCAAGATCCATACGGTTTTTAAAAAACTGAATAGATTGAATTCAGTTGCCTGTAAAATACTTTTTTGCCAATCATTTTTATAGGTTATAATGTTTAATGTTTAGCTAATGATTGCTGCTTATCAATTTTCACTAAACATTGTTCTCGCAATTTTTTTTCTATTTTAGTATGGCACGTTTTACGTCTGTAGGCTATTTCTTAAAAAAAAAAACTTTAATTTAATATTAATCTACACCTGACTTGATTATGTTAATTTAGATTCACTAATTGCTGCTAAATTTCTGTTCGTTTCATTTCTGTTTTTTTTATGTCGATTAAACGTAAACCATTAGTACACTCAAATTTATTTATATTTATAACGGTCGAATAAACTATGGTTTTTCCATTATTTAATGTTTACAAAACATAACACACATTTCCGGAAAATATCCGACACTATATCGTGAGGTTACCCTAATATTAAGTACAATTAAAAGCTGCTAATGTTCTGTTTTAAAGTTTAGTTTATATCCTCCATCAATGTCCACTGCTACATATCACACTTCAATAAACTACACGAATTTCAATAACGGGTATTTCTTAATAGAGTATAGATCTATAGTCTACATTATAACATTGCATCCATAGCAATTAAAGGGCATATTTTAAAGTAGGTAAACAGCATCATTCTCCAGAGCGCTTTTTTTTTCTAATATAAATTAATTATCTAAATTTATGCGAACAAAGATTGATTTCTTATAATAGTATAAATTTGTTGATTTCATCCCCAAACTAAAGGGCCTTTTAAAAAAAACGATAGTCATCGGCTAAGATTTTTGCCATGATATAGTGGTCCAATATGATCTCAGTATGCCACGGCTTCACGTTGCCTTGGTGGTACCAACTTGGTTGAAATATCAATCACATGTAATTTGCTTCACTGTATAATCAGATAATTTGAGCTTATCCCAAATCCTAATCTTTAAACCATATGTCAAATCATAACCTTAAACTATAGGGGCCATCCATAAATGACGTCACGCTATTTTTGACGATTTTTATCCTCCCCTCCCCTCAGTCACACGTCGTCACAAAAAGCCAGACCCCCCCCCCCTAAAATGACGTCACACCTCAACCTACAACCCCCATCAAAATTGCAGTTGAATTTTTTAAAAACATTGATATTTTTTCTAAAATCTTGTCTAAACTATTACAATTTATTAAAACAGTTATCTACAACGCGAAATAACGTCTAAAATTCGTTTGCTAACATTGCTTTTTTATAATGCAAAAGTGTGACGTCGCAACATCTGAACCCCCCCCCCCCCCTCCCCCTCATCACAAAATTACGGACCCCCCTCCCCCTACGATTGTGACGTCATTTATGGATGACCCCATATCTCAAATTCTAATCTATAAACCATATTCCAATTTCTTATCTTTAAAAAAATATTTTCATGGTATTGTATCATTTTGGAAAATTAGCCAAGGACAAAATATTTTTTTTATGTTCAATTTTTGTACTAGTGTACATTAATAAGGCTGCATAGATCAGATATTTTAAGCACTTTTAGAGAGTCAACGTTTGCTAGACACATCGAAGCTATTGTGTGCTAACACAAGTACACTAACAAACACTTAAAAACACAAACCCAGTCGTACGAGACTTATTGTCTCGGCTGGACAGTCCAGCGGTCTAAACTTTAAGTGGAGTGGTTGGAAGTTCGGGTTTTTAGAGATTCCAAGGTCAAGTTCTTGTAAATTAGACTGCTAGAAATTTTAAGATTTCAATCAATGTAAGAATTATCGGGTGTTCATCTGTGAATTCATTTTTAGAAAGAAAATTTACAACCTGTACCTAATTTATTTAGTCAGTTGGTCTTTACTTGCGTTACTTTGTCAATATTTTTACGATTCTCTACAGAACTATTTATTTAAAAAATCAGTAGTATATGTCTTTTAGTGGTTTATAAAACACGCGAACTTGAAACGAACAGTTTTCGTACTATATTTGTTTAGTTTACTTGAACCCAGGTGAAATCAAATTTCAGATCGCACTCGGCTTCTCGCTCGTCTGAATGACAAATCCTGGCCGTGGTTTGGCGATTGTTACAAGAAGTCGTGTCCTGACTCGACCAAAGATCTCACTCGATGTTTTAACTACAGGCAAGTTGCATTCATTACACTTTAGTTAGGCTTTTGTGTTAAATGTGATCAGGAAGAACCGTGTTTACTTGTTTCGTGCTTAAGGGTAAAGGTTATGATACATGATTCTTTTATTTTTTTTTAAATTTAAGCAATATTTAGACAGGTTATCTACATCAACTTTGATTTTTTTTTATATTGATCAAAATTTACATAGATTAGCTTGGGTATTTAAGCTTTTACAACGAACAGTTCAAGCCAAGACATTCAATAGTTTTAGGTTACATATTACGTTTACTTATGCAAGTTTAAAAAGTTTTAAGACGCTGATTACCCTCATCTTTGAATTTTCTTTTTTTTTTTTGCTCAAAACTTTTCTAAAAGTTCTTTATTTTATTTATTCTCATTGTTATTAGCATCGTCATTTTTTTTTCATTTAATTTACTTCAAACGTTGTCAACCCTGCTTTTTTTAAAATTCAACCAAGACTACATCTTCAGCTTTGCTTTTACTTCTTCAGCTAGATCAAACACTTTTTTAAATGAAAACCATCGAATTTTAAAGAAAACATTACAGTTTATAAGCGGGCTTTAATGTTTTTTAAACACTAAGGATGTCTGGAAAACATCATGAAATTACTTTTATTCCCCAGACCAAAGCCTGAAACTATTCTACAGCGAGCGGGAATACCAAGCACCGTTAAACTTAAATTTGATTTGGATGTTATGTTTTCTAGCCCTGAAGGTTTGTAATTTAACTTTCAGTTGATTTGGATGTTATGTTTGCTAGCTCTAAAGTTTGTGATTAACTTTCAGTTGATTTGGATGTTGTGTTTGCTAACCCTAAAGTTTGTGATTTAACTTTCAGTTGATTTGGATGTTATGTTTGCTAGCCCTAAAGTTTATTATTTAACTTTTAGTTGATTTGGATGTTGTGTTTGCTAGCCCTAAAGATTGTGATTAAACTTTTAGTTGATTTGGATTAGGGTTAGGGTTATTTAATAGAATACAACTCAATATTTCAAAATTTTAAAGGATGTTTATATTTTATACATATTTAGTTGTCGCTCAAAATATTCAAGTTTAGCAAGTTGTAACAGTTTGTTTAACGGTATATTATATTTATATATTGTATTTGCTACACCTAAAGGTGCGTGTTCAAATAGTGGTACTTAGCACGTTTGGTTGTGTTGACAATGGTGAATTGTTTATAGCTGTATATGTGAGGTCTGTACTTAGTTTTTCTAAGCACGTTTGGTTGTGTTGACAATGGTGAATTGTTTATAGCTGTATATGTGAGGTCTGTACTTAGTTTTTCTTTTGACAGAGAAGGTTGACATATGTGGCACATTAGAAGTTGTTCAGGAGGTCAAGCCATTTAGACTGAATGAAGATGGATTTGCCAATAAAAACATGCTACAGGTAAACATTGTATAATGGCACAAACATTTAACCTCTGATACTGCAGCTAGCCTTAAAAGTAAAGTTCCCGTTTCGAACATGATGGTCTATCGGGAAAGTGAAGTAGAGTTCACCTGTTTCTGTTGCCTCGGCTTATGAAGGGATCGTATGGTCAGCACTATGTCCAGTCGCCTTTACTTTCCCTAAAGCTAGTTAGGTACTCATCAGAGCAACTGTTTCTATTGCCTCGGCCTATGAAGGGATCGGGTCTACGACAAATTCCCGAAAGACACTTTCCCGAATGCCGTTTGCCCGAAGGCCGATTTCCCGAATGGACACTTGCCCGAATGCGACAAATGCCCGAATGGACACTTGCCCGAATGCGACAAATGCCCGAATGGACACTTGCCCGAATGCGACAAATGCCCGAATGCGACAAATGCCCGAATGGACACTTGCCCGAAGGCCGTTTGCCCAAAACATGTTAACATTATATATTACAAAATAATCATTCGTAATCAATTTAAATTTAAAATGTCGCATTCGGGCAAGTGTCCATTCGGGAAATCGGCCTTCTGGCAAACGGCATTCGGGCAAGTGTCCGTTCGGGAAATCGGCCTTCTGGCAAACGGCATTCGGACAAGTGTCCATTCGGGAAATCGGCCTTCTGGCAAACGGCATTCGGGCAAGTGTCCATTCGGGAAATCGGCATTCTGGCAAACGGCATTCGGGCAAGTGTCTTTCGGGAAAATGTCCGGCTCCCGAAGGGATCATATGGTCAGCACTATGTCCAGTCGCCTTTACTTGCCCTAAAGCTAGTTAGGTACACATCAGAGCACCTGTTTCTATTGCCTCGGCATATGAAGGGATCATATGGTCAGCACTATGTCCAGTCACCTTTACTTGCCCTAAAGCTAGTTAGGTACACATCAGAGCACCTGTTTCTATTGCCTCGGCATATGAAGGGATCATATGGTCAGCACTATGTCCAGTCGCCTTTACTTGCCCTAAAGCTAGTTAGGTACTCACCAGAGCTGGATGGACCTAGGGACGTTCTACAGACTTGAACCTGGATTCGAACTCAAGACTCTGGGGTTACCAGCCTAGTAATCTACCGCTAGACCTTGCTGTAGGCCTAAGGCTTAAAATCTAGCTGTCGAGTGAACTATTCGGAAGGGATTAAGATTAGTCCATAGCTTTCACAGAACCGTTACCAAACACATGCTAGTAATTTTCTCTCCATAGTAGGCCCACTTACAATCTAACAGCTATACAGCGGCTGTTTGCCAAAACTTGTTATGGAGTAGCAGTAAATTGTGATTTTACAAATTTTTAAGAAAAGAGTTATCAAAACATCGAATTCTCTATAAATGGTTAAATATATATATATATATATATATATATATATATATATATATATATATATATATATATATATATATATATATATATATATATATATATATATATATATATATATATATATATATATATATATATATATATATATATATATATATATATATATATAATCAGATCGAACCTTTCCTATTCTAGCGAGGATCTGAAGTTTACCGCAATCCTCCGAAAATAAACTTTGATCCAGACAAGGGCACTACATACCAGATAATAATCTTTGACGTCGGCCTTTTAATGGTCAGAGGATATTGGTGTGGCGTTAAGATTGTCAACGGCATTATTCAGAGCGAGGTAACTAATTTATCTGACCCTAACGGCATTATTCAGAGCGAGGTAACTAATTTATCTGACCCTAACGGCATTATTCAGGGCGAAGTAACGACTTTTTTTCAACCGGAGCATTGTCCCAAACATAGATTTAATCACACGGTGTTTATTTAGGTCAGGTTTGGCTAAGTTAAATTAGGCTAGGTTGTTCATGGAGTAGGTGAAATAGAATACACCTGCATGTCTAGCTCGTGACCTTTATTTTGACATGCGTGAGCAAACAAAAGAAATGTAGTTAGTGATGACAAGCTCACGCAGACGAGCACATCTTTTATAATCTGATCTTCTGATTTGAAAATATGAACCAACTTTTCAACATGTACAAAAATAACTCTGCGTTAATCTCATTAACAGATGAGATCGAAATATCTACCTCCCGCTAATCCGTTACCAGTGGTCAATCCGATCTTAATCATTGTACTCAAAGATACCGAATGCTTTGATATTCATATCTGTGAATACCGAGGGTCTTCTAACGCAGACGCCCATGATTGCAGAGATATATTAGTCAGACGCTTTGGTGATGGTAGCGGTAAGTGATTCCAATTTTAGAACTGCTCATGAATTTTACCAATGCGTGTTGTCATTGGTGATAGTTTTCTGTGTGTATCAAGCAGACTATTAATAGATGTCTGGGTTTTGGTGATATGTTTCTGTGTATATTGAACAGACTATTTAGAGATGTTTGCCAAATTGTGTTGTCCGTTTCTGTTTGTATGTTGTAGTAAAAGCAAATCGTCCAAAGTGTCCTATTGAAACTTGCGTTGTCGACAAAAAAAACTGTCGCATTACAGCTCAAAAGCTCAGGTGCTTTTACAAGCCTTTATTTATTTCAAAATGTCTGTTTGTTTGTTTGTTGGTTGGTTTGTGGCAAATCTTGTTTCTCAATTATGACCCTTTTCTAATGCAGAGATTTAGTTCAAACTTACCAGATACGTTCCACTTCGGTGTAAATATGAGTCTATCTTTTTTTTTTAAATAAAATTCAATTAAATGTTAAATTATTCATTAAAATTAATTAAATGCTTTAGAAACAAAGGAGAGATAACAATATTAAATGACTCGCTAGATTACTATAAAATAGTATCCTAATATATAAAAGCCCTATCACGCACCTCTCTCTCTCTCTCTCTCTCTCTCTCTCTCTCTCTCTCTCTCTCTCTCTCTCTCTCTCTCTCTCTCTCTCTCGCTCTCTCTCGCTCTCTCTTCGCAATATTTTTGAGGCTATGTGATCAGTATTTTCAACACTAATGACGCCATCATCCAATTTTAGAATATAAAGAAAATGGACTATTTCATTCAAATTTGATTTGTCTATGGATCTACTTATCAAGACGTGCGCTTCTAAATGTATACAATTTTCTCGGCCAAAAATAATACAAATTACTTTCAAAAACATAAATACCATTGAACAACCGGGTTTTGTAACGGAATCATTTAAGTCTCTTAATCAGTGTGTGCGTTTAATGTGGTGATGTGTTGACTAATAATGTTTATAATTCGGTTTTTCTAATAGTTATTGGTAGCCTATGTTATTCTAAATGTATAGGGTTTTAGCTACTTAGTTATTTCTTTGCTTTGTCACTAATATTGTTCAGCGTGTAGTACAGCATTCTGCGTTTTGACCAATAACTATTTTATAGATTACGAGCTGACCCGCGACGTAGCATACGCCGCTATCTAGTTGCTTTATTTTCTAATTATCAACAATTCATAATTTGCTTGTTAGCTGTTGTTCACGCCGAATGTTTACAATCGTAAAGCCGGGTCGAATTAGTGACGGCTAATTATTAGGGGCAGATAATTGTTATCGATTTATCAGCTTGCTGTTGACTGTAAATTGTTATCACGAACGACTGTATTCACGAGCTACTGATAGTGTTTTAAAGCAAATATTTTTATTCGTGTCGACTTCATTAATTAGGAATCAATAAAAAGTAAAAAATAAAACAAATATAAAAATCCTTTATAGCAACAAGCTTTTGAATGCAATGAAAACAAGAAAATAAAACTAATTTGCAATCTTTCATAAAAACTTAGGTCACTCATAAGATCTGTTACATATTTTAGAGACAAAAACTTTTTATCAAATGCCAATAACTAGAGCACCGTGTAAGTTAAGTGTACGGAACTTCAGTTATAAGTATTATATTTTTTTATGAGCTGGTTTCTAATACCATTTGAACTATTTCCGGTATACGAAAGAGGTACTTTACTTTATTTTCGTATCAACACGATAACTTGAATGTTGTTTTATTTAGGTGGACGACATTTTATATATAAATAGTATATATAAATCAAAACTCATCCAAGTATAGGATACACACACACACCAGGGGCGTAGCGAGGGGGGGGGGCGGGGGGTGCGGACCGCACCGAGTGACACCATTTAGGGGGGTGACACCAAGGCAAAAAATAGCAAAATATTTAGAGAAAAACACGAGGGGGGGGGGGTGCTAATCGAAAATTTGAAAGTTTGTCCCTGGAAAGGGTCTCTATGCCACTGGGGGGGGGGGGTGACACCATTAAGTGCCGCACCGGGTGACACCCGACCTTGCTACGCCACTGACACACACACACACACACACACACATATATATATATATATATATATATATATATATATATATATATATATATATATATATATATATATATATATATATATATATATATATATGTGTGTGTGTGTGTGTATCCTATACTTGGATGAGTTTTGATTTTTTAGTGACCTCCCAAAATCGTAAGTGGTACTTCACCTGATTTCAACACCGTACCAGTTAGGTAGACGAAGTTGTATACAAGGTATAAGATGGTATTCACTAGATTCTATCGAATGTTCATTATTTCCCATGGTTGAATAAGTATGTTATGCTATTTTCTATTTCTCTAAAAAGATCACTTCTACGGGATCGATCTGATCACATTTACTTCACTCAGTTCAAGTTTTGATGACAATGTACTAAGACATAAAATGTTACTAAATTAGATGTTTGATTAACTTTTTTTTTAAAATTAATAAATATTTCTTTCATAAAGTTCTAATTTTTCGCACTGTTATACACATTATATGAGGTATAAGGTAATGCTTAAAATATCAGAACACATATATGACGTTGTTTGCAGATATAGTGGGACTACAAGTGTTTTATACCGATGGCACATCCCTGTTTGAGAAGTATAGGGCGTGTACAGAAGGCTACATCTGTGACAGTGTTTGTATTGACAAGTTTAAACAATGTAAGTCCCTTTATTTGATGGGATTTTATTCATCAGTGTTAGTAAAAAAAATGTTTTATGAAAAGACAATGGTGATATTAGGACACACTCCAGGACAAGATATCAATGTCAGAGTCAGATACCAAAGACAGAAACAGATAACAACAACAGACACAGATACCAACAACAGACACAGATAGCAACAACAGAGACAGATACCAACAACAGAGACAGATACCAACAACAGAGTCAGATACCAATAACAGACACAGATAACAACAACAGACATAGAATTTGTGAATTCGACACCCCGCACCATCTTTTCCCCCAACCCTACCCTACACCCCCCCCCCGAGAAGGCAGCCTCCTCTTAGCTACCTCCCCTAAGTTTAAAATCGTTTCAAACTAAATTATCTGCCCCTAATAGCCGTCACTAAACCCGGCACGACGAGTGTAAACATTTAGCGTGAACCACAGCTCACCAGACTTCCTAGAGAGGAAGAGAGGGGACTGCAAGGTGCGCTTACAGCTTGTTTTCTAACGTCTCCAAGAAGAGAATTATATATATAGATGTATGAGTTTAAACTCAACATTTCCACACTTATACTACCCTCCATAGCTTAACACAACAGTTTTACGCTTGAGTTAACTTGTCTTACAGATATTTTATCAAGTATTTTAGCGACTTGTCAGCCAACTATCTGTTTCAAACTTCTCTAAAAAAAAAACCACTCATTTTTCTGTAGATGCTGTCAAAAAACAGCCAAGCATTACGTTTGCTGATTTGGATTTGAGTCATCTGGACATGTACGTCAACTTGTTCTCTGACAGTCCGTTCGCTAGAATGATAAGCTACTTGTGTTGCAGCAGCAGGCGTTACTCTAGGTAGGCTTTATAAAACAATATACTATTGCAATACTGTAAAAAACAATATACTATTGCAATACTGTAAAAAACAATATACTATTGCAATACTGTAAAAAACAATATACTATTGCAATACTGTAAAAAACAATATACTATTGCAATACTGTAAAAAAACAATATAACTATTGCAATACTGTAAAAAACAATATACTATTGCAATACTGTAAAAAACAATATACTATTGCAATACTGTAAAAAACAATATACTATTGCAATACTGTAAAAAACAATATACTATTGCAATACTGTAAAAAACAATATACTATTGCAATACTGTAAAACACAATATACTATTGCAATACTGTAAAAGCAATATACTATTGCAATACTGTAAAAAACAATATACTATTGCAATACTGTAAAAAAAAAGTATAGATCTCTAATTCAACAGGACTCGCATTACCTTTTTTTTACCAAAGCTGTACAAGAACACAATTAAATAAATATAAAACGTATGATAGTAACATTTTATTTGCACTAACCAGAGGCTATTTTAAAACCTTATTTCGCTCTACGAGAATGCTGAACAACCACTGACAATCGAACCAAACAGTGTTTCTTCCAGGCGTGTCTTCGGATAGCCCCCCCCCCCCCCACCTCTACCGCCCCCCCCCCCCCACGTGATGAAATGGAATGCATATAAAAAACATACTTTTAGCAGTGTCCGCCACTCCACCCCCCCCCCCCCCCCTTTAAGATTAAATCCGCATATCTTGATCAAACTAAGTGGCAGACGTTTAATGCCCGATCATCGTAATTCCCTGAATACTGTCACAAACCATCGAGTGTAATTCCCTGAATACTGTCACAAACCATCGAGTGTAATGTCCTGAATACTGTCACAAACCATCGAGTGTAATGTCCTGAATACTGTCACAAACCATCGAGTGTAATGTCCTGAATACTGTCACAAACCATCGAGTGTAATGTCCTGAATACTGTCACAAACCATCAAGTGTAATGTCCTGAATACTGTCACAAACCATCGAGTGTAATGTCCTGAATACTGTCACAAACCATCGAGTGTAATGTCCTGAATACTGTCACAAACCATCAAGTGTAATGTCCTGAATACTGTCACAAACCATCGAGTGTAATGTCCTGAATACTGTCACAAACCATCGAGTGTGATTCCCTGAATACTGTCACAAACCATCGAGTGTAATGTCCTGAATATAGTCACAATTTTTTACATGGCTTATCGATTTAAATAAACCGGGAGTGATTTCCCCTAAACTTTCTCGAATATTCTTATATAAAATAACGGGGGATGGCAACTCGGGAAACAGACATGATTTTTAACCCATTTTTAATTACTGAAACTTTTTAAAATAGAATAAAATCTCGTAGAAAAAAGAATTTCACACCAAGTCAACAAAATACAATATGTGTATAATAGTGCGGAACATTATTAGTACTTTATAAAATGTTATGCGTTTATTCGAGAAATCAGAAATAGCATAGTTTACTACTTCCGGTCAACGGAAATACTCAAAATTTGACAGAAATCAGTGAATTAGATCTTTTACTTACATGTAAAATTGTGTTTATCTATCTGAAACAACACTTAAGTTTTAGGCTTTTGAAAAATTGAAAGTAGGATAAGTTCCTTTTCCGGTTATCAGAAATCGCTGAAAAATTGTTACAGAACTACAAATTTGATATTATACTTGTATATGAAATTTTATCAACCTAGCTGTAAAGGTATTCAAGTTATCGTGTTTACAGACACAAACACACGCACACACACACACACACACTCATAAGGACAGAATTACAAAGCCCAGTTTTTCATACTCGATTGCGCATAAAACAACCAAATTTTGATAAATCAGGCTTTATTATGTTTGTTATTTACCAGTTTAAATGCAAATTTGAACAGTTAAAAATAAATATTGTAATCATCGTCTAAATCAGGGATCTCCAAACTACGGCCCGCGAGGTCCTCTCATTCGGCCCGCGAAGGTCTTTGTATCCACGGAAAAAATGTCTGGCTGAGGAACTTTGCCCAGTAAATTTAAAACACCTCGAAGAGATTTATGGCCCCCGAACTAGTATTTGATAATTAAAGCGGCCCTCGGGCTGAAAAGTTTGGAGACCCCTGGTCTAGATAACTGAAGTAATTATCTTTTTGACAGGACCATCGGAGTTCGGGCCAGACCAGGTGATGACCTGAAACTAAGCAGCTATGAAAAACTGTGTGGCCACGAATGCTTCAACCATAGGAAGATTGAAATCTCCAGCACTGTGAACAACGTCTTGGGTAAAACTGTATTCATTAGTTCACTTATGTTAGAGTTGTGTCGACTACTACTAAAGAATGTCTTGGGTAAAACTGTATTCATTAGTTCACTTATGTTAGAGTTGTGTCGACTACTACCAAAGAATGTCTTGGGTAAAACTGTATTCAGTAGTTCACTTATGTTAGAGTTGTGTCGACTACTGCCAAAGAATGTCTTGGGTAAAACTGTATTCATTAATTCACTTATGTTAGAGTTGTGTCGACTACTACCAAAGAATGTCTTGGGTAAAACTGTATTCATTCATTCACTTATGTTAGAGTTGTGTCGACTACTACCAAAGAATGTCTTGGGTAAAACTGTATTCATTAGTTCACTTATGTTAGAGTTGTGTCGACTACTACTATAGAATGTCTTGGGTAAAACTGTATTCATTAGTTCACTTATGTTAGAGTTGTGTCGACTACTACCAAAGAATGTCTTGGGTAAAACTGTATTCAGTAGTTCACTTATGTTAGAGTTGTGTCGACTACTGCCAAAGAATGTCTTGGGTAAAACTGTATTCATTAATTCACTTATGTTAGAGTTGTGTCGACTACTACCAAAGAATGTCTTGGGTAAAACTGTATTCATTCATTCACTTATGTTAGAGTTGTGTCGACTACTACCAAAGAATGTCTTGGGTAAAACTGTATTCATTAATTCACTTATGTTAGAGTTGTGTCGACTACAACTATAGAATGTCTTGGGTAAAACTGTATTCATTAGTTCACTTATGTTAGAGTTGTGTCGACTACTACCAAAGAATGTCTTGGGTAAAACTGTATTCATTAATTCACTTATGTTAGAGTTGTGTCGACTACTACTAAAGAATGTCTTGGGTAAAACTGTATTCATTAGTTCACTTATGTTAGAGTTGTGTCGACTACTACTAAAGAATGTCTTGGTTAAAACTGTATTCATTAGTTCACTTATGTTAGAGTTGTGTCGACTACTACTAAAGAATGTCTTGGGTAAAACTGTATTCATTCATTCACTTATGTTAGAGTTGTGTCGACTACTACCAAAGAATGTCTTGGGTAAAACTGTATTCATTCATTCACTTATGTTAGAGTTGTGTCGACTACTGCCAAAGAATGTCTTGGGTAAAACTGTATTCATTAATTCACTTATGTTAGAGTTGTGTCGACTACTACCAAAGGATGTCTTGGGTAAAACTGTATTCATTCATTCACTTATGTTAGAGTTGTGTCGACTACTGCCAAAGAATGTCTTGGGTAAAACTGTATTCATTAATTCACTTATGTTAGAGTTGTGTCGACTACTACTAAAGAATGTCTTGGGTAAAACTGTATTCATTAGTTCACTTATGTTAGAGTTGTGTCGACTACTACCAAAGAATGTCTTGGGTAAAACTGTATTCATTAGTTCACTTATGTTAGAGTTGTGTCGACTACTACTAAAGAATGTCTTGGGTAAAACTGTATTCATTAGTTCACTTATGTTAGAGTTGTGTCGACTACTACTAAAGAATGTCTTGGGTAAAACTGTATTCATTAGTTCACTTATGTTAGAGTTGTGTCGACTACTACCAAAGAATGTCTTGGGTAAAACTGTATTCATTAGTTCACTTATGTTAGAGTTGTGTCGACTACTACTAAAGAATGTCTTGGGTAAAACTGTATTCATTAGTTCACTTATGTTAGAGTTGTGTCGACTACTACCAAAGAATGTCTTGGGTAAAACTGTATTCATTAATTCACTTATGTTAGAGTTGTGTCGACTACTACTAAAGAATGTCTTGGTTAAAACTGTATTCATTAGTTCACTTATGTTAGAGTTGTGTCGACTACTACCAAAGAATGTCTTGGGTAAAACTGTATTCATTAGTTCACTTATGTTAGAGTTGTGTCGACTACTACTAAAGAATGCCAGAAACATTTCTGTGGTAGGCTGGGAAAAAGCACAATTGCTGATCCAAGCTGATGAAGTTCGTTAGCCGAAGACAGCATCGCTTTGAGAGAAAAGCACAATTTTGAAACAGCTTCTGCCTTGCAGTTTGTTCTTGGGTAGAGAAATCATATGTAAAAAAATCTAAAAATATATAGAAAAAAAACGAAAGTGGAAGTCACCGGGTTAAATGGTGCCTAACATGTTGATACGTGACATTTATTGTGTTGGAAGAAAGTATCATAAGGTTTGCCCTTTATGCATTACTACACCTTCCATTCGATCGCCATAAAAATGTGGGAGTTGAGAATACTCCAGGGAAGGTTTCTGCTGGAAAAATATTCAATTTGGTAGGTGCGGCTCCCCGGCAGGGTGCAATTTGGCGCCTCCATGCTTTTCTGTGAGCGATATGACGCCTACGTTCCATACTAACAGTGCGATAGACATGGATAAGATAGGCGATAGACATGGATAAGATAGGACCTTTTAGTCGTTCACAAAATTGAATCAGGCGCATCCGCCGGTGCTCCGGCAGAGTGCGATTTGGCGTTCCGGGTTATCCTGTGAGCACGATGGCGTCTACGTTTGTTTTGAAGAACGCGATATATATTGACTCGGTTGCACAAGACATTCGATGACTAAACCGAGCCAGGGGTTTAAAGTACCTGTGTGTTACCTACCACAATGCACTATATCAAACCATGCTAATTAGATAATTGTTTTTTTTTCCACAATCAAAACAATTTTTTTAAAAGTAAACATTTTTTTTTGCTTAATTTTTTTTTTTTTGGTAAGTCAACTGTCAAGGAAAATAATTGGTACTAATGGACGTAGTTATATACTTTTTCCAACAAAATTAAAAGTTTTGTGAAGGGTAAAATATTAAGTTTATATTTTTCTAGTACACATGAATGTCACATTTTCCCATTTGAACATTTTAGGGGACAACCTCTATTATTCCTTTTTTGCTATCGTAACTAGTGAAGAAAACCCTGTGCAAGTTGTTTGGAATGTTTTAAACATAAAAGTTCCAGGTTTGTAAACACTTCCTTCATCTTAGTCGCTGTAATAAGTAGTTGTTTGTTTTTTATTATCTTTTCTAATAAATAAATAATATTATGAGCTTTTGCCGGCTATAATTAAATTTTTAAAAAGCTAATGGTAATTTATTACATAAAACCACTTAATTAGTTCGTAGTTTAGAAGCGGGTTTCAGATTTCTCTCCTGCGATCACGGAGTTCAATTTATCTAGTAAATTCGTAGTAGTTATTTGGTGTACTTAATATAAACATGAGTCTATGTGTGTTTACATTGTACTAACTGTATATGCTGTATGAGTTTAAGATCATGTAACAGTTGATAATATGTTATTGTTGTGTTATTACTTGCAGCATTAGATAAGGAATATGCGAAAAACTATTTTTTTAAATGTATATGTCGATAGTAAAGTAAAGTTTCCCTTTCAAACCTGACGGTCTATGGGGCAAGTGAAGTAGAGTTCACTTGTTTCTGTGACCTCGGCATATAAAGAGATAGAGTGGTCAGCACTATGCCCAGCCGCCTTTACTTTCCCTAACAGGAGTTGGAACCCATCAGAGTTGGGTGGACTCAGGGACTGTCTACTGACTTGGACCCGGATTCGAACTCGAGACTTTATCGATTACTTAAGTTAAATAAGTAGGTGGTGGGGAGGGTGAGTGGATATTAAATTTTATTGAAAATTTTCGAAAATGGTCTGCGAAAGTCAAATCCAAACGTTTAACTTGTTAAATAAATCTGTAATGAACATAGCGAATGTGCAAACAAAACATGCATGGTTGGTTTATAGCATGACAGATAAAAATAGCAATTCTTGAGAAAAACAATGCACAAGACTTTGAAAAGAAAACATTTGTAGTTGTCTTTAAAGTCATACTCAAGATAAAGGTAAACGATTATTGCAGAATAATTTTGGCTGCTAGTTCCCCTTATTTCATCCCTGGCGGTACACAGTGGGCTAGTTCCCATTATTTCATCCCTGGCGGTACACAGTGGGCTAGTTCCCATTATTTCATCCCTGACAGTACACAGTGGGCTAGTTCTCATTATTTCATCCCTGGCAGTACACAGTGAGCTAGTTCCCATTATTTCATCCCTGGCGGTACACAGTGGGCTAGTTCCCCTTATTTCATCCCTGGCGGTACACAGTGGGCTAGTTCTCATTATTTCATCCCTGGCGGTACACAGTGGGCTAGTTCCCATTATTTCATCCCTGGCAGTACACAGTGGGCTAGTTGCCATTATTTCATCCCTGGCAGTACACAGTGGGCTAGTTCCCATTATTTCATCCCTGGCAGTACACAGTGGGCTAGTTCCCATTATTTCATCCCTGACAGTACACAATTGGCTAGTTCCTTAGTTGCGTATAAAACATACCGGTCAAATAAATACAGCTTTAAAAGTTTTTTGGCTTTCAACATGCTACATTTGTAAATTAATTGACCTATTTAGGGTTAATTAGTGGTCATGAATCAGCAATCAAACTGGTGTGGGTGGACATTAGAGTACATGATGTGTAGCTTCCCTTGTACCGTATCCTTTATAGGGATAGTAAGTAGGTCACCAACCAGTTCTACGGCTCAATAAAACCCGCATAAGCCATAGAACTGGTTGGTGACCTACTTACCAGCCCTATATCGGATGTGTAGCTTCCCTTGTTACCTTCTACCTTAATCTTTTATATTGGACATTATTTATTAATTAACTAATACGTTATTTATAGATGCTAAACATCTACCTTCACTTTTGTCTTCAATAATCTCCCTTACCAGATCTAGGGCTTGTACTGCGTATATTTTATAAATTGTTAACAAAAAAAAGGAATACCAAATTAAGAATTTCACCATACTAATAACATTGCTTTAGATATAAACTTCAGTTTTTAATGAAGTTCAGAAGAATAGCCGTTGTTTATTAATGAATCTAATGGTATTTTTATGTAATCAACACAAGTAACAAAAAGACACTAAAATAAATATGAACCTACCAGCTTTTAAAAGTATCGATACATGAAATAGTTAAGATGCTAAAATCAATCATAAACCACAAAAACTGAAAAACATGAGTGCGCTGCTATTGACAGTCCCCTAATAGTGTGAATCGATTCTAATCTGGGACTTATTTTTTCCTCGATAGTGTCGTTTAAGAGAGATCGGCTTGATGAGAACGTCGAATATTATTCTGATGGCAACACCACGAGACACTTGTACATGCTTCTGTTTTCCCACTCGACGCAGGTCAAATTTCCACTCAAAGTCAGGTAGTCCATCATTTATGTTATACTAGCCGTCCCGGCCAGGCGCCGCCCTGGCCATAAAACGCTCGATGTCAACAGTGATTTTTTTCAGATTTTTTCCTCCCCGACGGAGGGAGCACTTGAAACTTAGGGGGTGGGGCGGACTTTATATTACTGGGCCGTGGAAATGGGTAAAAGTAAATAATCTTTTTCAATGTATCTTATGCGGGATTAAAAAATATTGAGCTTGTTACTTTGATCTAGTTAGTTGCCATTTTTAAAGATCTATATATATAATTCTCTTCTGGGAGACGCTAGAAAACAAGCTGTAAACGCGCTCCCTACCATCCCCACCCCTACATGGTCTTAGTGAGCTGTGGTTCACGCTATGTTTACCTTCATGGAGTCGGGTTTAGTGACGGCTATTAGGGGCAGATAATTTAGTTTGAAACGATTTTAAACGGAAGGGGGGGGGGGTGGAATATGGTCCTTAACGAGCTACTTATAGTGTTTTAAAGACATATTTTCAGTGTCAGCGTTGGTACTGTCGAATTCACAAATTATGAATTACTGAATAGTAGAAAAAACAACAACTAAATAGCGGCGTATGTTATGCCGCGGGCCGGCTCGTTGTATATATATATATATATATATATATATATATATATATATATATATATATATATATATATATATATATATATATATATATATATATATATATATATATATATATATATATATATATGTGTGTGTGTATCTTTGTGCATCACTGTGACCTATCTCTCTCTGTGTGCGTGTATAAATACATACGTATGAGATGTATGCATATAAAAATGTTCTACCTTCAAAAATCAAATTTCAAAAGATTAGTTTGAATGTTTTCATACTACAGTGATACTGGCATTGTGGGCATCCCTGACTATTTTAAACTACGTGCGATCAACTGGCTGCGTTTTGATTACAAGTACTATTTACCAAAGGGTAGGTTTGACACTTAGTTGTATGTACAACATATCAGTCACGGTACCCTATTACATGTGTGGGTAGGTTTAACATTGTATGTGTATGAGTACAGTTGTTGAAAGTTTGATAAACAATAAGATAACCTGTGTAAAGTTTGGGTAGTCAAACAATCGTTATACCCACATGTACCATTCGATGTAAAAAAAAAATCGTTATACCCACATGTACCATTCCATGTTACCAGGGACAAAAGTTTCTGCCTGTAAGTAACTACTGAACCTTGTATCGCTACAGAAAAAAAGTGCAACGACCCAGATCGCACCTGCCCACCAGATGAGCCATTATTAAAACATGACCTATCCTACGAATTATCATTCAGAGGGAGTTCCGTGCCGATACTGGACAATACTGAACCAGAAAATAACTGTGTTGAAGGCGAAAAAAGAGTTCAAGAACACTCCACGAACAATGCCGGCCAGAATTCAGCCCATGTTGGTGCCGTAATGTGGATGTTAACTTGTGCACTGGTGCTTATATTAACGCTGTTTTGCTCCGATATCTAGTGTCTCTCTCTTTGGCACTCAACTTTGAGAAACATCTTTGTTTTATACAATGCTTATATATATATATATATATATATATATATATATATATATATATATATATATATATATATATATATACTTATTTATTTATTATTTATTCATTTATTTATTAAAAAAAAGTATTTTCTTTATATTATACTATTTTGTTTCAATTACAACTCAAAAAAGTTTGATGAATCTGAAACAATCTTTATTCTTTAGTTATATTAAAATTCAATTCACTATTTAAGTGTGGATGGGAGTTGTTTGTTCTTTTCGTTCTAGAACTTTGAGAATTAGTTGAAATTAAAAAAAAATTTAAAAATGTCTGAATCCTTTTATTGTTGGAAATGTGAGTTGTGAGTATTTTGTTTCGATTGAAATTGCTGTTTATTTGATGGTTGTTGGTCTATGTATGGTAAAAAAAAATTAGCCAATTTTCATCAACAAGCCTTCTCGATTGATATTTTTTTGTGATCGCTTAAGGACTTGTATCTATTGGCTTGCTCAGAAGACAACTATCGTTCAAGACTTGAGAATGGATTTTCATATTATGTGTGTTTGTGTGCATGTATTCATACAGCCGCCTTTCTCTAACGTAAGTCAGGTACCCATTAGTGCTGGGTAGACCACACCGTCCCACATGCACACCTACCTCTCTGTATGTATGTAAGCATACATGAGTTATTTATGTTTTGTAAAATGTATATTGTATGTGTTGGTGCATGCAATTTTGTGTTGTGTTTATTTATGCTATTGTAAAATGTATGTTTTATGTGTTGATGTACGCTATTCTAACAACCGCTGTCGTAGCATCAGATTTAATACCTTGTGTAATTACTTGTTGCAAAATACATGATGTAAGAAATCTTATTATACATTGAAGCGAACACTTTACATTACTTTGACCATGACATCAACCCCATTAGTAACAGGATGTAACAGTTAAATGCTCTGATAAAATACGAAGATACATTTTATTTTATTTAAATACATAAAAGTAAATAACATGTAATATTAAACATTAAAATTAATTTCATTCTCAGACTTTCAAGGGGCATTTTATTCAATGTATAAGCTCTCCTATTTTCGACGAATTGAGTCCCAGTTTTTCACCAAACCCTTACATATTTCACCAAACCCTTATATATTTCACCGAACGCTTACCCATCTATTCTCACCAAACCCTAACCTCTCTACTCTCACCAAACCCTAACCTCTCTACTCTCACCAAACCCTAACCTCTCTACTCTCACCAAACCCTAACCTCTCTACTCTCACCAAACCCTAACCTCTCTACTCTCACCAAACCCTAACCTCTCTACTCTCACCAAACCCTAACCTCTCTACTCTCACCAAACCCTAACCTCTCTACTCTCACCAAACCCTAACTTCTCTACTCTCACCAAACCCTAACCTCTCTACTCTCACCAAACCCTAACCTCTCTACTCTCACCAAACCCTAACCTCTCTACTCTCACCAAACCCTAACCTCTCTACTCTCACCAAACCCTAACCTCTCTACTCTCACCAAACCCTAACCTCTCTACTCTCATCAAACCCTAACCTCTCTACTCTCACCAAACCCTAACACTTGTAAACTCAAGAAACCTTGATCGTATACAAGTGTGACCACAGTACAAAAGAACCAATTATAAGGGCCCATGTCGCTAGTCCAAAAAAAAACATCACTGACAACTGCAACGCTTCAATGACAAATGTCAGCCTGGTCCCGGTCTATGACAAGAGAATCACAAAGCAAACCACAATAGAACTTAGTTTAACCTACAGTTTGAAGCAATCACTATCTGAGCGTTTGGGTTTGTGCATCTTAACAAATGAGGCCCAATAATCAACTTTTATAAACATCAACTCAAACAAACAAATTAAAAATAATTATAAACTTGCTCGGCATAACATGAACACTAACTCAGCACAACATAAAACTGCTCGTTCATTTTCTAAACCCTACTGCAAATGTTGGATTAATTCACCACTACTATTTCTGACAATTATCACTTTATGTGATACCCAGACGCCTTGTAAGCGTAAGAAGCAGAGTCGTTTGTTTAAATCATGACTGTTTGTATCAAATACAATTACTACCTGCTAAATGCTACCTGCTACATGCTAGTTGTTTGTCACAAGCATCCTACATATTTCACATCAGGACAATCTCCTATTTCTACCATCCAAAAACAAGTATTATTTCTTTAACTTGGCATTGGTAATATAAATTCCAACTTTTGTTTACGTTTTCGGGGTAACTGCTATACTATCGTTTTTCAAATAGAAAACATCTTTAGCATAATCTATGTACTTTGGCGGTGAGTAGCGGCTAGCGCTTTCTGATGGCACATACCCCTGCTTGGAGAGGAAACCGGAAATGATGTTCTTCTCTTCCAGTGTCTTGTCCATCCACTCCATCTGGAGGACACGCACGTCGACGTGCCGGAAGAAGGCATCAGCACACTGCAGAGCGTCATGCTCGCTGTTCTCGATGTCCATCTTCAGGTACACCGACTGACCTCCTACCAGCGGCACAAGGTCGTCCATGCAGATCGTCTTCACCTTGACCTTCACGTGCTTGCTGTCCAGCGGCTCAAACACGTTGGAAGTGTTGAGGCGGTTCCCTCCAAAATTGTGTCTGGCATTAAAAATAAAATAATCGAGTAGTTGTGGTAGATGGACGGACCTGTTAGAAAGTTTAACAATGGTCCATATAAAGGTCAAAGAGCAACTTGTGTAGATAGATAGAATAATTGGATATATATATATATATATATATATATATATATATATATATATATATATATATATATATATATATATATATATATATATATATATATATATATATATATATATATATATATATACATATATATATATATAAATATATATGTATATATATATATATATATATATATATACATACATATATATACACATATATGATCGACCAATTGGATATACATAGGTCACGGACAGCCACCGTAGATAGATAGACCAATCCTGTATACATATATTAAAGTACAGTTAGAGAAGATAGATAGACAAACGTGTTCATTCCTTGTACGTGTAGCATTATTTCATGCACGAGAGTAAACTGAGGAAATGGATTTTTAACTAATGCCTAAATCAGTATGCATGAGCCATTGCATGAGCCATTGTGGAATATTTTAAAAATGATGGTGTTGTACGCTGTTGCGAAGGGGGGGGGGGGGGGTAGGTTAGTTCCTGTGTTTACATGACATGGCACAGTTTACCACAGGATGAAACGTCTGCCGAGTTGACAGAAACAGACAAACTCTACTTCAGTACCCAATCATCACCGGCTATAAATGTTCAAACAATGCTTACCTCGACATTTGACAAACTATGTTTGGAGTAACCTAGATTTTAATCGCATTTTACCTACAACCTATGTTTGGAGTAACCTAGATTTTAATCGCATTTTACCTACAACCTATGTTTGGAGTAACCTAGATTTTAATCCCATTTTACCTGACAACCTATGTTTGGAGTAACCTAGATTTTAATCGCATTTTACCTGACCACCTATGTTTGGAGTAACCTAGATTTTAATCGCATTTTACCTACAACCTATGTTTGGAGTAACCTAGATTTTAATCGCATTTTACCTACAACCTATGTTTGGAGTAACCTAGATTTTAATCGCATTTTACCTACAACCTATGTTTGGAGTAACCTAGATTTTAATCCCATTTTACCTACAACCTATGTTTGGAGTAACCTACATTTTAATCCCATTTTACCTGACAACCTATGTTTGGAGTAACCTAGATTTTAATCGCATTTTACCTGACCACCTATGTTTGGAGTAACCTAGATTTTAATCGCATTTTACCTACAACCTATGTTTGGAGTAACCTAGATTTTAATCGCATTTTACCTACAACCTATGTTTGGAGTAACCTAGATTTTAATCGCATTTTACCTACAACCTATGTTTGGAGTAACCTAGATTTTAATCGCATTTTACCTACAACCTATGTATGGAGTAACCTAGATTTGAAAATCATGTTTACCTTACAAACTTGGTGCCAAGCACCCGACGGTCCTTGTATATCGCGTTGTTTACTATGGTGACCAACTGCCCGAGCCGGCTCAACTTGAGAGACGTCTGCAGCTTGACCACGTTCTCCATCAGCATCTCCACGGCCAGCACGCGGCGGCCCAGGGCGGCGGCCCACAGGGTGTACTGCCCAATGTTGCACCCCAAGTCAACCAGGGTCAGACGCTGGTTTGACTGAAGTCAGGAAATACAGATCACAGTTTTCAGTCATGACACATGCATGTTAAGGAAATTCACTTGTACAATAATTTTAGGCATCTTAAAACTGACAAAGATAAATACTATTTAAGTTATTTCAACACCTTTGATTTTAAACAGAGGTACATGTTGCCTGCAATGGGTTACAGGCTAAATGATCACTGGTGATCAAGGTCTTAGTTCACAAAGAAGATTTTGGATATGTTTGGATGTAGCGTCCACACCACCACACACAACCACGCACCACCACCACCACACACCAGCACCACCACACACCACCACTACCACACACCACCACTACCACCACCACACTACCACCACAGTAATAGTATAAAACTATATAAGTATATATATATATATATATATATATATATATATATATATATATATATATACTCGTATTTATGTGTGAATTAAACAGAGATTTACATACTAAAAGAACAGTTTCCATCTCTTTGATTAAGTGTCGCTCCCATAAAGTGTTGCGCTGTAAAACGAAAGCCAATAATTAAGTTTTTACACAACAGCATATCCTATCAAGCTTAAATATATAGATAGACATGTCAATGCACTAAGCCAATTTCTTCTTGTTCTTCGTAATTCTTAATTGTAATATTGAATTGGATTTCCTCCAAGTCAATTAAGAATTACTATCAACATGTTATGCGCCAAATAGGATTATAGGGATCCGATTTCAACCTGCTTTCCTTTCTGGATTTGTTTACATAGCCTTGCCCATTCCAGAACAAACTACAACTGAATATAGTTATTTAATTTTGGAGTTGTCTCTCCTAGATGGGGTTTTGTCCCCAGCTATCGAGCCTCATCTATCCGGAGGTTCGAACTCGAGACTTTTCGGTGTAGAAACCATGCGCTATACCGACCTTACCACGACTGGCCCTGTGCCAGTTCAAATGTACACACACGTCATTTCCGCTGGGCTAGCTTTAGGTCACTTTGTAATTGTCAGAGGGGTCAGAATGGGTAGGTTGATTTTCTGGGGGTAATTTGATGAGTAGGTTGATTTTTTGTGGTGTAATTGGATGAGTAGGTTGATTTTTTGGGGGTAATTGGATGAGTAGGTTGATTTTTTTGGGGGGTAATTGGAAGAGTAAGTTGATTTTGTGGAGTAATTTGATGGGTAAGTTGTTTTTCTGGTGGTAATTAGATGGGTAGGTTGATTTTTTGGGGTGTAATTGGATGAGTAGGTTGATTTTTTGGGGGTAATTGGATGAGTAGGTTGATTTTTTTGGGGGGTAATTGGAAGAGTAAGTTGATTTTCTGGGGGGGTAATTGGATGAGTAGGTTGATTTTCTGGGTGTAATGGATTATGGGTGAACGTAGTGTTGGGGAACTTCCGTGAAGGGGGGGGGGGGGTTACACGGCGGGTAATACCCTGGTCCTAAATATAATACACTTGCACGTGAATAGTAGTAGGTTTTAGGGAGTAGTCAGTATACTTACTTTTTTGTTTCCCTGTCAGTTTTACTGTACTACCTTTAAAATATCATTGAAATCTTTATATTTGGTGTGAGGGGAGGATGGTGGGCCTTTAGTTCCGCCATTGACCACAAACTATTGTTTTCTACTTGTTACAATTAAGTAAGTACCAATTTAACAATACGATCACGTGACCTACCACCCACCCTTAGAGAGCCAGAAATATATCCGTCCTGTTCGTCGGTGTGGAGGCAGATTTTCACCCTGGGGTCGCTGCACTCGGGGAGGGGGACGCAGTCAACGTCGGTCCAGTTCGAGGCTGGCTCAGAGGGAACCACGTTCACATACGGGTAACTGGCATTTTTCAACAGCGCTGACATAGGTCGGGGCATTTCTGTTGCGGCCTCTTTGAGATTGTGATGTTGGGTAGTTTGCACTTGGTGAGGAATCGATTCATGAGTGGCCTGCCCTTGGTTAGGAATCTCTTCACGAATGACCTGCCCTTGGTGATGAAACTCTACATGACTGGCCTGCCCTTGGTGGGGAATTGCTTCATGAGTGGCCTGCCCTTGGTTAGGGATCTGTTTATGAGTGGCCTGCCCTTGGTGCTGAAACTCAATTACAGTGGAGACGTTGGGCTTGGCCTGGCTCGCATGAGACAGTCGTTGGTCAACTTGCTGTGCTGCATCTCGACTTAAAGAGAACAGACCCTGAAATAATTCAGTATTAAAATTTTTTGACTGCATTGATGTAGCATGCAATATAATTACAAATGTAATACTTCTAGACACGAAATTAATATACACTCTTATCATATTATTATGATAAAAGATGTAAGACTATAATTATTTCATGTATAACGTTGGTGTAGTCTTTACTAGCAGATTGCAAAATACATGTGGCAAAAGCTTTGGTATTCTTGAACAGGTTGTAGGGGAAGCACTGGAAGATTCACATACATGTACAATCTTTAAAAAAAATAGATCTATAAAGCTAAAATTACTTATATACTTATAAAAGCAGTATAAAAACCTTTATAAAACACGCTTTTGCGTGCGCTGAAAATCAGAAAATAAAACTTGATTGATTTATTTAATAAACGCTTTGGTCGCTCATAAATTCCCTAACATGTTTTAGCTGACAAAGCCTTTATTAAAGAAAGCAAATTAGTTGTGTTTTCTTTGTTCTTATTTTAGAAACAGCCGTTCTTCTTGTAAGGTTAATGACAAAAAGTTTAGAAACAGCCGTTCTACGCTAATCTGAAAAAGTTACAGAGGCTGTTAGACAAATTGCAGCAAAGTGTGAGGGAGTGGGACCACTAACCTTCGAGTTGATCACGTGACGGTCAGAGGAGTGAAAGCTCAGCTCCAGTTGGTTGTTTCGTAACACCGCGATCACGAGGTACAAGATGGACACTGTAATGACCAGGAGGATACTGACCTTTAACCTTCGAACTAGCATCACGTCAGGTAGTTTCTGTAGAAGAGAGGTGGCTGTGTGGTAGTTGTGGTGATGTAAGAGACGGCTGTGTGGTAGTTGTGGTGTTAGAGGTGGCTGTGTGGTTGTTGTGGTGATGTCAGGTGGGGTTGTGTGGTAGTTGTGGTGATGTCAGAGGTGGCTGTGTGGTAGTTGTGATGTTAGAGGTGGCTGTGTGGTAGTTGTGGTGATGTCAGATGTGGCTGTGTGGTAGTTGTGGTGATGTCAGAGGTGGCTGTGTGGTAGTTGTGGTGATGTCAGATGTGGCTGTGTGGTAGTTGTGGTGATGTCAGAGGTGGCTGTGTGGTAGTTGTGGTGATGTCAGATGTGGCTGTGTGGTAGTTGTGGTGATGTCAGAGGTGGCTGTGTGGTAGTTGTGGTGATGTCAGATGTGGCTGTGTGGTAGTTGTGGTGATGTCAGAGGTGGCTGTGTGGTAGTTGTGGTGATGTCAGATGTGGCTGTGTGGTAGTTGTGATGTTAGAGGTGGCTGTGTGGTAGTTGTGGTGATGTCAGAGGTGGCTGTGTGGTAGTTGTGGTAGTTGTGGTGATGTCTGGTGTGGCTGTGTGGTAGTTGTGGTGATGTCAGATGTGGGTGTGAGGTAGTTGTGGTGATGTCAGGTGTGGTTGTGTGGTAGTTGTGGTGATGTCTGGTGTGGTTGTGTGGTAGTTGTGGTGATGTCTGGTGTGGCTGTGTGGTAGTTGTGGTGATGTCAGGTGTGGTTGTGTGGTAGTTGTGGTGATGTCAGGTGTGGTTGTGTGGTAGTTGTGGTGATGTCAGGTGTGGTTGTGTGGTAGTTATGGTGATTTCAGGTGTGGCCTTTTGGTAGTTGTGGTAGTTGTGGTGATGTAAGGTGTGGCTTTGTGGTAGTTGTTGTGATGTCAGGTGTGGCTATGTGGTCGTTGTGGTGATTTCAGGTGTGGCCTTGTGGTAGTTGTGGTAGTTGTGGTGATGTAAGGTGTGGCCTTGTGGTAGTTATGGTAGTTGTGGTGATGTCAGACGTGGCTGTGTGGTCGTTGTGGTGATTTCAGGTGTGGCCTTGTGGTAGTTGTGGCAGTTGTGGTGATTTCAGGTGTGGCCTTGTGGTAGTTGTGGGGATGTCTGGTGTGGCTGTGTGGTAGTTGTGGTGATGTCAGATGTGGTTGTGTGGTAGTTGTGGTGATGTCAGGTGTGGTTGTGTGGTAGTTGTGGTGATGTCAGGTGTGGTTGTGTGGTAGTTGTGGTTATGTCAGGTGTGGTTGTGTGGTAGTTGTGGTTATGTCAGTTGTGGCTATGTGGTCGTTGTGGTGATTTCAGGTGTGGCCTTGTGGTAGTTATGGTAGTTGTGGTGATGTCAGAGGTGGTTGTGTGGTAGTTGTGGTGATGTCAGAGGTAGTGTGTGGTAGTTGTGGAGATGTCAGGTGTGGCTGTGTGGTAGTTGTGGTGATGTCAGATGTGGCTGTGTAGTAGTTGTGGTGATGTCAGGTGTGGCCGCGTGGTAGTAGTGGAGATGTCAGGTGTGGTTGTGTGGTAGTTGTGGTGTTGTCTGAGGTGGCTGTGTGGTAGTTGTGATGTTAGAGGTGGTGTGTGGTAGTATCCAAGTAGTACATCTTTAAAGAATAAACATGTATCTACTACACAGAAGTCTATTACACAATTAGTTTTAGTACTTGAACTTGTTTGTTTTAAATTTTGCTTGCTACGTGACCTAATTTAGGTTACATGAATATCTATAATCATCGCCTTACCAATAAGCAACGTCATAAGATATAAGCTTGTAACTACCAAAACCAGTCGAGAAATAAATCTACTAAAACCAATAAACATAACAAACCACATCCATAAAGGTGTCGCAATGAACAATATATCCCAGGTAAAAAAAAATAGTTATCCAAGTAAAGAAATATGCAGACATATAGCGCACACGTACATTGAGACAAATTGATCCACATACAACACAGCCATCTTCTTACACAAACAAAACTCCCAACTCGATCAAAGTAAACAGCCTCTAACACTCGCGTCCCCAACACTTCAAAAATAAAAAAAACTTCACGTTCCTTTCCGCGCGCGGACCAAAGTCTGTACTCTCTACACCACGATGGTGCACATTTAAACTTGGCTTGGAACAAATTTTAAACTTTGCATAGAACGGAATTATCGTAATCTCACGTTTTCTAACTATACAGTGAGTAGCCCTTGTATCTAATATAAATATACACCAGAGTTTCTTCCAGGCATCTCTTCTACCGCCCCCCCCCCGAACGAGATGGATTTTATATAGTAAACATACACTTGTACTAGTGTCGCCCCCCCCCCCTCCCCGAAAAATGTTGACCATCCCCCCCCCCCCGAAAATTTCAAAAGCCCCCCCCCCCCCCTCCCCGGAGAAAAAAGCCTAGAAGACACACTGAAATATACTGAACGGATTTATCGTAATCTCACGTTTTCTAACTATACAGTGAGTAGCCCTTGTACCTAGTATAAATATACACCAGAGTTTCTTCCAGGCATCTCTTCTACCGCCCCCTCCCCCCCGAACGAGATGGATTTTATATAGTAAACATACACTTGTACTAGTGTCCGCCCCCCCCCCCCCAAAAAATGTTGACCGCCCCCCCCCCGAAAATTTCAAAAGCCCCCCCCCCCCGGGGAAAAAAGCCTAGAAGAAACACTGAAATATACTGACCATGACCATTGACCCTATATATATACCAGCCAATAGACCTAACTGTACATCTAACTATACACTTAACCACAGACCTAACAATAGACATAATTACATGTCTGACTAAAACCTAAATACAGACCTGGCTATAAGGATGTATTGCGAAAGATTTAGGCGAAACATTGAAAGGAAACATATGAAGGGGTGTATGTTGACTAGATCTAGGCCAGTGGTTCCCAACCTTTTTCGAGTGGCGACCCCCTTTTATAAAAAGTAAGTGACCCGCGACCCCCATAGAATTTAAAAGCCGAAATTAGTATGGAAATTAATAAGCACTAAAATAAGATTTTCTAGTAGACTTTCAATATGAACTACTCTTGATAACTGTTTTAATAGCATGAGTAAAATTGCATACTATTCACTAAACCTTCGTGGTTAACTTTTTAATTAATTTTTTTTTTGTTAACGCCAACCTATGTCATTATAATTATCTTAATTTTGTTTTTAATCGAAGAATAGTGTTGAAAATATTTTCTCGAAAAGTCAATACATTTTACGTTTGGGTATGAATGGTGAATACTAAACCAAAATTAGGTCTGCAGTTTTTCATCTTACTCGGAATCATTCTGCAAATCAAAGAATTCATCTTGTAATTCATCGGGAATGCTGGCAACATCAAGGGAAGAAGAGAATGGGTAATGCATAAATGCAGATTCTTTTTTTTTTCAGCTCAGAGAAATAGCGATGCAGTTCGTTTTCAAGAGATTCAAGATGCCCAGAAATCGCTTCTTTCAAAATGTTAATTATCTCACAATCAGATTCATCTACCACACCGCAGAGTTTCTCAAATTTACAATATTTCCAAGATTTATTTTCTTTACCGATTTTGCAGTTTTGATAAAAATGCCCCGAGATTATCATGGAAAGTTATAATATTCGTTCATTTTCCCTGAAGCTTCAGGTTAAGCTTATCTTGATGTTCGAACACATCTGCTAGGTATGATACTCTCTCCAACCACTCTATGTCGTTTTAAGTATACCAAAAAGTCTTGTTTCCTTTGCACTTCCAAGAAGAATTTGATTTCAGATTTCAATTCAAAAACACGATTAACAACATTTCGTTTGACAGCCAGCGTACAGTAGTGTAGAAGAGCAGAACATCGTGATCTATATTAATGTTTTTGCTCAGTTCTTTGAAGGCTCCAGATTTTATATAATTTACGACTTACACTAGCAATGGACTCTTGATGTCGATTGGTTAGGGCAGTGGTTAGGGAGCTAAATCTTTTCTGTTTTCTGAAAGCCCGATTTTGAGCTAAACATAGATGGCGCGCCATCCGTACAAACCCCCACAGCCGTTCTAATCCAGTTTCAAAAAAGGTATTTATTTTCTCCATGCTATCTTCACAAAAGAGCAAGTCTTCTTTGCTATCATCCGCATGAATATAGACACAGACCAGCAACTGCGAACACGAACTCACGTCTGTTGATTTATCAACTTGAAAAGCAAACAATGGTGAAAGCTTAATTTCAATAAAAATGTGTTATTTAAAATTTACGTACATGCAGCGTTTGATGAAAATTTCTCCTATTGTTTTTTTTTTTTTTTTTTTTTTTTTTTTTTTGCTTGGCATTTTCTATCGCGACTTCATTTGATGCTTGCACTAATGCTGGTGAAAACTTCCTGTTCGATCATGTCTCTGGCGTTTTCAACTAGCTTCTTACCGACGAAAGAACTCCATATATTTTTTGGTGTGTTCCGAATGACTCGTCTCAAACGACGTTTTAGTTTTGAAGATTTCATAGATTCGTGACTGAGAACAACTTTGTACAGTGCGCTTTATTTCTTCTCTATTACATTTCCAGTGATGTTAATGAAGCCGAATTTCAAAAATTCTTCTAAATATTTATGTTTTGTTTCAAAGTACTAAGGTTTAGTATACCAGTTGGCGACCCCCCAGAAAGACATCCGCGACCCCCAGGGGGGTCGCGACCCCCAGGTTGGGAACCCGTGATCTAGGCCTTTGTGTCCGGTTTTTAAATGGGGGAGTGTGGGATTAAATCATTGGCTGTTAATTCAAGTATACGTGAACAGAGAGATCGTGTCGTGGACGGCGGGGTCTAGCTTGCCAAAAGTTACGAGTTCGAAACCCAGGATAGAGAACCCATGGCGTGTCCTAACTGCACTACCCCTCATGGCTAAATCAAGTAGATCTAGATCTAGTGAGTTTACTAAGGACGAAAAGAAAATCCGGCCAAAACCTACGTATCTGACTGGTATCATGGATGAGAGAATGGCTCGATCCTTAACCGTGCTCCAGACTGCTAGAACAAAGAACAAGAGCTTGAGTCGACAATGTATACGAGAGGGATCCTGTTTACTTATGTCAAGGCTGCATCAATCTTTGTCATATAGATCTAGCTAGACTCTAGATCTAGCGCGACTTCTCTAACTGTACTCCAGCCGTGCAAGAGAGTTGACTACACTTTGTTTACCCTTATCTTGTGCACTCACGTTTTGATGACGTCAAATATAAATAAAATTCTACCACAATGGCGGCGCCCATTCCATTTGTTCATTTTTAAAATTGATCATATTTTATTGAATATCAATTCTCGTGAACGTTATTAGATATTTAGTAATTAAAAATGAAAAGGAATAGTATGACAATTTTTCAGAGTTTTTTAAAAAAAAAAAACACCATTAGATAGTATTCTTGATTACTTACACAATAGGATACTGATCAATCGAAATCCAAATCTATTTGTTAAAATTTCGTTTATAATCAAACTCAAGCGGAGAGTTTTTTTTTTTTGTTTGTTTTTTTTGCGTTTGATTTTTAGGTCCGATTTGTGGAAGTTCCCAATAGCAACATTATACACTTCGAAACAAATTCGTTCCATACCAATACACAAGATCACACACACACACATCACAACAACATCATACTACTGCATTACATACACATCGCAACAACCTTGTTCTATAGTTTTATTACATACAATAGCACACATCATACATACAAACTGCAACAACCTCGCACTATACCCTAACATAAAAGAGCACATAACATACCCATCGCTATAGAATCGTATCGTAGTATTACATTAAACAAGATTTCAGCTCAAACAATATCAACATGTCAAGCTCGTACCATAAGAAAAGTGCATTGGGTTGATCCAACAGTAAGCACAGAGGCCTTTTGTCACATTTGAAGCTTTAAAAAAATGTATGTCCTCGAGAATATTAAAGTAAACAAACTACAACAGTACACAGGTTACATGTACAAACCTGAGGCTGTATTAGCGCAGATTAATGCCACACCCGCAGTCACACAACTCGCAGCCTATTGGGGATTCCATAATACACAACTCATTCACGACAGATATGAAACACACAGCCTACATGCACGTAAGATTGCGACATTAGAATTTTAGACCGGTGGTGGGACTTCAAAAAGACAACACTAATCACTGTATAGAATGTGTCCAACATTTCAACTCAGGGTGAATACAGTAACAGGATAAACTTCAGGCGAAATTACATTCTTATTGGACAATGTGAAGTCAATATAAGTGGTGGGATTACTGCAATTTGCATTGGCAATCAGATGGGGAAGGGGCTATAACCTCTACTCCTCATTTCATGCACCGCGTCAATATTGTGAAGTCAGACTGTTAGTTAATACTTTAAATAAAAAACTATATATATATATATATATATATATATATATATATATATATATATATATATATATATATATATAATAGTAACACCCTCTAAGTTGTAGAGATATCACATTGTATGACATTTAGTCCATCTAACAGAAATGATAATAAAGTTATCAGAATTTTAGAAAACGGCAATAGTGTCAATTTACAGATGTATAAAAACAAATTTTGTTAAACATATTTATCGTTTTATTTGTTTGTCCAATGAAAAGGGCGCTAACCATTAAATTGGGGGAATGTGCAAGAATACTGAATTCGTTCCCTTTGCCGAAATTATTTTCATTCGCCATTTTCACACCATGGTTTGTTTTTTTTTTTTTTTTTTTTTTTTTTTTTTTTTTTTTTTTTTTTTTTTTTTTTGGTATCTTCTGTATTTACCTTCCCTGTAAAAACTATTTCATAATACAATTTCTTTACAACAAGCTTTTATTTAACTCGCTTCATCTGTTTTTGTGATCGCCTTCCATACTTTATGCTTCCAAATTTTATTTTTTATATTTCGTATTGATCTCAGTTAGCCCGTAGTATGTTTTTTAATTTAAAAAAAATGTCAAACATCGCTCTATAAAATCTCTGCTGCTGGTAGGTGCTGGTTGATCTACGTGTAGGTGTCGACATTAAGGTTAGACATCTAGGCTGTAATGTCTCTTAAGGGTGGGAACGGTTTCACAATATACAACAACTTTTCAGGTTGTTTACCATTTGTAGATTTTATGAACTATTGATGAAACCTAACACGAATCGATTGATATATCCCCCCCCCCCACATCTAGGTCCCTATACACAGCTACCTGACTAAAGAAGCACACACACACAGACACACAGACAGACACATAGACATATATATATACATGTTTATATATATATATATATATATATTTATTTTTATATATATATATATATATATATATATATATATATATATATATATATATATATATATATATATGGATTTCTCATTTTATGACAACACCACAAATACATAAATACAAAAAAATACAAACATATTACAAGACGGCCTGTCATTTCTAGGTATTGTGTCTACATTTTGAGTCACAGGGGAGGTAATAGCTGTGTGACAGGCTCTATCATGTGTTACGGCTACATAAGTAACTGGCCTTTAAACTGAGATAAACCCTACTCACCAAACTCTGCGGAACACGCCATAGTCAGAAACCCACCAAACAAGATTCGAGAATATACAGGTTTTATATCCAGTCTTTTCATTAATATATTTCCCTGGATTCGTCTACACTTACACACCAGAGCTAAACTAGTTTTAATTACAAATGTTTTGTTTGTCAACTCATTAAGTGCAATTAAACCTTAATTGCTGCACTGATAGACACAAGCATAACATACATAAGGAGTGCAGGGAGAGGGAGGGGGCGTGACATTTAACAAGGGCAGAGTTATCGCCCTGCATTTGTGAGAGTTTGGCAACGTTGTGTAGAGCAAGACACGGTTGTGTAGCATGACATAAGAGCCGGGTTCATTTAACACAGGGAGATAACTCAAACTATGTGCTCAAGATCATGTGTGTGTGTGCGCGTTTGGTGATTAACTAACAAGAATGTACTGTTTACTCACACATGACACTTAAGATTTTAAATATACTTAAATTAGGCGGGATATTTTTAACGCCAATTTTCAACAGAATATAGTTATGATATAGCAACAGTTTATTTACAGATTATTTTTTTTATATTTCGGTAACAATTTATTTAATTTTTTTCTGCGAAAACGTGTTACTTAACCAAATAGTATGTTTCGCATTGACATCTTTTTTAAATACATTATAATTAGTTATAAAAAAAATAAAAAAATAATTAGTTCTTATGCCATATTATTTTCTCCCTTTAATTATTATATATGCAATTGATGTTCATGTCTTTGATGCTGTGTAAAATCTATCAAATAAATTATTATTACTGATTTAAATGTTTAAAACAATTGAATTAATTAAACAAAAATTAAATACATAATATGAAATTTTGAATAATAAAGCTATTATGAAGTAAAGACATAGCAGTAACACAGCGTCAAAAATTTGGAATAAAGAAATAATTTTACATAGTTATAATACATAATGAGATAGAATGAGAATATAATAGATGAATGAAAAAGGTTGCAAGGAGTTAGTTAAGGTCATGGAATAGTAGCTTTAGTTTTGTTTTGAATATATTTTAAATATAATAGTTTTATTTTATTTTATAAATAATGATTCAGTTCACTACAATAACCGACAAAATACAAGTTGTTATAGTAGTCAGGACAGTGATTTTTTATTTCATTTTTAATTTAAAGTTAGGGTAGCGATGCTCAGGTTACCTATGAAGACCATCAAAAGTTTAACAAGTTTGCACAAACCAATGCACATCTATTGGGTTTTAAAAATAGTAATTAAAGAGAAACAGCTAGAGAAATTAAGATTTACTGCTTGATGATGAAAAACCATATCAAATGGAGCAAGATTTGGTAGAAATAAAGTTGAAGAGGCTCGGTCCACCCTAAAATAAGCCAAGGAAATGTGGATTGAAGAGATCGCTGCTCTTAAAGGCTGACAACACAAGCAAATACAGAATGACTTGCAGACAGCTATTTATGCTAAATTTGGTACATCAATCTAGATTTAGATGATGAGAGTTTAATTAGTATGAATATTTAATTTATTATGATTTGATCATCATTTTGTAAGCAAACTTGTCTAGAGATATCATTAAACATAAATGTATGCATATCTGTGATCTGTGGACGTTTTAAAAATTATTTTATCATTTCTGATTATACTGTACCACAAACAAGCATTATAGTTTTGTTAGTGTACGATTAAGTAACTGATTACTAAACAAACTGCCATAGAAAAAATATTTAGATAACAGTACTGATACTTTAAAGTAACACCCCTTTGAAATATCAGGCTTTATGTCTCAAGATACAATGATTTTATTTATTATTACTTACGATATTTCTTGTGACCCTAAGGCCCACGGTTAGGGTTAAATAGTTGTCTTACTTTTAAGTTGATACACTGGCAGGAATGTTACCGCTAACCAACAGTCACCAAGTCAACTTTATCATGACAACAGTCACCAAGTCAACTCTATCATGAACATTCAGTTATCGTTGCTGTAGTTTTTTCCTTGACATTCTGTCCCTCTCCGCGAAGTAAACAAAACACAGTAGCGTCCCTTACATGCCATTGTCTAGCATAGTGGTTCTTAACCTTTTGGATGTACCGAACCCCACAAGTTTCATATGCGCATTCGCCGAACCCTTCTAACGTCCGCAATGACAAAATCATTTTGAATCATATGAGTTGAGTGTTGGTCTTGACCGAATCCCTGAGACTGTCTCACCGAACCCCCGGGGTTCGATCGAACCCAGGTTAAAAAAAACCTCGTCTAGCACATGCGACTGGTTCGCTGTGAAAATAAAACCATGTCAATTATCTGACACATGAAGAGCAGTTTTCTGTAGCGACCAGCCTATTCTCATCCTTGTGACTAACGCCTTTATCCTATCTCATCACTGTAACTAACGCCTTTATCCTATCTCATCATTGTGACTAACGTCTTTATCCTATCTCATCACTGTGACTAACGCCTTTATCCTATCTCATCATTTTGACTAACGCCTTCACAAACATTGAAAAGTTTTTTTTTTCAAATGTTTTCAAATATTATTAGGATATGACAGAAAAATCAGTTGTCAAACATTCTTTTAAGTAAAAAATCATTTATCCTATTATATTTTGGAAATAATATTTATCCACAGCACTAAAAAAATTCCTCTAGCCTGAAGCGGGTGTGTACATTCTCCACACTAAATCCTCGGTAACAACAGTGTTGTGTATACAGGGATAATCCCAGTGAGGGATTAATGTAATCCGGTTGGAAAAACAAAGGAGATCACAACGCCCATAAAACTCACGTACAAGGGCTAAATACACGTAAACAATCTGGTGACTACTACGTGATATGACGTCAGATCACAACAGATCAAAGGTCTCTATCGATAAATAATGTCATGCTACAATGATTTCTAAATCATGAACCACAAGCAAAATAACTTCAACATGATACATTTGTGTTGTGGATTATAAACTGTGCTATAAATGAGCGGCATACTTCCTGTATAACTGAGTAAAAATGCGAGTCATACTTAATATGATCAAGTGTGTTCATGTGTAGAGGTCAAAGTTGAGATTTGATGTGTTTGTTCATATTTTGTCTAGTCTTTCAACTGAATATATGATTCTGCATATGAATGAGAACAGTATTTTCATACAAATATTTTATCGAATGTGCTTATGTGTTTATTGTTGATTTTTTTTTTACTTTTACGTAAGTGGAGTGTAGAGAAGTATTGTTATCTTGTCACTGTTTCATATAGTGTGTACTGGGTGCTTTACTCTACTCTACATCGTGTACTGTGCTGTGTGCTTTACTCTACTCTACATCGTGTACTGTGTGCTTTACTATACTGTACATCGTGTACTGTGCTGTGTGCTTTACTCTACTCTACATCGTGTACTGTAGTGGGTGCTTTACTCTACATCGTGTACTTCCGTATTAACAGAAAAATTAACGACTCACGTCCTAAAAGAATGGACTTGAAAACAAAAAGCTGGTGACGCCATTGTTTGTCCTGTTTGTACACGCTCATCAACTGGTGACGCCATTGTTTGTCCTGTTTGTACACGCTCATCAACTGGTTGTTTGTCTAGTATGTGCTCCCTTTGTCTGTACTGGTTTCACGCTTAGATATAAATGTTTTCCCGTCTTTTTACACAAACACACACGAATATATATATATATATATATATATATATATATATATATATATATATATATATATATACATATGTGTATTTCTGTGTGTCCGTGTGTGTCTATGTGTGTGTTTAATTTTGAGTATTAAAACACTTTGGTAAGTTAAAACTTCACATAATGTTGTGCAGTATTATTCAAATTTCGTTGCTACACATTGTAAAGGTTAAGGCAATTTGTTTCCCTATCCATTTAAATGAAATTTTACTTCATTACTTAGCTTAAATTTCTGCTTTGATACTCTCACTATTTTGTGCAAAAGGCTACACTACCAAACAGGGATGATAAGAAAAAATTGTTTTGGCTTCAACATTTCAGTCTGTGTAAACTGCTGTGCTGTGAGTTAATCAACTCCAAATGTCACCTGTTCATATAAGAACATAAATACTGCATTAAACGACGGTGTCAATATTGTGTCGTAATTACCTCCCCTGAATTTGTACACACAGAGGATTGTGTGCCCCTGCCCAAATCCCATAAGAATGACGTACGGATTCGCATGTACACAGCCCATCTGGGTCACTAGCTTTCTGGGAGTTTACGATTATTACATTTTATCTTCATGGAAAAATGGAAAAACTTTACTTTTTCTTTATATAGTTATTTATCGTGAATACGGACTACGAATTTGGGTGGAAGGGAGCAATGTTTGCTATCAGAGTTTCTTTCAGGCATCTCTTCTTTAGGCAGGTTGAGGTGGGGGGGGTCAAGTCTCCCTAAACAAGTCCTCACATATAATTTATATAGAGAATATAGAATATATAGAAAATATATACTTGAAACCAGTATCTGCGCGCAAGGAAATTTAAGTCCGAAAGATTCAAGTGTTCCCTTCAACTTTCTTGCAATTCCAAAAATCCCGACCAACCTTTCCTGGCACATCAAGCACCTAGCCTGGAACAGCAATCAAATCTCAATGAGCAAAGGCGGTTACTTCAGATTGTGTTAAAGACCTCAATATCTTTTAATAATTCGGTTACTCAAACTATATTTAATATACCTAAATATCTTGTAATAACTCGGTCACTTAAAATATTTTGAAAAATTGTATCTTGTAATAAGTTGGTTACTTTAAAATGTGTAAATACCTCAATATCTTTGTAATCAACCATTGAGACCAATCTACCACAATATTTTCAAATGTTGAAAAAACCTCACTATCTTGTTGAAAAATAAACGTTCTAAATTGTATGTTCCATAAATACAAATCAAGTAATAATACAATTTCAGAATAATAAATGATGGGAAGAATTATTTTTACTGGCGATGGAAAAAGATATTTATTTAGAACAGAAGTTGGTTTTTTTAGAAATGTTTGTCCAGCCGAGTGATGTTGGTCATTTAGAAAAGTTGGTCTAGATATATGGCCGAGTGATTATAGTCATTAATAAATGCTGTTTTATTCAATGATAAAGATTAGAACAATAAATTATATAAGATGGAATTGATCCTGATTTCTTCGATGATGCATTTAGAAAAAAACCTTTTTTAAGAAAAAGGCGTCTCCGGAACAAGAGAAAACCGGAACAATTTGGTTGCCCGACTGAGACATGACGTAACCATGCCTGTCCATGAATTCTCTGGCGATAATCATTTCTTTTGACGTCTTGTTCAGGCATTCCATCTGTACGACCTTGACATTGACCTTTGAGAAGAAGAGGTCAGCACACTTAAGGGCCTCGTGTTCCGTGTTCTCAATGTCCAGCTTCATGTACACGGTCGTGTTGGACACGAGAGGAATGAGGTCATCCAGGCAGATTGTGTTGACCAGTACCACGCCTCGTGTGTTGTCCAGTGGTTCAAACACATTGGATGTGTTCAGCCTGCTGCCACCCATGTTCTGCCTATATTGAAGAGATCAAATGATTTAGCACCGGGACTATAGTGTATCTGGGTGCCAAAGTAAACATAATGGCAATAAACCAAAGTCGACTTACGCCATATTGTAAATATTATGGCTATAAAACAAAGATGACTTACGCCATAAAGTCGACCTTAAGGCCATAAACCAAAGTCGACTTATGCCATAATTTTGACCTTATGGTTATTAAACTAAAGTCGACTTACGCCATAAAGTTGACCTTATGGCAATAAACCAAAGATGACTTACGCCATAAAGTTGACCTTATGGCAATAAACCAAAGTCGACTTACGCCATAAAGTTGACCTTATGTCAATAAACCAAAGATGACTTACGCCATAAAGTTGACCTTAGGGCAATAAACCAAAGTCGACTTACGCCATAAAGTTGACCGTATTGCAATAAACCAAAGTCAACTTACGCCATAAAGTTGACCTGTAGAGTACGATGGTCACTGTACAAGGCGTTGTTTACTATAGTGACCAGTTGACTGAGTCCACTCAGCATCAGGGACGTCTGCAGCATGCGGACATTTTCTAGAACCATCTCAACGGCCAGGGCACGATGACCCAGGGCTGCTGCCCACAGTGTGTACTCGCCAAGGTTAGCGCCAAGGTCAACCAGCATTAGGTCAGGGTCATTCTAAAATTAGAAAAAAAGTTGTAGTCGGTAATAAAAATTTTGATCGTGATTTTGAGTTGTGTATTTTATTGTGAAAAATAGACTAATGGTACCTGCATCCTAAATACAAGGCAAATTTCATCAGTCAATGTGTTTCGAGATTGCGAGTTATTAAGAGCATGCATTGAATGAACTCTGGGAAAACTGAATCTCGAACTCTATAAACCAGCTTCCCCAAAACCAAAATCTGGTGTGTTTGTGGATGAAAGGGGGATAGGGGTAAATGTAGAAGAGTGGGGTTAGTGGGGTGAGTGTAGAAGAGTGGGGTGATTGGTGTGACTGTAGAATAGTGGGGTAAGAGTAGAATAGTGGGGTGAGTGTAGAAGAGTGGGGTGAGTGTAGAAGAGTGGGGTGAGTGTAGAAGAGTGGGGTGAGTGTAGAATAGTGGGGTGAGTGTAGAAGAGTGGGGTGAGTGTAGAAGAGTGGGGTGAGTGTAGAAGAGTGGGGTGAGTGGGTGAGTGTAGAAGAGTGGGGTGATTGGTGTGACTGTAGAATAGTGGGGTGAGTGTAGAAGAGTGGGGTGAGTGTAGAAGAGTGGGGTGAGTGTAGAAGAGTGGGGTGAGTGTAGAAGAGTGGGGTGAGTGGGTGAGTGTAGAAGAGTGGGGTGATTGGTGTGACTGTAGAATAGTGGGGTGAGTGTAGAAGAGTGGGGTAAGTGTAGATGAGTGGGGTGAGTGGAGTGTAGAAGAGTGGAGTGATTGGTGTGACTGTAGAATAGTGGGGTAAGAGCAGAATAGTGGGGTGAGTGTAGAAGAGTGGGGTGAGTGTAGAAGAGTGGGGTAAGTGTAGATGAGTGGGGTGAGTGGAGTGTAGAAGAGTGGGGTGAGTGGGTGAGTGTAGAAAAGAGGGGTGAGTGGAGTGAGTGTAGAAGAGTGGGGTGAGTGTAGAAGAAAGGGGTGAGTGTAGATGAGTGGCGTGAGTGTAGATGAGTGGGGTGAGTGTAGAAGAGTGGGGTGAGTGTAGAAGCGTGGAGTGAGTGTAGAAGAGTGATGTGAGTGTAGAAGGTGACCCAACATTCCAGCAATCTATCAACAGAGAAATCTGAGAAATTGTATGAGAGAGGGTATAAAATGGTTACCTTTAATGCTTTATCCAGCTCTAACACCAAGTCCTCCTCCCAAAGTTTATTTTTCTGAAAGTGTTCAAAATGTCACGTTACTTGAGGCAAACTGAGGTCTCTGTTCTTTAGACGCCTAACGGGACTACTTTAACAAAAGATGAAAAGATTTCCTATTTAAGAAATACGTGTTACTGCAGGCGACAAACTATACAATTCACGCGCATTGCATGTGAGGTTATCCCCTCACCCCTCCTGGGACATAGGCCGATGACAAGAGCTTTCCAGGCACCTCTGTCCTGGGCTAGTCTCTCCAACTGTCCCCAGGTGTAATCAATCTTCTTGTCTTTTTCCAGGTCACGTCTCCAACTCTCACTCAGCCCTCGTGATGAGGGACCCACTTATTATGCTTGATACAGACTGCTTGAGTGTGTGGCAATTCCCTCGCCATTTTCTCTAGAGGATGTCTACTCCAGCTGCCAGTTGGTTTGTCTGTTTTTAAAATACCAAATTGGTGATGGTGTCGGGCCAGTGAGGACCTTTCTGGTGCGTGTGTTTATGTGCTATATACACGTTAAGTAATTTTTTTAAACTTTAAGTATCATTAACATTTTGATTGCTTTGAATTCAACCCACACTTGGCTTATTTTAATCTTACTATTGCAACACGTCTTTCTTTTATAAGATGCAATGGCTAGGGTGAAGACGACCAGTTAGTAAAACGTTTTTACTCGGGTGAAATCACACTTGTTTTATAGCTGAGATACTACTTTCTATATAAAAAGCTCTTGTTTTATAGCTATGCTCAGAGCAGATAAAGGGGATTTTTATTCTAATCAAATTATTCTTTTTCATAGCTATGACATGTTGAATATAAACTAAGATCTACAAACTCAAACACATCTGCCTTTTGCACTGAGCATTGAAATCAATTCACACGATGTATTCAAGGTAAAAAGCAACATTTAAAGTTCAATGCAAATATTCATAGCGCAGTTATTTGTAAACAACATATTCAAGGCAAATACAAAACCTTTACATTCTGTATACACCTTACTTTTAAACTTTCCGAAAGCCAAACATCCTTGTCCTGTTTGTAAAGGCAAATTTTGACATTTTCTCTGGGTGACTTGGGGAGGGGCAGACAATCCTCCACAGGTAAAACAAAATCAAATGGGGGGACTGACGGCACAAGGTTGACACGCTGATGTCTCTCGCTTATCTTGTGTTCTATCGTTTGAGAACCGTTTCTCTCAGGGGCTGGAATCTCCACTGTTACAGAACGTGTATTCACGATGGCATTGTTCTGATTTGTATCGATTTCCATCAGCTACGATAAAACAAAACACACTATGGTCTTTATAAGGTAATTCGAACTGATCGGATTTTAAGTATTACATAACAACATAACAGAAGCACGTGCTTATAATATTTAAAGTTAAGTTCCCCTTTCAGGCATATGGGTAAATATGATGGATGAAGTAGAGTCTATATTTTTCTTCACCTCGGCATAGGAGGGGATGGTATTCTTGGCAGCGCAGTCTTTACTTTCATTAACGTGAGTCAGGTACCATTAAGAGCTGAATGTACTCATTAACTTCATGCAGTCATGAACTAGAGACATTAGTACCAGCAATCGAGTGCTCAAAACCCGACCTCACTGTCCAGCATAATAGTATTTTATATATATATATATATATATATATATATATATATATATATATATAAGTAAAGTTTCCCTTTCAAACCTGACGGTCTATGGGGCAAGTGAAGTAGAGTTCACTTGTTTCTGTGACCTCGGCATATGAAGAGATAGTGTGGTCAGCACTACGCCCAGCCGCCTCTACTTTCCCTAACGTAAGTTAGGTACCCATCAGAGTTGGGTGGACTCAGGGATGGTCTACTGACTTGAACCCGCATTCGAACTCGAGACTAACGGGTTAGCAGTCCAGCTCTCTACCGCTAGACCACTCCGCCCCACACACACACACACACACACACACACATATATATATATATATATATATATATATATAAATATATATATATATATATATATATATATATATATATATATATATATATATATATATATATATATATATATAAATACTAGCCGTCCCGGCCAGGCCCTGCTCTGGCTTCTGTGAAAAACCTTTCTGTTAAAGACCATTACCTGTGTGTTAAGTAATCATCCTAAACCCGGCATTGCCCACCCAAACCACAACCAACCAAAACAACAAAACGCAAACATAACGCTAACACAATTACAAATACAAACGAAAACAAAAACCTAACAACAAACCCAACCACAACCACAAACACCAATACAAACACAAACAAAAAACAAACAAAAAAGCAAACGAAAACAAAAACCTAACAACAAACCCAACCACAAACACCAATACCAACAAAAAAAAAAAACAACGAAAAAGCAAACGAAAACAAACCAAATCCAAACGCAAAACCAACCAAAAACACAAATACAAACCCAAACAAAGAAACACAAACAAAAACGAAAAAAGAAAGAACAAAAACGAACCAAATCAAAACGCAACCACTAACGCAAACCCACCTAAACACAAAGAAAACACTAACGCGAACATAAACGCCCGGGGCGGAATCACCTGTTTTAGCTTAATGAACGACTATAGTACCCCAACTTATTCATAGTCTTTTGCACTCACTTAAACGAACGCGCCTGTTTCAATTTGATGAACAATTTTAATACTCCAAGCTTATCCGTAAAATACCTACAACATTTGCACTTGATCAATCCCCGCTAATTATGTAATTATTTTTTTTCCCAACACCAAAACAAAGTAATTAAAAAGTAAATTATTTTCACGGAATGCAATGGGTTTATAAAGGGAAGTAATTGTGTTTTTCCTAATTTATCAAAGGGAAGTAAGTGCTATAGGACTAAATAAAGACATAATTAGAATTTTTGTAAAAGATGATATTTTTTTTAAAACTTGTGTTTAATGAACATGCCGACAATTATTACTGTAATTTGAAAAATGAAAATTATTTCCCAACACTTTCAATAGTAATTTTTTAGCTCATAAATTTAGACAAATGCGCACGATAATTTTCTAACACTTAAATTCGTACAATTCCAACGATATACAAATGCATTACATACAGAACTGAGCTTTATATATTAGATATATATATATATATATATATATATATATATATATATATATATATATATATATATATATATATATATATATATATATATATATATATATACGTTAAAATTATGTGTAAGTAATATAGTATGAATGTATGTTAAGATTAAAATACAGGTACATTTACTTTTAATCATAAAAAACAAATCACTTGCCTTAAAGTCGTTGCTATGGTTACTGTAGCGACTAATGTGGAGATATAAGGCGCAGAGCGTAACACAGCAGGCTAAAACAATAACCAGGCCTTTACATCGTACTGCACGCATCTCTTTATTCTTCAGGCTGTAAAGTGTAAACAACACGGAATAGTCAGACAGTACAGTAGGGATGGGGCCTGCTGTCGGAAATCTTTTGTCGCTTGCCTAACTAGAGAGTAGGGTTGGAGTAAGCAGTCGGAAAACAGGTGGCTCTTGCCTACCCAGCGAGATGGGATAGGGTCAGCTGTTGGTAGGCAAATAGATACCTCTAGCCTACCTAGCGAGTAGGGGCTGATAGATTTTAAACCTTGGGGCCTCCACAAAATGTTTTTTTTTTCAAAAAGAAGCCGTTACCATGACAACCATGCTTTAAGAAGAGTCCCTGATACACGCAAATATCTCCCCTTAAGTACCCTAACTAAGATACACACAAAGAAATTGTTAGGCCTAATTAATAAAAGTTTTTGTTTCGGTTTTTTTTTCCAGAGCTTACATAATCGAACTTCTAATACTCAGCCAAGTTTTATGTTACAAAATATGGTCATAGAAAATAGAGGTACGTGAAACTTTATAAAGAAATCAGTCAGGTAGAAGTGATCTTGTTAAGGAAATGGTGTTATGAACTGTAATGTAAACACGAAATCACTCAAAATAGAATCGCGAAAATAAGATCTTATTCGTATGTTTAAAATTTCTTCCACTAAATTAACGAAATGGCGTTTAGGTTATTTTAGACACAGGAAATATTGTAAACTAGTATATCTGCTTATCGGAGGTCACTCTAAAATTGGAATAAAGCTATGTATTAGATTTTATACTTACATATGAAATTTCGTCTACATAACTGAATCAGTACTAGAGCTATAGTGTTCACAGTGAAATGTAGTAAAATACGACTTCCGGTTACCAGAAATTGTTCATACTTTGATAGATACATGCGCATTATATTTTTACTTAAATGTGAAATTTTTTCATCTATATTTAAATGTTTCTTAAGTTAATGGCTTTTGTGAATCCAAAGGAGAGTAAATACTACTTCCGGGACCATTAAACTGACAAATTCCTTGTTACTTACTTTCTTTCTCCTGGAGAGCAACAACCTCATATGATACAATAAACAGATACAAAAATAAAACATCGGAACAGTATCATGTAAGAGTATATAACTTTTTACACCTTAAAACCAAACAATGAAAAAATAAAAGAAACAGTAACATACACCATACACTATGTCTAGTACAAAAATAAAAAAAGCTACCAGTACGTATTAAAAGTAAAACAATATGCATAGAATTGCAAATGGTATATTTAAACTTAACTTGAAATTAGCATATAACTAAATTTCAATCTAAATTTAATCCGAAATGTGACATGCATTACCTGAGTGTAAGACGTTAGCCACTACTACCCCCACCTGCTCATTATTCCCCAGATCAATTACCTCCTCTCATTACCACCATCTTTAATAACCTATCGTTTATTTCCTCATATCCATTTTTCAAATCCCTAACCCTCTTGCTAATCATAAACCGTATGCTTATCCTTAATCTTCACTATATCCGTATTCTTTATGATATCCTATCATTACAGCGACTGTCATACTGCAAATATATCGCTATAGCACTGTATCATAGTCTTACATTAAACACAACTTCAGCTCATACAATATAAACATGTCAAGCACGTACCATTAGAATAGAACCGTCCGGTTGATAGAATATCCACGAAAATATGAAAGTAAACAAACTACAGCGGTACACAACTTCAGTGGCGTAGCCAGGATCGTCTCAAGGGGGGGGGGGGGTTCCAATTTTTACCCGGGGACAAACTTTCGATTTGCACACACCCCCCCCCCCTCAAACTTTCGATTTGCACCCCCCTCATACTTTTTATATATATACCGAGGGGTCTATGGGGGGGGGGGGGTTTATGACCCCCCTAACCCCCCCACCTGCCTACGCCACTGCACAACTTACATTTACAAATCACTGTGCTAGATTGAAGCTTGGAGTTTATCATGTATCTGTATTCACCATGTATTCGCGCAGATTAATGCCACAACGACAGTCACACAAAACGCAGCAGATTTGTATTCTAACTTAGAAACTACCTATTAGTGATACATACTTCTTATTAATAAGAAAAAATATTCAGTTTAAAATTTTAGGAGATAAACGATACGATATTATTACTATTTTGAAGAAAATATGTTCTGGATTTAGAATAAGCAATATAGGCTAAGTAGTTAGATTTATTTAATTAAATAATTCATCGGCGTGCTGTGAAATTAGGACCTAGCGTGTGTAATGTGAGATTCAGATACAGCAACATGTGTTTGCTTTGTGTTAGGAAGATAATCAGCGCTTCTAATCATGGAATTAGTTATGTGAAATAAATAAAATTGCGCTTCTAATCCTAGTATTACTCATGTGAAATAAGTAAATGTAATTAAACATAGTGTGTATCAGTTATCATATACACAAACAGACATCAGTGGCGGAACTAGAAAAAAAGGGACACCCCGCAAAAACAATTTTAGGGCCCCCCCCCCATATATATATATATATATATATATATATATATATATATATATATATATATATATATATATATATATATATACAAACACAAAATACGAAGAGAGCATAGGATACTCGTTGCTGGCCTGTTCGGGTTTTGAAAAAAAAGTCTTGTTTTTTTTTCAATTAAAACAAATTACTACATCATGTCATGTGTGTAAGTGCATTAGTGTTTTGAGAAAAACTGTTTTATTTTATTTGCTATGGGTTCTCTTAACGTCTACTTGGCCAAAAGAATATAAAGCATTAAATCTTTGTAGAAGTTATGGTGTCTCGTGTTATGATTATTTTTATGTTTTTTTGTATTTATATTATTAATTTTAAATAAATTTCCTTTTTATACTAGGTCATTCTTTAATAAGTACTTTATGAAAAAATATTTAGTAAGAGAATTTGCTTTTAAATTTATTTAGTATAAATCTATTAAAAGGAGCTTATGAGCACCCCAATTTGACTATTTAAAAAAGGGAAATAAGTCATGGAAGTGGTTTGAACGTTTGCTTATCTTTGTTAAGTTTAATTGTAGAAAAGAGAGGACTTGGCTTTCACAGTGGTTTAAAAACAAAGGGAAAAAGAATATACATGAGCGTGGGGATGGTGTCTATAGAATAAATATAATCTAACCGCAGCTATGGTAATCGTTTTACAAAACAAACATTAAGTCAAAAATTGCAAGAAAATTTGATTTTTTAACTATAATAAAAAATTATCAGTGTCGGCCGTGGGGTCTGGCGGCACTGTAGTTTCGCCCCTGACAGACATACACACATACACACACGAGCTGAAAGAAAAAACTTCTCACACGTAGATCTACACGAATGCAGACATAAATGCAATATGGTTTGTATCATATTTATTATTATAATTATTATTATAATTATTATAATTATTATTATTATTATTATTATTATTATTATTATTATTATTATTATTATTATTATTATTTTTTTTTTTTTATTATTATTATTATTATTATTATTATTATTATTATTATTATTATTATTATTATTATTATTTAATCGTGCACTAAAAAGGAGAGATCAAATTATTTTCTTTAAATACACAATAATTCACTATTAACTTAATAACTATTAAGAAAAGCGTAAAATGTGATGTCAGATTGCATTGTCATCGGATCTTGACCCAAGAACCGAATCTCAGACAAATTGGTCGGTTAGAAGTGTTCAAAGTTTAGCTCGCCCGTTGCGATCTATGACTATGACAGACAGAAAGACGTGACAAAGAAGCAAGTTAAATAAAAGCTGTTAAAACAAGATTCGCTTTATCACTTTAAATTTCTGTTTTGATACTCTCGTTATTTTGTGCAAAAGACTGAACTACCAAACAGGGCTGATAAGAAAAAGTTGTTTTGGCTTCAACATTTCAGTCTGAGTAAACTGCTGCGATGTCTGTTCAACAACTCCAAATGTCCTCTGTTCACATAAGAACATAAATACTGCATTAAACGACGGTGTCAATATTGTGTCGTAATTACCTCCCCCTGAATTTGTACACATAGAGGAGTATGTGCCCCTACTCTAATCGCATAAAATGACGTAAAAATGTGCGTGTACACAGATCATCTGTATCACTGGCTGTCCGGAAGTTTAAAAGTTAGATTTTTATATTTTATCTTCATGGGGGAAAAGTAAAAATGTCACGCCCCACGAAAAAATTCAAAATATAAAATTTTGGGAGCCGGACGTTTTGCCGAAAGAAACTTGCCTGTTTGCCCTTTGCCCGGAGGACGTTTTTTTCCGAAAAAATACTCGCCGAATGCGGCCAACGCCCAAATGGACACTTGCCCGATTGGAACAAATGTCCGAATCGACACTTCCCCGAATGCGAAAAGTGCCCGAAAGCCACTGTAATAATTCAGTCACATTAAATACATTAAAGATCTCAATATTTTGTAATCAACCATTGAGCCCAATTCACCCCAATATTTTCAAATGTTGAAAAGACCTCGCTATTTCGTTAAATTATAAACATTCTAAATGTTATGTTCCCTAAATACAAATCAATTAACATTACAATTTCAGAATAATAAATGATGGAAGAATTATTTTTACTGGCGATGGAGCAAGCCTCGAAGATATTTATTTAGAACAGAAGTTAGCTTTTTAGAAATGTTTGTCCAGCCGATAATCTTGGTCATTTAGAAAAGTTGGTCCAGATATATGGCCGATGATCTTGGTCATTTAGAAAAGTTGGTCCAGATATATGGCCGATGATCTTGGTCATTTAGAAAAGTTGGTCCAGATATATGGCCGATGCTCTTGGTCATTTAGAAAAGTTGGTCCAGATATATGGCCGATGATCTTGGTCATTTAGAACAATAAATATTACCAGATGGCTTCGATTTATGTTCTATAAATGCAGAGATCTCTTTGAATCGTGCTCTAATATTAATATAAACTATAAATAGTTTTAGATGGCATTGATTACTGTTTTGTTCAATGATGAGTTTAGAAAAAAACTGTTTTTTAAGAAAAAGACGTCTCCGGAACAAGAGGAGACGTGCACAATTTTGTTGCCCGATTTGGACATGACATAGCCATGCCTGTCCATGAATCTTATGACGATGTTTATTTCTTCCGGCGTCTTGTTCAGGCATTCCATCTGTACGACCTTGACATTGACCTTTGAGAAGAAGTGGTCAGCACACTTAAGGGCCTCGTGTTCCGTGTTCTCAATGTCCAGCTTCATGTACACGCTCGTGTTGGACACGAGAGGAATGAGGTCATCCAGGCAGATTGTGTTGACCAGTACCACGCCTCGTGTGTTGTCCAGTGGTTCAAACACATTGGATGTGTTCAGTCTGCTGCCACCCATGTTCTTCCTGGAAGGTAGGAGATCAAATCAATTAGCCCTGGGACTATAGTGTAGCTGGTTGCTTAAATGTATCAGCCCTGGGACTATAGTGTAGCTGGTTGCTTAAATGTATCAGCACTGGGACTATAGTGTAGCTGGTTGCTTAAATGTATCAGCCCTGGGACTATAGTGTAGCTGGTTGCTTAAATGTATCAGCCCTGGGACTATGGTGTAGCTGGTTGCTTAAATGTATCAGTCCTGGGACTATAGTGTAGCTGGTTGCCTAAATGTATTAGCCCTGGGACTATAGTGTAGCTGGTTGCCTAAATGTATTAGCCCTGGGACTATAGTGTAGCTGGTTGCCTAAATGTATTAGCCCTGGGACTATAGTGTAGCTGGTTGCCTAAAGTAAACATTATGGCTATAAACCAAAGTCGACTTACGCCATAAATTTGACCGTATTGCAATAAACCAAAGTTGACTTACGCCATAAAGTTGACCTGTAGAGTACGATGGTCACTATACAAGGCGTTGTTTACTATAGTGACCAGCTGACTGAGTCCACTCAGCATCAGGGACGTCTGCAGCATGTGGACATTTTCTAGAACCATCTCAACGGCCAGGACACGATAACCCAGGGCCGCTGCCCACAGTGTGTACTCGCCAAGGTTAGCGCCAAGGTCAACCAGCATTAGGTCAGGGTCATTCTAAAATTAGAAAAAATATCGTAGTTAGTAATAAAAATCGCGATCATGGTTTTGAATTTGAATTTGAATGTGAAATTTTTAAAAAGACTGATGATACTAACATCCTTATTAGAAGGCAATCTTAAGAAATTAAATAGGTATACGTGTCCGGATAATGCAAGCTGTTTAGTACATGCAACAGAAAGAATGCTGGACAAGCTGAAACTCTTAAACTCGATACTTTTCACCTTTCCCAAAAATACAAAATCTGGCGTATTTCTGGACGGTGGGGATGAGTGGGGAGGGGGTTTGAGTGTAGATGATGACTCAAGATTCCAGAAGTGGGGGTGGGGGTGAAAAATTGTATAAGGGAGTGTATAAAATGGTTACCTTTAATGCTTTATCCAGCTCTAACACCAAGTCCTCCTCCCAAAGTTTACCTTTCTGAAAAAAAAGATGTTACGTTTAGTAAGGCGAATTGAGATAGGTCTCTGCTTCTTTAGACTATTGACGCGACTACGTTAGCAAAAGATGAAAAGATTTATTATTCAAGAAATACTTGTTACGCAGGCGACAAATTATACTATTCCTTCTTATTGCAGTTTAGGTTAGCCTGTCGTCCCTCCTGCGAATTGATCGATGACCACAAATTTGAAGGCATCTGAGTCTTGGGCTAGTAGCTCCAACTGTCCCAAGGTGTATCCTGTCTTTTTGGTTTTTTCCTGCAGGTCACTTCTCCATGTCTTCCTTGGTCGGCCTCTTTTTCTTTTGCATTGTGGATTCCAGGAGAGGGCCTGTCTTGTTATTCCCGAGAGTGTGGAAAATCCATCTCCATTTTCTCTGAAGGATATCTTCCCCAGCTGCCAGATGGTTTGTCCCTTTCAAAACTACCTGATTTGTGATGGTGTCGGGCCAGCAAGGATATTTCTGGTGCGTATGCTCTCTCTCTCTCTCTACGGAAACCGGCTCAGAAGTTTGACTTCCATTAGCCAGGCAGGCCTCAGTGTAGCAAACTCCGACACATGGTGGTAGCCGCAAGTCGTTTTGTCGGTTAGATCGCTGCACGTCGGTCGCTTCTCCGTCGGTTCTCGCCGGGCTTTCCTACCCCACCCACCATCCGCAGGACGTCGTCCTACCGCCTAGTACCCTGCTTGATCGTGGGGGGCGTTCGGCCAGATAAAAAACCTCTAGCTGCTGTTGGCTACCAATAGCCATTCCGCACCCACTAGGGGGGTCATGAGCTTGGTCCGACTAGTGGCACTCTTCCGAAGCCACGTGAAGGCCGCAGCTTAAAGTCAAAATATCTGGTTAGGGTCGAGAGCAGACCCCGTTTGGTTCCCGGCAGTCTTGCACCTCACCTCCCCCACGCTATAATGTAGGGGACTTGGGAGTCCGACATACCAGGCTCGTCGGAAGGTGCGTATGCTATATGTGCTATATAAACGTTAAGTAATTTTAAAACTTTGACTATAATTTATATCAACATTTTGGTTCCGGCGTGATTGCTTTGCATTCAACCCACACTTGGCCTTTTTACTTTCTCGTATATACGTAGTATAGAGAAAGTATTGTAATCGTGCAAAAAAAAAATCGAGATTTTTACAAATCTCGACGTTTTACACCTCACTGATACGGAAAAACATAATTTTGCAATCTTGTCCGTATGTCTGTGTGTGTGTGTGTCTGTGTGTGTGTCTGTGTGTCTGTGTGTCCGTGTGTAAACACGATAACTTGAGTACCGTTACAGCTAGGTTGATGAAATTTCATATATAAGTATTATATCAAAATCGTAGATCCATATCAACTTTTGAGCGATTTCCGACAACCGGAAGTGGTACTTTTTCTACTTTGAATTTTTCAAAAGCCTATAACTTGAGTACTATTTCAGATAGATAAATGAAATTTCACATGTAAGTAAAAGATCTAATTCTCTACCTTCTATTAAATTTTGAGTAATTTCCGTTGACCGGAAGTAGTAATTTACGCTACTTCCGATTTCTCAAAAAACTAATGTAAATTTATTAAGTACTAATACTATTGCGCACTATTATACACACCTTTATTAGGCTTTCGCATGGTGCGCAATTGTTTTTTACTGAGATTCTATTCTATTTTTAAAAGTTTCAGTATTTAAAATGGATTAAAAATCATAACTATATCCCCAGTTACCATCCCCTGTTGTTTTATATAAGAATATTCGAGAAAGTTTAGGGGAGATCACTATCGGTTTATTCATTCTAACTATTGAAACAAATCTACTGTCTAGCGATATTTCTGAAAGAAGTGGCGATGACAATGGTGAAGACGACCCAAGTTTTGCCAGTGAGTAAAACGTTTTAACAGTGTGATATTATACTTGTTTTATAACTACGATACTACTTTGTATACACAAAGTCCTTATTTAATAATTATGATCTATAAAGAAAAGCGGGTGTCACTACCTAAATATTAGCTTTTCTTTATAGTTATATAAATAGTGAAGTATTATAATTTATTCAAAGAAATTCATTTATTTTCTAATTTTTTGTGTATCATAACATAAAAGCTTAATATTAAAAAGTTATTTTAAAGAATTTTCTGATTACTTAAGCTATTTAAAATAGAATAGAATTTCGTTGAAAAAGAATTGCGCACCAAGTGAACGGCAAACAATATGTATTATACAGCTGAATATTAATAGTACTTTATTTATAATTTCATATGCGTTTTGGAGAAATTGGAAATAGCGTTAATGACTACTTCCGGTTAACGAAAATTACTCAAAATTTAACAGAAGGCAATTAATTAAATCTTCTTATATATGAGTTTCCTGTTATCTATATCAACAGTACTCAATTTAATTAGATTTTGAAAAACTAGAGTAGAAATAGTTTAACTTCCGGTTATTAGAATTAGCTGAAAAGATGAACCAGAACTAAAAATGGATTAAAATCATGTCTATATCCCGAGTTGCCATCCCCGGTAGAGTTATATAAGAAAATTCCAGAAAGTTTATCGGAGATCACTACCAGTTTTTTTTATTGTCTTTTTTGTTATATGAGAGAATCTGCACTATGAGTAGAGCTATAAAATCCGTATTTATGTGTAGAGAATAATGTTCTTTTTACTTTCTCGTATATACAAAGTATAGAGAAAGTCTTGTATTCGTGCAAAAACAAAATCGAATTTTTTGCAAATCTCGACGTTTTACACCTCCTGAGTCGAAAAAAACATAGTTTTGCAACTTTGTTCGTATGTGTGTGTATGTGTATATGTGTTTGTGTGTATCTGTGTGTGTGTGTCTGTAAACACGATAACTTGAGTACTGTTACAGCTAGGTTGATGAAATTTCACATATAAGTATTATATCAAAATCATAGATCCGCATCATCTTTTGAGCGATTTCCGATAACCGTAAGTTGAACTTTTTCTACTTTTACTTTTTCAAAAGCCTATAACTTGGGTACTATTTCAGATAGATAAATGAAATTTCACATAAAAGTAAAAGATCTAATTCTCTGCTTTCTATCAAATTTTGAGTAATTTCTGTTGACCGGAAGTAGTAATTGACGCTATTTCTGATTTCTCAAAAAACACATGTGAATTTATAAAGGACTGATAATATTTCGCACTACTATGCAGATTTTATTTAGCGTTCACTTGGTGTGCAATTATTTTTTCTACGAGATTCTATTCTATTTTTAAAAGTTTAAGTAATTAAGAATGGATTAAAAATATTGTCTATATCCCTAGTTGCCAACCCCCGTTGAGTTATATAAGATTATTCGAGACAGTTTAGGGGAGATCACTCCCGGTTTATTTACCAAGCTGTTAATCACAATTTTTTTTAAGGACGTTGATTAATTCATTGATAAACCAAACCTAAATTGGGTCCAGATGTATATCTAATTAATTAGATATAAAAACTCAATATATAATTAAGATTCTTTTTTAAACTATTTTATTCCTTAAATATTTGAGACAGATATCTAAATCTTTGCTTTTTAGCTTCACTTGTCATCTAATTCGATAATACAAGGAATGTATCTACAGCTACGGAAAAATTAGACTTAAGGCCATCCGTAGATTCTAGATCAAAATATAAATCTAGATCTTGATATCTAGATATCTCGATAATTTTTAATCTAGAACCATATTTTTCTCCTGTACGTTTTGCCATCTAGATATCTAGATCTAGAATCTATGCCAATAATGTGTTTCTATACTAAATTATTTCAGGCCTTAATTATTTTATATAAATCTTTGTTTGTTTAGCTATGGAATCGGCTAATTTCGGGATATAATTTAATTTAAAATAATAGGGCCCATCCGCGTAACTCAAGTTTCTTACGCTGAGTAAAGTACCCCACTAAATGTGTACCTAATCGGAAGTGCCCTGTTAGCTGAGTTGTTAGTGTTATAGATACCATGCGGGAGGTACGGGTTTGAGACACACCGCGTCAATGTAAAAATTGTATTTATTTTTTTCAATTTTTTTTACTTTCTCGTATATACGAAGTATAGAGAAAGTCTTGTAATCGTGCAAAAAAAAAAATGGAGATTTTTACAAATCTCGACGTTTTACACCTCACTGATACGGAAAAACATAATTTTGCAATCTTGTCCGTATGTCTGTGTGTCTGTGTGTCTGTCTGTCTGTCTGTCTGTCTGTCTGTCTGTCTGTCTGTCTGTCTGTCCGTGTGTAAACACGATAACTTGAGTACCGTTACAGCTAGGTTGATGAAATTTCATATATAAGTATTTTATCAAAATCGTAGATCAGTATCAACTTTTGAACGATTTCCGATAACCGAAAGTGGTACTTTTCCTACTTTGAATTTTTCAAAAGCCTATAACTTGAGTACTATTTCAGATAGATAAATGAAATTTCACATGTAAGTAAAAGATCTAATTCTCTACCTTCTGTTAAATTTTGAGTAATTTCCGTTTACTGGAAGTAGTACTTTACGCTACTTCCGATTTCTCAAAAAACTAATGTAAATTTTAAAAGTACTAATAATATTGCGCACTATTATGCGCTTTTTTATTTGGCGTTCACTTGGTGTGCAATTAATTTGTCTACGAGATTTTATTCTATTTTTAAAACTTTAAGTATTTAAAATGGATTAAAAATCATGTCTATAGCCCGAGTTCCCATCCCCTGTTATTTTATATAAGAATATTTGAGAAAGTTTAGGGGAGATCACTCCCGGTTTATTTAAAGATGTGAATGATAAAGTTGCCCTATCGGGACTAAGTGGGACACGGAGCAGGTGAAGTAGAGTTCACCTGTTTCTGTGTCTACAGCATATGAAGGGATAGTGTTGTCAGACCCATGCTCAGCCGAAATCGGTGTTTTAAAAAGACAATAACATGTTGCCTTAGGTCTAACGCCCTTTTTAATGTGGGGTCTGACTTTTTGTAACGATCTGTGACAGCGGGAAAAGAAGGTGAAAGATAAAAATCTTCAAACAAACTGGCCCGGCTATTTGCATCGTTCGAAATCACCACAATAAGTAGGAAATAACGTGTTTTGAATGTTAGGCCTAATTAACTGAATTGACAGGTTCTTTTTATGTATTTAATTAATGAGAATTAAACTTTAACCTAGGCGCCAGGTGGGGGCTTCAATGCTACGACTAGTTTTATCTCTAAGCATAGAAAAATAAGTGGTAAAGTCATAATTGATTGACAGTAACGGATTAATGGGCTGAACAGGAGGCCACCAATTTCTTTGTTAACGACGTTCGTTAAAATGCCCAATCAATATTTTGTTTGTTGCCTACAATCTAAATGAATGCTGTATGTCCAAATCAGAAACTTTTTGCCCTCTTTATTTATTTGTTTCTGATTGACCACGGTTATAAAACACAAGAGGCGTAGCGACCCTTCCCGGCGTCCGGGGACAAAATTTCGATTTGCACCCCCCCCCCTCAAATTTTAATTTTGCACCGCCCCCCCCCCCTCGAACTTTTGATTTGCAACCCCCCCCCCTTCAAACAAACTTTCAATTTGTTTTTCCAACACATTTTGGCGCCCCCCCCCCTAAGGTCGGCGCCCGGGGACATGTGCCCCCCCGCCCCCCCCCCCCCCCCCTCGCTACGCCTCTGGGCTACCCATCCTAATCAGATATGCAAGTGTTAAGTAGACTGATCACACATACAAACATATTACAAAGTGACATTTCTATTATAACCCTGCTCCTACCATTAGATCCAGACAAGCAGCACTATAACCCTAACACGTTTACAACAGTAGGCTTATGTAGAAAGACATGGAGAGACGTTTTCAAATTTTGCTATCTGAAGCAAATTTTTTTACAGTTATGATTTTTATTTGATACGTCTAAAACGCTAAATTTAAGACCTCGAAAGTCCCCAAAATTGAGGGGTTTTTTTCCGGATCCAAAATTTGAAAATTCATAAGAAATTAGTTTGAAGTTCTTCACTTAAATGTTTTAGTTGATACCCAAATATAGAAGTATATTAATAATTCATTGTTTATTGGGCTTAAAATGTAATAGTTAATGAATGTTGGAAGAGGTTAATTTTTCAAGATGGCCGTTATTGTCATAGTTACAAAAAAATGCCAATTTGCTTTTTTGCGGAAATGCATATTCAGATGTACCTTTAAAAAGCTGTAGAGAAAAAATGGTTTGCTCTCTAGTATTAAAAAAGTTTTTTATAACCGGAGCCTATCTCCTAAAGTCATGGAAGTTGTAATTGAAATGTTAATCACCTGTTCGTTTAGCTATTTAATCCCGATATTTTTAAATTCATTTTAAAACTCACCCGACCTAAATATGTTTGTGTATAAGTAAACGTCGCTAGACTCAGATTTTGTCAGTCAACGCGATCTATTGCTAATGTTTAAATATCCTGAAAATATTCATGATTGTTCCAAGAAGTTTGTTTAAAATATTCTTTGAATTTTTAAATTATCTTCTGTCGACAACAAAAAGGCTTTTCAAAAACACATGTTTTGTATGTTCTAATGGCAATGGTTATATAGATTTATTTCTTTCTTCGATCTCTGGTGGATGAGGACTCGTAAATTGTTCACATGTCTGTGCGGATGTTCAATCTTCAGTGGTATGGAAAATACAGAGATATACACGTGACACAAGAGCTAAGCATGTAATAAACCTCTAATACACACACGCATAATACAAAAACATTTCAGCCGGAGCCCTGCCCAAGCTTAATCCGCCCCTGGCTATGATTTCTATATTCTGATAAAATTCTTTTTGAGCTATGAAATTTTTATCCAAACTGAAATCTTGGTTCGTATCTCAGCCATCTACATTCACAGACACGTCTGTCTTTTGTATTGAGCATTAACATCTTCACTCAGAATATGTTCCAGGTAAAATGCAACTCTATACAAATACACCTAGCGCAGTTATTTATAAACAGCTCATTCATTCAAGGCCACTACCAAGGTCACACAATGACAAAAATACACCTTACTTTTAAATTTCCGGATACCCAAATATCGCTGTCATCTTTAAATAGACAAATTTTCACATTTTCTCTGGGTGACTTGGGGAGGGGCAGACAATCCTCCACAGGTAAAACAAAATCAGATGGGGGGACTGACGGCACAAGGTTGACACGCTGATGTCTCTCGCTTATCGTGTGCTCTATAATTTGAGAACCGCTCCTCTCAGGGTCTGGAATCTCCACAGTTACAGAACGTGTATTCACGATGGCATTGTTCTGATTTGTATCGATTTCCATCAGCTACGATTAAGCAAAGTACATCATGGTATTTATAAAGTAATCCTAACTGAATTTAAGTATTAGATACCAACATAACAGAAGCACATGCTTATAATATTTTAAGTTAAGTTCCCCTTTTAGATATAAGCGGAAGGGATGGTATTTTTAGCACTCCAGTCTTTACTTTCCTTAACGTGGGTCAGGTACCCATACGAGCTGAATGTACTCAGAGTCACCAATCGAGTGCTCTAACACCCGATTAATTTTGTTTAAGAAAAGCAGAAAGAATGTACCTTAAGATCAGAGTTCCTTTCAGCCCAAAGAACTGCTACCGCTTAATTCCCACCCCCCTCCCACTCCCCAAAAAAACCACTGGTTAAGATTAAATTACATAATTATAAATGGATACTTTCCGTTTAATTATAAAACAAATCACTTGCCTTAAAGTCGTTGCTATGGTTACTGTAGCGAGTAATGTGGAGATATATAGCGTAGAGTGAAACACAGCAGGCTAAAACAATAAGCGAACCCTTACATCGCACTGCACGCATCTTTTTGTTCTTTAGGCTGCAAAACGTAAACAACACTGGATAGTCAGACAAAACAGTAGAGATTGGGTCAGCTGTCGGAAATTTATTGTCGCTTGCCTACCTAGCGAGTAGGGGATGTTTCAGTTGTCGGAATATGGTGTCGGCTTCCTACTTAGCGGATCTCACCTGCACTGATTAATGCTAATACATTAAAATGGAATGACAGCGGATAAAATGTGAACCATCTTTTTTTTGTAAATTTGCTATCGTTAATATTTACAAAAAGTTGTCGATCTAGTAGCTAGCTAGCACCGAATATTACCTATCAATACCTTTATATACCTGACTATGTTGGGGATAGAGCCAGATGTTGATGGTTCTACATGAAGATGGTTCATTATGATCCTGCATTCGCGTGTCTTTAGACCTTGTTAGGTAATTAAATTACGGCTGGTTGAGTTTCCATTTTGCTGCAGTAGTACCTTTGCGTTACACGTAAACATATGCGTTGGATGTGAAATGCTATAAAACATTGAACTCCCGTGCTTTGATTGACCTGTTTATATGAAACTGCACTTAGCGCAATGCATTGGGTGTGGCTACTAGAATCGTATCATAGTATCAGATGTATTCGTTTCTTATGTGCGGTTTATCATTACTTCTTTGTATAGGGAAAACAGTGGAAGTATTGTCAACGTGCAAAAATTTGGAATCGATATTTCCACAAATATCGACGATTTATACCTTTTTTGACGGAAAAAACCTGCAGCAGCACTCGCGCACCAAAGAAAGCATCAAATACGCGAGTAATCGTGTGAAAAAAATTGGTACTTTATATAACAGTCTTCAATAAAAAAAATTAAAATTGCATGAAACACTTTTAATAACAATCTTTTATTACAAGCTTTTATTTAACTCACTTCCTCTGTCCGTCGTCAGTCGTCAGTCTGTCGTCAGTCTGTCTGTCTAGATCGGAACGTCCGAGCAAAATTGCAGGCACTTTTAACGGACAGAAACAGTTCGTAATTAGTACGTGAGTAAAGGCATGAAGACAATGCAACATGACATTAAATTTGACTTAATTAGTAGTCTGATTAATTTTTTATGAATTAATTAAAATTGTGTCCAAATTTGTAGGCTGTCTCATCAAACTATTCCGCGCTATTAGACACGCGTCATCATGTTCAATAGGGCGTCATCACGTTCAATAGGTGCGCAATGGTTTTTAGTCATGTAACTCTATTATGAACAAGAACATGTAAAGTACTAAAAACATTTAATAAAAAAAGTTTTAATAATAAGCTTTTATGTAATAATGCACTAAAAAGTAGATAATAAATAATACACTACTATTTAAATAACTGAAAGAAAAGCGTGGGTCTCATCTTAAATATTAGTTAAGGTATCCAATAGATATTAAGTGACCCACGTTTTTAGCGCAATTTCCATTCTGGAGAATTGCGTTTATTAACCCGTCATTTCTGGATGGATGGATGGATGGATGGATGAATGTATGAATGTGTGTCCGCAGCTTTAAGTCGTATCTCCTCCTCAACGAAGGAATATCGACGACTAGTTACAAAAACAATTATGTTAAGCAAGTTACGAGGATGAACATAGGCCATAAAAATTCCGGGTTTCTTTCATGTATTTCCCGGAAAAGCCAAAAAACCTCGAAAAAATGCAGTTTTTGGCCCATATCTCGGCAACCAGACCACTTAGCGACTTAAAACATGTACCAATCGATTCCTGCTATAATTTAGAACAATATTGCCGAAGAAAGTTTTCAAAAATATCCTTTTGTTTGGTCACAAAAATATTTTTGAATTAATTAAAATTTGGACCGAATTAGTAGGCATTTTATGCAACCACACCACACGCGTCATCACGTTCAATAGCTGCGCCATCACGTTCAATGGCTGCGACATCACGTTCGGTGGCTAGGCGCGCAATGTTTTTTAGTCATGTTACTCTATTGTAAAAAAAAACATGTAAAATACTGAAAAAAAATGAATAAAAAACGTTTCAATAACTAACCAATGGTTTTACTAACCCTGCTCTTGATTTACGCTACGACAGAGCTATTTTTAGATAACATAAGGAAATTGCGCTAAAATTGTCACTAGACTTTTTTTTTTAATTACTTGTTTGTCTTTTAAAAGCACTTATTTCGGCTAAGCATGGGTCTGACCACACTATCCCTTTCATATGATGACGTCACAGGTGAATTCTACACCTACCCAACTCTACTTCACCTGCCTAGTGTCCCACCTAGTCTCAGACAACATGTTTTTATCGTTAAAAAAAAATTTCGGGCAAGCATGGCTCTGACCCCACTATCCCTTCATATGCTGAGGACACGGAAACAGGTGAACTCTACTTCACCTGCCTTGTGTCATTCCCGTCTTTAAAAAAATGTAAACAAAATTATTTTCGTCGTGATGGGTCTCGATTCCGTACCCCCCACATTATAACACTATCATCTTAGCTATGTGGGCACTTACAAATTAATGCAAACTTAGGCCTATAATTAACTGAAAAGTTAGAAACTTCAGTTACGCTATAATGCTATATTATTTCAAATTAAACTATATCCCAAAGTAGCCAATTCCATTGCTAAACAAACAAAAATGTATATAAAATAATTAAAGCCTGATATAGTTTAGTATAGAAAATCATTATCGGCATATATCTAGATAGAGCTAGATCTAGGTCTTAAGTCTTAAGTCTAGTTTTTCCGTAACTCTAGGTCTAGATAGATATATCCCTTGTATTCTGGAATTAGATTATCCTTGAAGCTAAAAAGCAAAGATTCATATCACTCAAAGATTTATATCAAATATTTAAGGACTAACAGTTTTATAAAGAAACTCAATAATTTATTGTGATTTTATAATGGTTTTTATTTGTAACTAAATAATTTTCGTTCGACCTAGATTCTAGATTTTAGATCTATGATTGACTTTTTCTTTGTGCGACAGCTGATCTCTAGGTCTAGAGAAATTTATTGTATATTCAATCTAGAAGAACTGTTGAAAATTAATAATAGTGTTGGAAACTAATTAAAATATCAAACGGACATAACGTTAAAGCTATAGCCGACAGAAAATTAGCTTTATAATGCGTTAAACTTTTGAATAGGCACCAAAATCTTCGATAGAAGCCGCCACTATTTTTATAAAAAGTAAATAAATCATGTGATGTCAAACAAGTGAAGTCATTGTTCTGAACTTTTAAAATTAAAGTGGTCTATCTACCAATGAATATATCAATACATTAATTAACGTCTTTAAATAAATTTGTGATTAACAGTTTGGTAAAAAAGAACATTGTTCTCTAAATACGTATTTTACAGCTCTACACATAGTGCAGATTCTCTCATGTAACCAAACAGACAAACAAACACAAAAAAATAATAATAATAATAACAAATAAATATTCAAACATGTAAACAAACTTGAGTTTTAGTAGTATACTAGAATACCCGTCATCCGTTGGATAACTGTGGGTTTCGGGGGTCATCCATCAAAAAACATCACGTCTGTCACTCAGAGGCATAGCGACCCTTCCCGGCGCCCGGGGACAAAGTTTTCGATTTGAACCCCCCCCCCCCTCAAACTTTTGATGTGCACCCCCCCCCCCCCCACTCAAACTTTCGATTTGAACCCCCCTCAACCTATCAATTTATTTTTCCAAACCATTTTGGCGCCCCAACATATGTCCCCCCCCCTTCCCCCCTCCACCTCCCCACCCCCCGCCTCCCCTTCCCCCCCCCCGCCTCCCCTCCCCACCCCCCGCCTCCCCTCCCCTACCGCCCCCCCCCCCCTCCTCGGTACGCTACTGCAGTGTCACTTATCGTCACAAAAAACAGACCCCACATTCAAATATATGTTTTTTATCTTTTAAAAACACCGAAAACACCGATTTCGGACTATCCCTTCATAAACTGACGTCACAGGTGACCTACTCAACTCTACTTCACCTGCCCAGTGTCCTGCCAAGTCTCAGACAACATGTTTTTATCGTTTAAAAAACAATTCCAGCCGAGCATGTATCTGACCACACTATCCTTTCATATGCTTAGGACAAAGAAACAGATGAACTCTACTTCACCTGCCCTGTATCTTGCCAAGTTCAGATAGGCAACGTTATCATTCACATCTAAAAAAAAAATTGAAAAAAAAAAATTTCATTGACATATTGGTCTAGAATCCGTGCCTCCTGCATGAGAGCTGACTACGCTACCATTTTAGCTATTTACTCGTGACGTCACAAGTGAATTTTTATACTATACTATGTGTCTCCTTATGCAACTTGATTTACGCGTATAGATTCTAGATCTAGATCTAAAAATAAGTCTAGTAGTACTAACTTTCAAATTAAATTTTATCTTAAATAAGCCAAACAAAGATTTATATAAAATAATTAAGGCCTGAAATAGATTCTAGATGTAGAATTTACATTGAATCTAGTGACCTACATCTAGGCTAGATCTAGATCTAGATCTAGGCTAGATTCATAAATTTCCTTCGATAGCTGATCTTTAGATCTAGAGAAATTTATTGTAAAACTAAATGAAAAAGACAGTTGAAAATTGATATAAGTGTTGGAACGTAATAAATACAGCAAACGGACGTATTGTTAAAGTTAAAGCCGACAGAAAATTAGCTTTAGAACGCGTTAAACATTGGAATGGGAACACAATCTTCTTCGATAGGCCGCCATTATCGATGTAAAAAAATAAACACATCATGTGACGTCACTGTTTCCGTCGAGTCTAGTGGCTTTTCAAATCTTTTTTAAAAAAATGGGTTAATCTGCATATGAATAAATCAATTAATTAATTAACGTCTTTAAATAAATTTGTGATCAACAGTCTGTCTGCATTAAAAAATTATTCTCTACCTGCATACCATTTTACAGCTTTCCAGATAGAGTCGAACATATCACAATTTTCGATCAGGCAAACAAATAAATATTCAAACATGTAAACAAACTTGACTTTTAGTAGTATATAGATAGATAAATGCACTATAA